TTTTCGACTACCAAGGAGGGGGCTCCTAAAAAATTGAACCGCTAGCGAGGGGGGCTGCTAAAATTTCAAGCTTCGAGATTCAATATCTTCATCCCCCCCCCCCCTTGTCATATTAAATGAACTTTCCCTTATTCCTAAATCCATACCTAAATAAATACCTGTTCTATAGTAAAAAAAAACACTTAAAATACCCTTTCTATGTATTATGTAAATTTTAGTACCCTATTCTTGAAAAGTTAATAAATAAAGGCGGCCATCTAAGGGGCTGTGAGATCTAAAGGCGGCTGTGAGAGGTTCGACTTTGTTGTTGGCGTGAATGCTTGACGAATGTTATTCAAAAATCCTTACACCTCGAGCAAAAGTTCCGTCGAATTTCACAAGTCTTGTCTTCTATTTTGGTTCGCCCTAACCTGAGATCAGGCCCAATTTTAGCGGTTGTCATACATGATTTAGGTCCGCCCCCAAATTAAACGATTCTTCCTTCGAGGATACTTTTCGTGTTCCTTATTCAACGTATTGTACTTCTCCAAAGGCCAGGTAACCAAGCCACTGTGAGAGACACGAGGACTTTGAGTTTTCCAGATAGAACTGTGTGTATCGCGTAAGCTTAATATATATCTTTTTGGCAAGTTATTTGTGATGTACGATCACGAAGAGTACGGAGACGGAGAGGTAAGCTCTTAAATAAAATCATGGAATAATGTTTTAAATGTGAAATCTCTTGATAAATGGTAAGATATGACTTATTTTGATTTCAATTGGAATTAAAATGAGTCTTTAAATTTTTATTTGTATTATCCAACTGCTCGTAATTTTCTCTCTCTTCTTCAACGTTTTCCTTTTCTTTTTTTTAGTATAGTGTGCGTGATGGGGCTCCATATGGTGGAGAATATGAACCTCCGATTCATGGTAAAGAAAATAAAGCTTTTATCAGAAGTGTATATGACACGAATTTTTTTTAAAACATAAACTGATTTTTGTCTTGAGATTAGTGTAATTAACAATTCTAACCGTTTTAAATGTGTCTCCCAAAAAATTTCATGAATTTTGGCGATCAGAAAACTGCTTTTTCCCTGTCACAAATGTCCCAGCAACTGGGAACAAGTAAAGAATCAAAGAAAGGTTGATGACGTCATGTGACGTCAGTTGATTTGTTCAGCCCTGGTCATTATATTGCTTTGTGTTTTGAGGAATTAAGCCATTTATCTGACTGTAACGAAGGTATAGCCACATGATTGGGGAGTTGTCGACAACAACAATCCTTTGTAATTAGTTGCCACCATCTTTTAGATTATTGGATACATTCTTGACATTCTTGCAAATCATTCTACATTACAACATAGCTAGAAAATTCGCCTAATCAAATTCAATAGCGCGAGCGTGCTTCATATTCCTATTGAGCACGCTGATGACGTCAATAAACTATTCGTAATTCCTTGAGTTGTTAATGTGAGCTTAGCAATCCTGAGTCTCCTGAGTGCATCCATAACTCAACAGTACACAATGAAGCATTTACCATGTGTTTTATAAGGAAATTTAAGAGGAAACGTTTGAATTTGCCAACTGATAGTAAGGAAAAGAGGTGAGTGTTGTTGTTGTCATCTCCGCGAGCTCTGTGCGGACTATGGCATGAGCTCATTCTTTGCAAAGTTGCAAGGTTTGCGTATGCCATGACAGAAAAAAGTGTGCATGGCCTAGAGGAAATGCAAGTTAGAGTTTTAGATGCGCAAATGACTGGTTCCAAGTTGAACAGTCAGGCGCATATCAAGGTGCTTCCTTTATGTGTTTTCCCTGCTGAGCATAATTCCATGAAAAAGAGCATTGTTGATTGAGTGACCAGCCATGTTACAATGTTCCACAACAGGGAAACCCGGCAAGTTCTTCTTGATGCTTCAAAGGTGCTTGCCAAAACGTTGTCTCAGTAGTTTTCTTCATCATTACTTTAATTTTTTATTGAACATTCTCATACTTACTTTCTAAAGTGTCACACAGCTTATCAGTATTTTTTCCCCTGTTATTTGTTTGAAATTCTGGTATACATGTACAAATTTTACATATATTTAAGAATTAAAAAAAAACAAATAAAGAAATTTGTGTCATATACACTTTAAAGCAATGGTACACAGTACATGACAGGTTTCTGACCGGCAAAAGTAATGAAAACATTAATAGCCAATTGTGACAAAAATATTGTCTCGTATGCTCCAAAACTTGTATTGCAAAATAAAGTGCAACAAACAAGGAACTTTCTTCTTTTCTTTTTTTTTTATAAACTGCTTGCGGGTGTTGTTATTCCAGGACTGCCTAACAATTGAAGCTGTAATTGTGGGTTGATAGCAGACATTGATTAATGCTATATTAATAAATATTGTTGTCTGTTTAGCGTACTTACAGACAGAGATTTAGCACACCTCTAAGTGGCATTTATAAAGCTGCAGAATGTGACAGCCTCTTCTCTATTCGCCCATTTTTTTTTTAATTTAATGATTGTAAAGTTCATTTTGTGAACCTCTTTTGTTTTCAGGTCAGATGTATGATACTGCTCCAGAAACACCCACTTATACATACAGTGTTCCTGAAGAGATCAGGCGATTCATTCATTTCTTTCACCAACATGTCACTGAGCAGGTACATGTAATTATCAGATAGAAAAGGTTTATTTCATGGTAAAGACTGACCTTACCTTAATTCATTTCACAAAACAAATTATACAATGTATATTGTACACCACCAAACGCCATTGCTAGGGCTACATACATGTAATAAATCATACCCTGCTTGACAAGTGTACACTGGCTAAATAAATCGTGCCTTTTGCAGCAAAGAAATACCATAAAATTCCGAATTTAATCCCTTCCATGTATAAGCCCCTCCAAATAGAAGCCCCCCAAACTTGTAACGCAAAAAACTCTCCATTAAATCGCCCCTCCAAAAATAAGCGCCCCGGGGACTTGTACTTGGAAATTGGCCTCAAAATTAATACAAAGTAAAACAAAGCAAAAACGGTAAATTTCCTTCCAACTATAAGGCTAGCCCAATTGATTTTGAAATGCAAAGTTCCCTCCATATACAAGCCCCTCCGAATATAAGCCCCTCCAAAAATAAGCCCCTCAAAAGGGCCTTTGAAAAATGTAAGCTTAAAAATGTAAGCTTTGAAAAATGTAAGCTTATTTTCGGAATTTTACAGTATTTTAAAAGTGAAATGGATTCATTGGATTTCAATGGTTTTTATATAGTAAATTATAGAACATTAAATGGGTGCTTGGAGATACAAAATTTCTCTTCTTGTGTTGAACATTTATTTTTCATTACTAGAAGAGAAATTTTATATCTCTGTGTGGCAAAGTAATATCCTCTATGTTTGCTTTAAAACATGGACTGTTTATCAATCAACAATTAACTTAGACTCTTATTGTTAAAAAAGTCATTTCAGTTACAACTGCAGTATTTGTGCTTGCCCATTAAGTTACTCACTGCGGCTGCATATGTACAGAAAAATTATCACACACAACTCATATTTTAATATTTTGTTTTCACCAGAATGTTTATGAAATTCAGTCCATTTATGAAACAGGGTAAGTTATGCAACTGGCATGAAAACATATAAAAGTCCCACCAGCCGCTAATAAGCCTTTTGCCCCTTTTATTTATTGTGATCGTGATTATTGATAGGGATGTATAAGAAACGTACATGTAGCTGAATCAAACTGACAAGACCTGTACAAAAATTTTGGATTTATCAGATTAAGTCAATAACCACAGTAAAAAAATTAAAAAACTGGGCCCAGTTGTTTGAATGCCGGTTAGCACTAACCTGGGGTTAAATATTAAAAAGGGTTTCTTTTTCTTTTTATCGAAAACACTTTCTCGGATCATTTTCTCTATTCTTTTTAGAGTATATCCAATCATCAAATTGTAGGTAAAGAGAATTAAACTGAATTTGCTTTTTAAGCTCTCATATTTGAGATCAAATTTCGCTGGGTTAACTTAACCCAGCTTCGAACAACCCGGCCCTGATGTTTTATATAATACAGTGTAAACCCTTTGTCAGAGTGAATCAAGGGATAGTTGGTTATGTGTGGATTATATATCGAATGATGGAGCAATGCTGTCAGTGTGAACATAGTACATGTAACATAAAAACATAGATAGATTGGTTGAACGAATAGCTTTCATCGATTACGTTAAGATTAAGAATACTGATTCGAAGGATAAGTCGCTGTTCTAGATTTTTTTGGCTTTCTGTCTTGCCTTGGTGTAGGGAGAAACTACAGATTGCCATGGTTTGGCTAGATTGAGTTGGTCCAAAGTCAAAATTAAATGCGTGGTTGCATTTTTTTTTACCATGAAACACAGGTCACCAATTTGGCAACTTTCACTGCAATTTTAGTCACCAAATTTGTGTTCTACTCACCATGATGACCAAAACTGTTAAAACTTGGAGCTGGCTTTGATACATTTCAGTTGTTCACTCCCCAATCTGATTTTAACTGTTTTGATTTATGCACATTAAAGTTTGAAGTGATGATTTGCCCTAACATTAAAAAATTGTTATATGCGGAATAAAGGTTATAAAGCCTCCCTTCTATGAAGCCTCTGGTGATTAAGTGTCATGATAGTAACAACAGCCCAGCTCATTCTCATTCAGTTCATTTGTGGTTTAGTCAGCTGTCTGTCTTCCTCCCCTGTTGATCCTTCTGTGTCAGAAATATCCTGATTGCTCATTGCTTTTATTAATTTGCTTTTCAATTTAATCAATGCAGCTTCAACAAATTAACTGAAAGGCATTATGAAAAGTCTCCATGGCCTGATTCTGAATATGTTGCCTCTATTGTGGATGGAGGTAAACTTCACTCTTTTAACAGTCAAATTTGATCAAGTTTAATCCAGTTCTGTCTTTGTGATTTTGCACTGTCTTCTTGTATTTTGCAGTTTTCAGCCATAGTTTTATACTGTGTAACATATTTGGTTTGAAATTAGGAATATTTACTTTCAACTTAACTGAAATGATGGTTATTGTTTTCATACCAGACCCCGTGTTCTTGATTCTTTACAAAGAATTATACTACAGACATATCTACAACAAGTTGAAGGTAATGAATGCCTTTGCTAATAATCTAGTAAATGTGTCTGAGGTACCAATCACTAGATCACCCTGTTCCCAACCCACTGATATTAGATTAGCATGGAAATTAAGTTCTAATAGCTTTGCTTATTAAAAATTTTAACCTAAATTAACTAGGACCTATAACATTATACACTGTAGGTACACAAGATACCTAACAAATTTAGTAGGTATTAGGGTTGAGTGATGCATGTCAACTGGAAGGAAGCCTTTTTCTATTTTAATATGCCTTAATGCTACCAAATTTGTATTGCTAAGTGTCTTTACCCTTATAGAGACCATTAATTTGGTCCAAACATTTGTTTAAAATCACGACTCAAGAGTGCAGAAAGTCCACTTCTGGGTGGCGTGCACCGCTCAAAAACATTGCTGCTTGAACTCGCTATTCAAGATTACTTAACTCATTTGCCCCTAAACTGCTTGTAAATGTCCGTGCAGATCCATGTCCCTTCCACCCCTTGTGACATCATTAGTTTTAACGATCAATGACAACTTTATCAGCTAATGTGTGCAGGGTAAAAAGATCTTTCAAACCATACCAGAATGAACACGTTTCAAGGAGGCCGGAGAAAAAGGCAAAAAACCATGTAATGTTGACCTGAAAACTCCTTTGAAAATCTTTTTCCACTACCCACCTACCTTTCCTTTTATCTAATCCAAAGATCCTAAAAGCTTTCCAAAAGACTTTTCCCACCAAAATGAAGCTTACCAAATGCTTAGCAGCAGAAAAAAAAATGAGGCACTAGAAGCGAAAGGAGAGGGGAGGAGAGAAAGCGAAAAGTAAAAGTCAAGACTGCTGTGTCACTTTTAAACCCCAAAACTCTCTCAAAATTTTGCTTTCCATGCATGCCCCAACTTTGCACACTAGTCTTGTATATTACATTTGGATCAGAAGGCCATGACGTGTATGACCTGTGAACAGCTTTGTGGTAAGTAGCAAGATTGTGACCAGAAAACAGCCTCACTATTGTAGCTTCAAAACATGATTTGGGGCAAAATTCATGCCAGGAGCAAATGGGTTGATGTACAGTGTACCCAGCAGAGCTCGCTCCAGCTCCCTTCTAAAGACCGAGTACAGTGTGCATTTAAAATGTTCTTTATTACATAAATTTATGCTTAATATATAATTGAGCCTACCCATTGGGCTTTTCAGTTAAGCTGGAATGATTGTAACAAACTAACCAAAAAATGCCCTTTTTTTATTTCAGCCTACACTGGAACATCGCTTTGAATCATATTTTAACTACTGTGACTTGTTCAACTATATACTGAGTAAGTTTTGTCAGTTGGTCAACTTGTCAGTAACTACATGCATGATCTACTACTTTCACGTTCCCCAACCTGCTATTTGTCTTCCCTGAAAAATTTTGCATACGTTTTGTTTTCAATTTCTCAGAGGATAATTTATTGTTAGTCCCAAGAATCTCAAATAGAGTTCCTCTACTGTGATTTATTTCTAGTTTTGTTTGGAATCACTTTAATTTTATTTTTGCTTTTGTCTTAAGCCTGGTTGTTACAGCCCAGTATTAACATCTAGTTAGAACTGGCATAAATACTGCAAAGGTGGTATCACTTTTATTTTCCAGTGATTGACAAAAACCCATACTACATACATTTTCACAGAACATCTGGGTGTTAAGATATTATGGGCCACTTTCCATTCAACAAAAATTCTTGTCTGAAGTTTTGGAAATTCCACGTGCCCAGTGGAATGGAACGTTCCAGTTGCACAGATTGAAACAACAATTTTGTCGAATGGAAAGGGTTATTTCGGTGCAACTGCCCAAAATGACCAGACCAGACAAAGTGGACCACCTTAAAAGGAGGTCCCAAATATTCCAGTCAGACTGAATGGAAATGGTCTGTTTTATTTGCTGATTTCTAACCGAAGAATTTTATTTCTAAAGTATTGAGCTGAATGGAGAGGGCCTTGTTACTTGGCTGATGAGATGATGAGAGAAATATATTTTATCTTTTTTTTCAGATACAGATGAGCCAGTTCCCCTTAGTCTCCCAAATCAGTGGCTGTGGGACATTATTGATGAGTTTATTTATCAGGTTAGCCTTTGAAAGAATAGTCTTTTATTCAAAAGATTTTCAACAAACAGGAATGTAATTTAATGAACTGGTAGCAAAATTGTTGTTTTCCTGTAATCCGATCAGTCAACTTTGTCTAAGTGGCCCCGGGTACACTAGTCACGCTGTAATCCTTGTTTTACGTAGTGTGTAATCCTCTGTGGAAGCCGTGGCTGGTTTGTGGGAATTGCCAACCATCAGCTCAGTTTACCGTCTCATGGGTGCTGCTGGTCACACCGGAGGCTCCCTGACATCCCAGGCCTCCATTTGCCATACCACATGGTCTAGTTGTTAATGTAATTTAGTGTTAGGGGTCAAACAAGTCTTTGTTTTGAGATGGCTTTGCAGTATTTGTGTAGCTTCCCTCTGTTTTGTAGCACTTGTAGACAAAAATGGGATTTTTATTCAATTTATGACTTTTTGCATATATTATTTTGTACTGTCAGCAATTTCTCAATGCCATGATGTGAGTACTATGTCTTACCATTTTAGTTCCAGGCATTCAGTCAATATCGATCAAAGCTCCTAAAAAAAGGAGAAGATGAAGTTGGAACACTCCGAGCCAACACCAAGGTAAAAAAACCCAACAAACAACAGTAAAAAACATAAACAACAACAACAACAGAAAGATGGCTTATCCTATTGGAGTTTTAGGGCATCGCCTTTAAAGGGGCTGTGTCACAGCAGTCCAATTCATTTCATTTAATTTTGCCAATTACTCGCCCTCAATCAGTATGGAATTTAAAGTAAGCAAGGAAATTACATGGAAATGACAAAATCAGAGATTCGAGACAAACTAATATGTCTCCTGAGCATTATTTTTGAAGTTGCAAACAGCAGAGTTCAACTTTGAAAAAAAAGTGTTGGGCTGAACAGTTTTCAAAAACCCTCATTTCAATCCGTTGCAATCTTCTTCAGTTTTGCCCATCTGTGGCATCTGTTGTATCTGCTGTGCTATTTTAACCTTCCTTTAATGTTTTAAGCGGTTATTTTTATGTTTCTTTTAATTTAACGGGCATTTTGCAATAACCTGATTTGGCTGAATTTTGTGACACAGCTCCTTTAATCACAGACTTTCCACACTTAAAAAGGAAGTGGTAAATGACTCCATGTGTTAAAGGGGATGATTAACACTTTGTCCTGCATACAGTGTCAGTACATCCATACGTACAATGTACATGTAGCTCCTATACCTGCCAACTTTTTCTGAGATATAAGCGTGAGATTTTTATCCTGGGAGTGCTGGGATTTTTGAAGACGACATGATCATTTCCGAAGACTCCTGAAGAAGTCCGAAGTCTTCCGAAGACGTCCGAAGTCTGCCAAAGGCAAAGTTATCCCATTCCCAGTCTTAGGATGCGTATAAACGCGAGCTTGCTCCCAGTGCTTTTCACTTCAAAAATCAGAGATCGCGAGGAAGGTATTGTCATTTATCCATTTTACACATGGTTTTCGTTCCTTGCGTGGGTCTGAGTTAACATATTTTAGGAAATTGTGTCAAGCAAGACGGCAACAACTCACATTTTTCAATCAGGCGTGAGAAATTGGCCCGCAAGCGTGAGCCGGCGCGAGATCGAAGTTTTCAACCCGCTGGCGTGAGAGTTGGCAGGCATAAGCTCCCCTACTGTGGTCCTTATCATTTAGCTTCTTTCTTTCAGATCTGGAATGTTCACAGTGTGTTGAATGTATTGTATTCATTAGTAGAGAAGTCCAGGATCAATTACCAGGTGATTATCATCATTTTATATTGTTACTAATCAGTAAATACCTGTAAGTACTAATGTTATAGGACTGAGTCCAGGCCAGATTGTTTAGTAATCATACACTTCATCAAGCAAATTAGACAACCATAACATCACGAGTATGAGTACAGTTAGAATTATATGTCAAAAAGGGTTTTTTTTAACCAACCAATCATGTCTTCAACAAAATTTGATGAAGGTAAATGGGTTCTCCTCTTTTGTTTATTTTCACGTAGACTGCCCCCTAGAAGTATAAATCTAGTGCAAAAACCTTTTTCTACTTCTGTTGGATGCAAAGCTGCTCCACTGGAAGTTGTCATGATCATCACTGAGTTTTATACTGGGTGTACGGAAGCATGTGGCTGAGTAGATCAAGGCTTGAAACACCAACCTTTTCAGATTTGACATATATATATTTATAAAAATTATGTACATGCACTAAATGGAAATTCTTGCTCGCAAATTGGTGAAGAGCTATTGTTTATGAAAGTATTCAACTTGTAGACAATATAAATGGTACAGTGGTTGAAAACTTGTCTCTCCCTCTTGCATGCATGCTATATGTACATGTGTTTCTAAATCTTAGCTGGAATTTGGCATTTCACTTTGCAGTGAGACTGTTGTAGGTAAAATAATTATGTTCTCAGGTTTAAGCAGTAAACAACCCAGTTTGATTCAGAATTTCTTTTGTTTAATGGCCCTAACTATTTTTAAAATTTTGTATTTTATTGTCTACCTTAACTTTACCAGTGGATTAATCAGTAAACTAGCCGTATAGCTTAGCATATTTACCACGTAAAATAAAGTGTTCATGTCATAGGAGGAAAATGAATTCCTGTTTTAACCTGAGAAGAGATTTACCCACAGCAAAACAACTAGACTTTACATTGTGTAAAATCTGTATGTTAACTTAATGTCATCATAATGCTGTCAACTTCACTGGGGAACCTTTAGAAAATCTACAATGCATGTATAAAATCCACCAAGAGTAGAAATATAATGTGGTTATAACCTCTCTTTAATTTTTGTAGCTAGAGGTATACAACCAAGGTGGTCATCCTGATACAGTGGCAGGCGAGTTTGGAATTCAGCCTCTCTACAAGATGCTGGGTTACTTCAGTTTGATTGGTCTCTTACGGCTACACTCACTTCTTGGAGATTACTTCCAAGCAATCAAAGTTCTAGAGAATGTAGAACTTAATAAAAAGGTGGGTTACTTATGCACCTGGTAACTGTCAATTCGGCCATTTTGATTAACTGATTTAAGTGTTGTGGTGTTACAATTTAGTTACTTTCTTGCTTGCTTTATAGGCTGCAAAGCAGTCTGTATACTTATGTAGCCTAAGAATGCACAAGCGGTCAAATGAAAGGTGCAGGTGTAAAAAAGGAGAGCAAGACTGGAGAGAAATACAAAAACTGACCTTTATTTTTTTTCTCTTGCTCCAGCCACCAAAGACTGACGGTGGTGCTCCTTGTCCTAAAAATAATTGAAAAAGGAGCTGTTTTGCAGTCTATTTGCAGTATGTCCTCATTGCTTGTGACTTTATTTCAAGTTCACTGTTCTCCTTTCAGAGTTTGTATTCTCGAGTCCCTGCCTGTCAGATCACCACCTACTACTATGTGGGATTTGCTTATCTCATGATGAAAAGATACCAGGTTAGCATGAAAAAGTGAAAGTAGACTGCATACTCTTACTCTGGAATAATTATTTGAAAATGAATTGCATCTTGTTGGAGTATACACATGTACAACACTGTTATTCCCTTTTTCCAACTTCACATTACATTTCTTTCTTAAGGTCAATAAAAATTCTCTGATTTAAACAGTACCAATAGTTCTTTAAAACCTTTCAATTCCATAAAGTGACAGTAAGGTGGCCATTAACAGTCCTTTTTAATCGCTGTTAATGTAAGACAACAGTGGTCAGTCACACAAAAGTTTTAAGATGCATAAATTTATTTTGCATTGTTGAATTTCAGGATGCTATTCGCAGTTTCTCCAATATACTGTTGTATATTCAAAGAACCAAGAACATGTTCCAAACCAAGTCCTACCAATATGAACAGGTAGAGAATTACAGGCTGTGAGAATTGTTTACAATAATGATATTCTTAGACTAGTATGGTCATTTGTAGCTATAGGCCACCACTACACTTGAGTATGAGATCATCGATGACCTGGCTACAAATTGTGACCAAATTGTCAGGGACAGAACACTCTCTTTTTCCTTTAGCATGATGTAGGTGATAAGTATGACAGCACAAGGAATCTAAAGTTGCACCTTTCCTCTCACAAACAAAATTTAGGTGTCTTGATTTTTAATCAAATTATTCTTGTTGGTAGTCATAATAAAGACAGGATTAATTAAAAATATATATTTTGAAACAAATAAAGAATGAATAAATTATTGTTAATTTAGTTTTGATGTTATGGGTTCACGTCGGTGATCAGTCATATTTTTTTATGTCAGATCATGAAGAAAAATGACCAGATGTATACTCTGTTGGCCATTTGTCTGACATTATGTCCACAGGTATGTCATGATTAATTTCTATCTTCAGAGTCTGCTCTTTTGTAAAATGCTCATGACTAATGATGCATGGAAAAATGTTGTTTGAGGAGAGATTATTGTATAAGACCTGAAATGGACCAAAGCAAGGTTTTCATTGAGAATTCTAGTAGCAAGAGGCAGGTTTAACTTTACAGGAGAATATTTTGAAAGAGGACCCATGTCTGAATAAAAGGTAGTCATAGGCTACCGAACGTTAGAATTCTGTGCAGTAAACGGAGAATTGTCTGATCTCTGATGCTTAATGAACACTGCGCCAAAAGAAGCTCAGCAATTTGTATTAACCCTGTAAGTCCCAATAGTGACCAACATTAATTTTCTCCTAACAATATCCATAGATTGTCAAGAGATTAGGTTATGAGAATTAATAAAATGATCACCTAAGAGAAAATACTTTGATCTTTTATCAAATTCTCTCAACTCATTCTTTAAGGAAATGTAAGGAGATCAGTATCGAGAATTTGTATGTGGATATTGGGACTTAAAGGGTTAACAATGTGACCCCATCATAATCATTTAATATCCATGGATAATCCATTAGAGATGTGTGTGAAATAAGAATTAAGGAGAATTCTTTTGGATGTAATTTTGAATGATGACCCCACTACCTGTTTAGGAGGGGTCAGAGGCAGGGGCTACTGGTATACTGGTATACTGTGCTGTAATGCTTTTATCATTATTTTGTCGGAAATTGATCAGTAACACTTGTTATTTCTCATGGTCTCTCCCCACCACCTGGATTAGTGTTGTTTTTGGCCAGACTCTTTGAAAGTGCATTAATTTTGGTCCGTAACATCCCAAAATGAAAAAGAAGGGATGGGTATACTTCAAAAAAAATAACAAAATCAATGATGGTTATGAAAGGTCAAGAGGATGACAATAAGCTGAGGCACTAATACTCATAATTTTGCACCCTTCACTACTACTATGTTCATAATTGTAGAATGGGGTTGCTAAATACAGCTGACCACGGTCTGGTATATAATATAAGGCTAAGCATTAAAGGTTCCAGGGTCTTAGTGGCACACCTGGATTCTGCGAAAATTCGAAGAAGCCCTCTTCCCCTCTCAAGTATGAGAGGTGGTTACCTAGTGCTAGTTGGTGACATAAGTACTCTTTCGATTATGCCATCTAGCACTTGCCGGTGGCTCCAGAAATACAAAGTCAGGTGATTGTTCATTCTATGTGAGACATTATTTTCTTTTTTACACTTTGTCTTAACACATAGGTAAACGTGAGGTTGCTGAGAAAACTGGAGACATTTCACAATAGCCTACCAGTTTCTCAGTGAGATAACATCTGAGGAACAGCTGCAGAAACTTCATACTGATGATGTGTCACCACCATCTGGGTCACTGTAGTACTTCTTATTGGTCATATCTCAAGAGAAATTTGCTTCAACCAATCAGAAGCACTACCCAGAAGTAGTGACATGACATGAGTATGGAACTTCTGCCGAGTGGTGTCATTGCAAAATGTCAAGTGTTTTCTCAGGCTGGAGTCTCCACAGATAAATACCCTTTCTGACTCATTATTAAGTTTCTGTTACAGTAGTTATAATAATGTTGGTGTGCACTGACAACAATGATTATTTGTTATTTTGGTAAACGAAATGAGTAAATTGATATCATGTAGAATAATATTAAGTTAATTTTGTTTTCAGAGAATTGACGAAAATGTTCATTCACAGCTTCGTGAGAAGTTAGGTGACAGGTTACAGAGGCTGCAGCGAGGGTATCTTTATTCACTTGTTTATTTCTGCTCATATTTCAGCCTCATTAGCACATCATGGCTCTGTAAAACAAACACACACTTCTTCCTAAACCCAAGGCTCATTTCCTATTTATTGTTACTTTATTCCACAGAGATATGCAGATGTTTGAAGAATCATTTTCCTATTCTTGTCCAAAGTTCATCTCTCCTGTTCCTCCAAATTTTGATGCACCACCTGCTAATTTTAACAGGGTAAGATGATACAAGTAAGCTCAAAAAGAAGCTGTGTCATGAAGTTAATCAAAATTCTAGCCTGCCTAGTTGACGATTTTTTTTTATATTTTGGTGTGTTTTTTCTCTTATGTTTCACAAAGTAAGAGCTAGATACAACTGCATGAAAGCTGAACCGCAGATGATAACTTGTCCCCTCATCCCTCCCCCTTCCCCATTGTTTTCTTTTTCGTCCTTGGTTCAGCTTTTGCGCAGTTGTATCTCTTACTTTATAAACCACAAACGAAAAAACACACCAAAAGGCTATCAAAATTCAAACAGTGGGAACTGGCACCAAACTGAGTGAAACAAAAATAAACACTCGAAACATGAAAAGAAGGTATAAACAGCACAGAAAATACCAAAGGAGGCCTGGATAAACAAATTTGAAGATGACTGAAACAGATTGCAATATTATTTTAAAATTCGGTTGATAATTTCTGCTACCTTTTTTTCAGGAACCATTTAATCTGCAACTGAAGGTTTTCATGAATGAAGTCTCACAGCAATCCCTTATACCAGTCATTAGAAGGTGCACATTCAACTGGACTATTTTCCATTTTTTAGTGTATAATCTAACAATCCACTGAAGTCAGTTGTTTTAATGATGTAATTTTATTAAAAATTGCAAGCTAAAAATACAATGTTAGTGTGTAGGAAGAAAAAAAATAGTTATAAATGAGTAAATAAGTAAAATAAAATTGAACATCACAAGAATATTATATGATTGAGTTTAGAAAATTGGGTTCTGTCTTAACATCCTAAAAATATATTGCATTATGTATCTTAGAACAAGTAAATAAAAATTAATATTATTAATATATTATTGTTTCCTTTTAGAAAAACATGCATAAATATGGAGATAAACCCATTTGACTTGTATAAAGCTATAAGTTCCCTTAAATCTCCTACACAATGAGTGAAGGTGGTTTGTTCCAAAGGGAACTTCTTTGCTGCGATGGTGGGGGAGTAACATACAAAGATTATATTATTTAGGGGATATAGTAAGTGAACTACCTAATGAGACTTAAAGTGTGTTCCTTTGAGATGATCCGGATCAGGATCAGAAATCCGTGATCACTAGGATCATGGTAGATAAAACACTTTGGACAGGGATTCATCAGTTCACTTGATCTACCATGATCAGAGTGATCTCGGATCACTGATCCTGATCCAGATCACACCAAAGGAATGCACCCTTAAAAGCCATTTGTCAGAGCAATTTGGCCTATATATCTATTGTAAGTAATATTTATTGATTATTGTTTTCCTTTTTAATTCCCAGTTACTTGAAGCTATACACAACAATGCCCATTGCCAAGCTAGCAGCTTTCCTAGACATGGTGAGTTAGAAAACTTTTAGAGGCGTGGGAACTCACAATAAGAGAGGGCATCTAATAAATAATGTCAAAGATCTAGTTAAACCACAAAACCCCCTCTTCTTTAATCTGGTTATATGTAAAGACATTCCTTATGAAGAGCTGGCAAGCAGACCAGTGACTTCACACAGATGTGACAGAAACTGTAAATCTTACACCGGTCGTTTAGCCACCAGTAATGCTACTCTGGCCAAGCAGATAGCCAGTAAAACTAGGATAAACATGTAGGGTCAACTCTGAGCAAAACAGTTATACTTTGTGGCTTTATTTCACTTGGTTATATTCTTTTACACTACTTGTGCTTTTCTTTCAGGATGAGAACCAATTCAGGACTCAACTTCTCTGTTTTAAGGTAAATGTTATTTGCCATGGTTAGACCAGTGTAAATAGCAAAGTAAATGACGCAGCAAATGTGATTTCAATCCCTGGGCAGGATTGTTCGAAGCTGGGTTAAGATAACCCAGGGTTAGTGTGAAATTTGAACTCAGACATGAGAGCTTAAAAAGTAAATTCAGTTTAATTCTCTTTGCCTCCAATTAATTTTGATGATTGGATACTTTAAAAATGATAGAGAAAATTATCCGAGAGAGTGCTTTTGATAAAAAGATACAGAATCCTGGCTTAAAATTTAACCCTGGGTTAGCACTAACCAGTGTTTGAACAACTAGGTCCTGTTGTGTACTGTAGCTGTAGGCAGAATCTAACATTTTAATTTTTCACAGCACAAACAGAGAAACCTTGTCTGGACCAAAGGAACTGATGCTCTTGAAGGAGAACTTCAGTCATCCTCTGAGGTGGACTTCTATATTGATCAGGTAAAAAGTGATTGCATATATTATTTATTAAACATTACTGTATAATCCTGCGGTGCTTACCAATAAATTTTGACAGAAAAATCCACTTGGGGTGTCAAAAGCATAATAGTAAGCGATTTGCCAGTTTACCGCAGAATTGCCTCATCCGTTACAGTTTGAATCCAAAAAGTGGTGAATTTGTGTAGCATGAGCCTGGAACCGAGAAGGAACCGAGAAATTGGTTAAAGGGAAGCGACATTTCCGTTTGGTTTGTACCAACTGGAATGAACGGACCTTGGTTGGTATTTCCAACAAGTGACCTTACCATTTACCTTCCATTCGGAATTTACAAAATTTTCTGTCAAATGATAAGCACCCCGGGTAGTATAAAGAACTTTCAAGAGGGTTGGGTGAAAACACTCTGGGTGTCATGCACTTATGAGAATGGAGAACTTCAGTGAACAAGGAAGTTTGGAAGGAAGTGCCTGCAACAGTCATTGTTTGGCAGGTATTTTATGCTCAGTTTCTTCTTCCTCTCTTGTGCACCCCTTGTATCCTCACAAACCTAAATTCTTCTTCCCCATTCATCTTCGTTGCCTGCCATGCAGGTACAAAGATGACTGTAATTTATAATTTGAAGTTAATTGTTCCAAGAGATATGGCCCAACGAATAAATTATTATTTGCCATCATTATTGTGTAATGCTAATGTTGGCTGCATTGAGTGCCCTTGATGAAAAATAAATTAATAAAATAATAATAATAATTTTATTGATAACAATGCTAACTATTTTAAAAAATCCTATTTACAATTATTGTTTCACTTAAAAAATACTATTCCGTCAAAACACTATTTACAATTATTCCTAAATCCATTAAAAAACACTGAGTTTTGATTAGTATCAAATAATTATAATAATAAATTATAATAAAACACTCAATGATGAGTTGCTTAATTTTAGGACATGATTCACATCGCTGACACCAAGGTTGAGCGGCGGTATGGAGATTTCTTCATTCGCCAGATTCACAAGTTTGAAGAGGTTAGTCAGAATTTTTCATGAATCTGATCACCTTAGCTCTTGGTCCAGTTCCTGAACAGCCCATCTCCCCAGGGACATTGGTCTTACAACTTAGTTCACTAAGATTAGACCTGTTTTAGAATATGCCTCGCCTGTCTGGGGAGGGCTGCCCATTTACCTCGAAGAAGATCTACAGAGAGTGCAGAATAGATGTCTAAATGTCATTGGTCTCCCTAGGGATACTGTTGAGTCACTTGTAACTAGGCGTCGGAATTTGACAAGGAAAGAATTTAAACGTATCCTAGAATCTGAACAACATCCTTGTAAACGTTTTTTAGAAAAGCCAGTGGATCATGGCCATAATCTAAGATCTTGTAAGACTAACCCAGCGCACCTCAGAATACCTGTATCACGCACTGTTAGGCACAAACAATCATTTATTCCTAGAGGTGCTAATCTTAACTTAATTTGATATGTATATATAATATGTAGTGTTTTGAATTTTTATTGTAATATTACCGTAATTCTTATCGCCAAAGGTAATAAATAAAGGTTATTATTATTATTAATTACCTTGGGATTGTGTTCACCTTCATACATATGTTTTTTTCCACTCCTTTAGGTTACCAAGAACATTCAAGCAGTGCAGTGAAAGTTTATAGCCGGGATACCATACGCAAACTCAAACTGCAAAACTACAAAGAAAAAGTGAAAGACCTACTGCAAAGTTATGTTTTTAATGAGGTCTCTGATCTTTCAATTCAGTTGTTGTGCTCTTCAGGAAAGACTGAGATTTGTGGGACTAAAGCTCCATAAAAAACATTCTTTCCAATTGGATTACAGTAAATTGTAATTTATTAGGAAACATGTTATGCCCAATTAATGTCTTGATAGTGTAACTACTAAATAAGGTGGAGGAAATGCAATAAATATGAATGAAAAATGTTAGTAAAGTTAAAAGTTTCTCTTTTATGTTGTTAAACAATATAATGGTAAACGCCTGGGCGTGTAGTTACAGTATGAGTTATGGTTGCACTTGGGAGGATGAGCCACACTTGGCAATCAGCTTGTGTAACTCTTATGCTTCTTTCGTGGTTAGCAACCTCCCATGTACAACCTTAACTCAATAGTACACACTGAGCCATTTATTGATGTTTTAAAAATCTTTACTTTCAAAACGAAGCCATGTGAAAAAACTTTGTTTTGAAAATGGGTTTATTTCCTTGGGTACCAAAGGTTATTTCTTGTGTGATGTTTGCAATGAGATGCTTTTGGTGCCTGTCACAATCTGATATGTCTTCGGCCAAAGCCATGAGCAACAAAGTTGTGAAATCAAACTTGTTTTCCATTCTGGTCACATAACATGATAGATGATAAAATGATGACGTAAAATGCCTCTGGCCTCCAAGGCACGGTTTTATGTACATTATAATAGAAACAAATTCTTTTAGTTTAGGGGCAACTTAGAAATGCCCCACAAACCCTTCCCCCTTGTTTCCCAAATTTCAATTTTGCCAAGTTTGCTTGATTCCAGAAATATTTCTCAATGTCTCCTTGATCGTTCACTGCAAGTCTTCTCTCTTCACCACTTGCATACTCACATATCGCACTTCCTCACCATTTGGTCACAGATTTTCGAGCTAAAGAGAGACTACACCTCACAGTCTACCTTGATCCCAAATACTGCTCCTCAATTTGTTGTTACAATCAAGTTGTATTAAATTTTACTTTACCAGAACTATCATATTAAAGAACCTGAAAGCTCCTGTCAAATGTTTCCTTGTTTTTCAAACCTCTAGGAAATCCCACCAAACATTCCCAAACATTAACAAGAAAGTCCATTTCATCAGAACTAAAAACTTGCCATCGTTCAACACTTTTTGCCATTTGTTAGCTTTTATTTGCTTGAGTCAATAAAACACAAAACAAATTTATCAATGAAAAAACATTGACTTGCAAATAGAATGGGTCATATAAAAATTTATATACTCTCAAAATTAAATAACATTTAAATAAGAACACTGGTTATATTATTTTTAGAAATCAGACAAATTATACAAAAATATACAAAACAAAAAGTTCCACCAGTAAAAAATTATGAAATCTGAACATAAGAAAAATTATAGCGAAAGGCAAAAAAACCGTTATCAATTAATTTCCTATACTAATGTTAAATTTTTAAAACAAGTCGCTAACAATCGACAGAAAATTTGCCTCTTTTCTCGCGCGAGGCTTCCACGCACGCGCGTGGAAAGACCGAAGGTGTGTATGCAGACAAGTCAGACAACGACGGAGGAAAGTTCCTCGTCGCAAATGTTTAAGACAGTCTCGGCATTGGCCTTCAAAGGGCGCAGTACATCCTCGTTCTTTTCTTTGGCCGACAGTTCACTAATAGAGGAAATGATCTTGTCCAATGCCGAAAGATTTTCTTCACACGACTTCTTGACGGCGGTGACTGCTTGTTTTACTTCTTCGACTTCCTTCTCTAAGTCGCTGGAATTTTTTAGGAGCTTGCTGTCATCAATAGCTTTGCTTATTTCTTCTTTTATCTTTTGGAGCAAACCCATAATAAAGTCCTTTATAATGTTGTTAGCTTCCTTTGATGCATCTTTGATGAGTTTTTCCATATCATCCTCGCTGACTTGTTGTTTACTCTCTTCACATCTTCGTAGTAATTCAATCACGCTTTCCACTGCTTCCAGCATTCGATCTGCATTCACTTCTTTCACATCCGAATTCAAACTTGTGGTCATGACAGTTTTTGCCAAGATCGCTCGAAAATTGCAGGCCTTTAAGTCCTCGTTGACCATAGCTGCGGACATATCTTTAACACTTGTCAGGTAGGAAACTAGATTCATTCGCGTGGTTTCACTAAATACCGAGATATCGACAGCAGCACTTTGGGAATCCACTCGTATTTTAAACACATCTTTAGACAGACTCTTGAGTGATTCTTCTAGCTGGTCATAGCTTTTGAGGAGTTCTCGAAGCGAGTTTGCAAGCACGTTGAAAGGCTGATTCGGTGAAGCCATATTCTTTGACGGCTCAAAACGCGATCTTTGGTTTTATAACTTTTGGTATGCAAATCTCTGTGAAAAATGATCTGAAGCAGGTGGCTTTGTTTCGTTTCTTGATTTCACGGAACGCATAAGATCAATATTTGAATAACAAAACCATTGAGATGAATCTGAAAATAAAACGTTCTGTTACGAGTGAAAATTGATCATCTGCTCTTTCGATTCAGTTTACAGTGGAACCTCTGTTCAGGTACCCTGCGTAGTAGCAAGCGTTTCCAATCTTTTAAAAATTTCACGCTGCAGGACCAAGGCATGGGCTGAAGTTTGTTAATAATTAAAAAGAATTAGATGAACAAGCCAACTGGGAGCAGGTTCGTTATAAACCCGTAAAAGGCCGGATGATGCTGAAGTTATGAATATATGAAAATCATATATGTGAACTGCGAAGTGAAGAATTAAATGAAGGATGATTATCGCAGTTTATTATATAAACTGCAGTGTTTTACAAGGATTTCTACCACCGAGAAATGTGGTATCTGAACACACGTATAGTGTAAAAATACGATATTTTTACATGTGAAGATATCGATAATTTCACTGACATCAGGTCTGTCTCTTAAATTGTACTTAAATTCGTTGGTGTATCATCGAAACATCTTCGGGTCTTCCTCGAAAGTGCTCGGCAATCTTCGGATATCTTCGGAATTCGGAAATTTTCGGAAAATGTTCGGGAACGTTCGTCTGGTGTTCGGGACAATTTGAAAAATCTTCGGAAATCTTCGGAAGGTGGTCGGAAATCTTCGGAAAATCATCAAAAACGCCGTCATCAGTATGTTTATATAATAAACAGAATAATACATGAGCTTACATGGACGCCTGGAGATATGGAATTTATCTTCTCGTGTTCACATTCGATATCTCACTCGTTCGCTGCGCTCACTCGTTCGATATCGATGTGAACACTCGAAGATAAATTCCATATCTCCGCGCGACCATGTATTATTCTCTATTTAATATATACCCAACTTTTGCAGTTGCGAAAATAAAGCCTGAAAAAAATTCTGGCTTGTACGGGATTCGAACCCTTGAACTCTGCGATACCGGTGCAGCGCTCTGCCAATAACAAGCCAACTGGGAGGAGGTCGTTGAATTGGTTCGTTATAAACCCGTGAAAGGATGATGCTGAAGTATGAATACATGAAAAAAATATATGAAAATCATATATGTGAACTGGGGACCCAGAAAAAGTGTCCCTTTCCCCTGATTAGAGTAGTCCCTTCAATAGAGGTAGCAGTTACAAAGATCAGGGTCGTAACATGGTATATCCGGGGCCCGCTGATCCCTATTTTCTTGCCGTCATTTTGATCCCTGAGCCCCATTTTCTCCCAAATCTTGATCCCTGAGCCCTGATAAAAGAATTGATCCCATCCATGTTTTTACACAAAATTTTAACTTAGGCAACTTTTTTTATCTCCAAATATAGAATATAGAACATGCTCAAATAGGTTGATGAGAAAAACATTAACTTTAATTTTTTAGTGCAAGTTGTAGGTTCTATCAGAGCTAACTGTCTACTATCCCTGTTGATGTTGTAGTCTTATGCGAATTTCCACTCTCACACTGTTTGTGGTACAGTGAGGATCACGATCAATTACCAGTAACAAAATACCTGCTTTACATGAAGTAGAAAAATAAATGATGCAAGCCACAGGTTCTACAGTTTAACAGCTTTTCTGTGTCAAGCCCATTAACGGCTTTTCCTGGCTTAATAACCATTGTGTAGATTGTCAGAGGACATACCTGGTTGTAGGTCTTCCAGACCTACTCCTTCCAGCTTCAAATCTAATTGGCTCTGAAAAGTTGTCCGCCCGAGCTTGCTCCCCTTCCTCTTCGATTCGTCACCACTTGACGTAGGTGAATCATCTGATTCAATTGACCCCTGGAGCAATGCAACTAGGAGTTGCTCTTCAAGGCTGCTTAAACAGAAGTTGTTTCCATCTTTTATTATTTGAACTTTCCCGATGATATACACTCAGGTGAATTTCTATCGTCACGGTGCCCAGTCTGGTATACAAGGGGATCTTCTTCTGACTGTTCCAGCCATCTCAAACCCATGTGATCTTCCAGGAATGCGTCACCGTTATAGTGGAGATCTTTTAAAAGAACTGCAAGGAAGAAAGGATGATATACCTCTTGTAATTGTGCTTGAGAGCAACTACGTCGCCTTTTGAATAGATAATCTCATATTCTTCGGCGGCGCCTTGAACTGTAGTTTGTCCTTCACTCCCTTGAACCTCTTTCGGCAGATCGACCTCTCTATATACCGACGCATTCCTTTTGAACATACTCAGAGCAAGTAGAAGTGTACCAGCACTTTCTTTGGTCTTCCCTCTTGTTCGTTGCTGTCGTACACCGCATCCGAATTCCTTCGCAAAGCTCTGCAATGCCTTTCTTTGTCGCTCCTTTCCCTCCGCGCTCGTTTCCTCGTCCATATCCTCCTTAAGGTTTACTCTTGCCGTGCGACTTTCGAAGCCATTCCGGTGCCTTTGCACCCAGCTTTCTCTGTGTGTAATGGCTTTGAGGACCGGTATAAAAGATAAAAGAGGATTGGTAGAGCCTCTCTATTGATTCTAAAAGGCAGCTGGGCCGCCGCGATGCGTATTCGTTCAGAGCTGGTGTTGTCACTCCACTAAAAAATTCAGGCTTCAAATCTAAGGTGGTGATACCTTTCGGGGCCAACCATTACATAAGCCGAGGCCGAATAACCCAAAGGGCCGAAAAAATTCTTGTAGATCAATATTGTCACTAAAGTCTGTAAATTTTGGGCAAAACAAAATAGCCACTGAACGAATGAGGTCTGAAAAAATCTTGCATGAAAAAAACTAACCCATCCCCGGCTCAAAAATCAAATAGTGGGCCCCTTACTGGTGGCCCTTCATGCTGAGTGCTATAATATATTAAATACCTGCAGACTGCTACTTGTACCTAGTATGCAACATTCCTTCCACTAATTCAACCGTTTATTTTATAAAAAAAAAAACTAAAGAAAATAAACTATTAAGGTTTTGTTACTTTTATTTCACCGAGGTAAATCTTTGGTGTTCCACTTATTTTCACTAATTCTACACTGTAATTTCAGACTATTTATCATACAAGCATTTATCAGTTATACAGTAATGGAATGTGTCATTTACTTTCCCGGCCCAATACTAGTACTGGAAGGTGAACCGATCTCGGTTTCTCATCAGAGTTCGAGATGACCCTAAAACTCCATGCAGTTAGAGCAGATTTATTAAATTGCGAGAAAGCATTTATTTTGCAACAAAGCGCGCGAACTCATTGTACTTTTGTATTCTACTTTTGACGTCCATTCTAATTATTTAAGTACTTTTAAGAGTTAAGGTACTGGTCAAAAAATACGAACCTTGATTTATAGTCGCCTTGTGACTTGCTTGCGGCGATGAGGCAATCGGGACCTATACAGTAAATTCCTCTTTCAATGAATCGGTTTGTCTATTGTCCTGGCGGTATTGTTATGTTTGATCGGCCAAAAAACTCTATGCTTGGACCCTTGCCAGGAGTAAATCAGTCAAGGAAGTACTTACATACCTTTCTCTGTCACAGGATTTCTTTTTGTCCTTTTCTTCTTCCCCATTTCTCGCAGAAAAAGGTATGTATAAATCGCTTTCTCTGCCTTCTGGCGTTGACAGCGCGTTGAGGAGTTGCGTTACAAAGCGAGAAAAGTGACTTGAGATTCATATTACGGTGCTCTCAACAATTAATAAATTAAGAATATGATACCATGTTTTCGTCAAACAACCAGGACTTCATATGACAGGAACTGCCGCCAGCCGGAAGCAAGAATAGGTAATGAACCTCGGCCAGGAAATACTGTGGACACAAACCTTATTAAGCGGAAAATATTGTGATAAGAGATTTTTATACCGTGTAATAAATCTGATCCCTGATTCGGGCTCAAAAGCCTTGTGATCCCTGATCCCATTCTTCTGAGCCCTGAGCCCTTTCCTCTGAACCCTGATCCCAGTCATATTTTGGGCTTTGAGCCCTGAGCCCATATACCATGTTACGACCCTAAAAGATTGTGTGAACATTTTTCCGCGACCAAATTTCGTGTCCCTTGAATTGAGGTGTCCCAAGGGAGAGGTCACCCTGAAGTAAAAAGGCACTTTTAAAAAACGTGGGCTTTTTACATTCAAGGTATTTTAAATGACTCGAACCCTACAAGCTAGCCCTATTCACAACACCGCACCTGCACCTACAAATTAAATCACAGCGCTTTTAAAAAGCATTCAGTAGGGACCCCACTAAAGGTAACTATCTTTAGAAGGGTCGGATCGAGGGTTCCAGATCAAGTGCAGCCTTTAAACAGCAAAAAAAAAAAAAGAAAAAAAGAAAAAGAAAAAGAAAATGAACCCCGAAGAGTACAATGCTTAGTTGGTTGAACAGTTAATCGCGATGAATCTAGCCTGCAGAACATTCGTAATTTTGTTTTCGCGTTTTTCAGGCGGAGCGAGGAGCGCGAGATAAGCGCCTTTCCCCGTGACGCGTATCTGGCGCTCCACGCTCCGGCCTCATGCCTCACTTTTTTTGGCCCCGGTTGTTCAAACGTTGGATAGCGCTATCCACCGGATAAATCGCTATTCAGCGAATAAGTATTAGGGAAATCAGATGCGTTATCCAGTGGATAGTGATTAACCCACTGGAGATAGCACTATCAATCTTTCGAATAACCGGGCCCTGCAGGATAAATAAATGCAACCAATTGAATAGACGCTGGAATAGACGCTCATTCTCACATACATACGTTGATAGTCTGTCCTCCTCAAAGACCTCAAATATTGCATAAATTAAACACGCAAACAAAATAACAAAAAACTCAGGAGCCAATGACCCTGATAAACTCATACGGACTCCTGATAAACTGCAAAAAAAACGTGGACTATTTAAGGCCCAACCCCCGGGGCCCAAACCCGAAAAATGACATCAATCCTGCTCATGGGAAAAACAAATACTAAGAATGTGGTAACATATAGTCTCCTTCGCAGCCGTTATTAGGGTCGTCACTCGGTCACGCAACGCTCCTAACGGCTGCGAAGGAGACTAGGTAACATACAAACCTTCATCAAACCGCTTTCTGAATACTCTAAAGGGATGGTTCATCAGTTTTCATAGATGATTTGTTTCTCATGAAGCTGGGCAATTACGCTCTTGAATTTAGCCGATACAGTTTAGGTATCCTATCTAACATCTAAGGATTACTGGAAGAACACAATTCCAAAAAGGTAAAGGTTCGAGACCCTGAAATACAATACCCGCGCCACATACCCCACCCGATCGGGCAGCACATACCCTATGGGAGTACCCGCTAGGGATTTTTTAAAAAAATAGTCAATCCTCAGATGGCTGGTAGCCTGAGAACAGACTTATTCCGGTCATCACTTCCAGTTCTCAAGCGACGGCAGAAAATACGTGTGCAGGCTACCACTTACCAGTATGATAACCTTAGAAACTCAGGATTAAGTTACTACATCCCTGAACCGAGAACTGAGTTTGGAAGAGCCTACACTGAGTAACGAGTATCTGTTCTATGGAAAAGGATTTCCCTTTGTGTTCAGAACTTTGCCCGCCTTAAGAGACTTCAAGACCTCACTGAATGGGAAAGATTGTTATTTTCAGTTCTGAATATGATAAAATCCGTACTTTTATGATATGTATACTTTACAATTATTCCTCGAGCCCGAATGGGCTCTGTGAGGCCGAGGGCCAATTGGGCTATTGACTCAGAGGCCATGAGGGCGAGAGGAATAATTGTTTTAGTAAAATCCAACTACTGTACGTAGTTGGTCAAAAATATCGAGACAAAACAACTTTTAGCTGGTTAAAACTAGACGTAAATCCCTTTTTGCCGCCCAAACTCCGGCGCTCTTCGCTACTAGTGGGCTATACTCTTTTTTTTTTTTTATAAGAATGTTGTTTTTCCGGCCCAGGCTGAATATTCTTATTTTTCTGCCGATTTTAGGCTGAAAAAATTCTTGTATTATTCTTCAATTATAGCTTATGACATTTCCGTTTTAGAATTTATTGGGGTATCAATTATAAGTTTTTGGTATGTAGATCTGCATCGCGTTAAATTGTGCACGTGCTCCATCGCTTTTCGTCGCAGTCAGCGAGGTTTTCGCCGTTCAGAGAAAGGAATAATTTTATACTGTTAAGTTAAAAACATAGAATTGTATTGTATTTACAGATGTTTCAACACACAAAATTATATCCATCCTTTTCAAAATCTCAGCCTCGGCTTTATTCTTAAAATATTCTTAAAATTTCGCAAATTTCAGCCTCGATATTCTTATAAAATATATTCTTATATAAAAAAAGAGTGTATAACATTTTGCCTAGTAGTAGCTCAACCAATCAGAACTCAGCATTGATAATAGACCACTAGTTGGATTTTACTAAAGGTGTGTGTATATATGCATGTACATTCTTCTTATTTCTATATCTAATTTAAGTTAAGCCTAGGGTTATTAGTAATGAAATATAGATGCCTTTTACTTTTATTATTGTAGAATATTATATGTCACAGATCGTAGATAGTTAGACACGATTCCTAGGAAGACCACTTTTATTGTGATAAGATTTGGTGTATAAATAAAGTTGTTGATGATGAGATGATGACGAAGTTCCACCCCCAACAGCTTTCTCGTTTCGCAGGCTAAAATGTCGGTAATTTACAATTACAATTTAGATAATTTAAAATTCGACACGTCCAAAACATAAAACAAATATTAAAAATACAAAGGAGACAAAAGAATATAATCGGACAGGAATAAACGCGTGACAATTTGATAGAGCAATTTAACAAATGCTCAATCAATTGCTAGGAAACGGAAGCAGGAAGAGAGAATGCATGGATTTATTTCCCGTTGTGGTAGAAGTTAATAATCCAGTCGGTTCAAGGGTAAACGTGTTTAAATGAAGAATACAACGTCAATGTTGTAAAATAAGAAATCTTTCGACACAGCGATCTACTGACACTGTGTTTTATGTCACGCAAATTTAAAGTTTGGATCACCTATAATCTCATCGATCAGTAAATAAAGCGAAAGGAATGGCGGAACGGAGCGTTATACCTATTGAGCAAAATCAACACTCTGTGGTTGCCAAGATTTGTAATCCGTGGACGTGGCGTCTCGCAAATGTTGTCATGGCTTTGTTTTTCGCTTTGGCTGCATATGTTCAGGTGAGTATCAAAATTTGTTGCATTGTCTACTGAAATATTTCTTGCTATGATTTAAGGCCCGAAAGTTACAGTGAAAATTAGCCAGTCGATCGTCTGACAGTTTTGCAAAAATATCGCGGTTAAAACTTTAATAGACTTTCTTAAAGTACTCTGAGATTCGCTGTTGGTTCTCTCTTCTTGACTAAAGCACATTTTCTGCACTTCAATAAACTTGTCACTTTGACGCCGTCGTATCTGTCTTTGTCAGTTAGTATTTCCTGCTGTACGATACGATACGATGCATGCATGGGTACTTAAGTGCCTTTTCCATTTAGAAGGATATTTTGAGGTCTTGAGGTTTTTAAAAAGTAATATAGAATAAAATCGGTTTGTGTTTATTAGTTAAAATACAGTGGAACCTCGGGGGGGGGGGGGGGGGGTATTTCACACAAAATTTTGGGGGGGGTGGGGGTGGGGGGTGGGGGTTGAGAACCCCAGCCCTTTTTAGGAAAAAAAACAACAAAAAATAAACACTATCACAGACTGTTTTTACACAACCCCCTCCATATATATTTGGGTGTTTTTGTTGGCGCGTGGTATATACATAGGGTGTTGGGTGTGGAGTAGATGCTTTTTTTTATTTAAAGGGATTTTTTGTGTTTGGTGTTTTTTATAAAAAAAATAAAAAAAAAAGTTGTGTTTTTATTTTTTATAAAAAAAAATGTGGGCCGGGGGGGGGGGGGGGGGGGGATATCTCGACCAACATTTGGGTAGACTGGGGTGAGCCGTTGAGGGTTTGAAACCCTGACCCTGTTTAGGACAAAAACAGCCTAAAATACATGACCATACCTAGCCTGTTTAGGACAACCACCCTCAATTTTATAACTCTGTTTAGCACAAAGGAAAAAAAGCATTCCGTCTTGTTTGAAAGCCATTCATTGGCAATTGCAATAGAGAAAATTCATGTCATAATCATTGCTTTTTTCAGGGGCGGATCCAGGATTTTTTTTAGGAGGGGGTGCACTCATCTCTTACTCTACTTCAACACCAATAAACCATATAGCTCTTTTTTTTTTTTTGCAGAATACCAGTTGTATTAGAAAACCGCAGGTCATCTCAGGGAGGGGTGTGCACCCCCTGCACCCTCCCCCTAGATCCGCCCCTGTTTTTATACAAAATTCATCTAGGAAATCAAATCAATCGTGCAGGATATACCCTTTTAACAGACTCATACGAAATTATATACCTTGTTTAGGATAGAGAAGTCAAAAACCATACCCTATCCATTGGCACATCAACATATAGGCCACACATAGTACAACAGGGCAATGGACAAGAGATATAAACTTAGATGATTTCTTTCCAGTGAGTTGAGATTTATCCAGTGGATAGCCGTATCCACCTCAGTTTTGACCAATGGGAGCCTTCAGGTCTGCAAAGCAAGTGAGACTGCATGGCCCCCTTCTCTACGTGCACCCCCCCCCCTCCCCTCCAACCTTCGATCTCCTTAATTTCTACAATGGAAGGTATCTGAGGCTTATTAAGTTTCGTTTTTATTTTTATTGACAGACAAATGACCCAGATCCGGTAATTTGGGTGGTAAGTATTTGTTTCTTTAATTCAGAAAATATACAACGTATTGCAATTTATTTATTTCTTAATAAAGGGCAAGAGCTGGGCATTGCAGTAGCATGGCAGAACTTAGTATAGACAAGTTTGTAATGAGGCATAACACATGAATGTTTTGTTTTTAAAATTAATTCAATTTCAGCTAATGTATGCAATTCCTTGTCTACTCTGTATGGCTTTGGTGGCCGACTCATCATTACAAGGTATTTAAATACTTTCTTATCATGATCATCATCATCACCATCATCATCATCATCATCACCGTCATCATCATCATCATCATCATCATCATCATCATCATCATCATCATCATCATCATCATCATCATCATCATCATCATCATCATTGTCATCATTACTTTAATTAGTTTTTTTTTTTCCAAAGTACTATCTTAATATAACTTATAGTTAAACGTTTGTATGGGGACCATACACCACTAGAAATATCAATACCTTAATAAATGAGTCGTACACTGTATGGCTCACTAAAAAAGTTTTTAAAATTTATAAGTTATTAAAGAAAATAATATTTGGTCTTAACAGCCTTTATTGCCCAGTCATAATTAATAAGATCTCAACAGTTATTAAAGATAAAAAGCCAATTTCATGGCTATTGCCCTACTAACAATTGGCACCAAAAAATGTGACAATCACACAGTGTGAACCTTACTTTCAAAAACGTTTAAATGAAACTGCTGCGCAATATTTTTTTCTTTTCTTTTCTTTCCAATCTCATGTAAATATTATTTATACATAAGATATGTGCAGACATGCTTTAGAGCTATTCCTTTCCTCCTTATCAGGTTATTATAAGTAGGATCTAATGCTGAAGTTTTCTTTTTGGAAGATCACTTTCTCTGGAAACTAACAGCTGCCATTCACCTTGGTGTATGTATCGTTGGAGTGATCTACTCATTGACTGTCCTACTTTCATCTGAAACTGGCTCAAAAAACCTTCTGAAATCTGAAGAGGGGAGGTAAGGATAACACTAAACCTGTAAACATTTTGATCTTCACCAGAAAGCTGGAGATAAAAAGAAATGTGTTCATTCACAAGTTTGTGAAACATGGTTCACCATAATGTATTCAGTAAATTAATGTGTACTCTCTTGATTCAAACTCGTAGTAGAATGATGATGGCTATCATCCCACCAAAATGACACTGGCTCACTTGCGAGCACTACATATTATTGAGAAAATCTTGTACTTGTAGTTGTCCTTGTCTTAGAGTGTAAAGGTCTCTAGTTTCCATATATACCTCCCCTTCCGCAGAAGAAATCTTTTCTCTACCCCTCCCCCTACCCTGGTTACTTGCAAAGTAAGCGACGTAAATAAATAATTACACATTTGTCATTTCAGGGAAATTGCAGGTTTACTGATTGTGGTATTCTGGTTGATTCTCTGCCAAGTGACAAAACTCAAAAGGTAATAAATGGAGACAAGCTTGAGGTCTAATACGATTGCTTAAAACATTAAGGATTATAATAATATTATTTATCAGACAATGATGCAAACATGACATTTTTTCATTCTGGTACATTGCAATATTGATTCCAATCCAGTTTGAAAAGCAATAACTTTGTAGATGATAAAAAAAAATATGGTTAAGCAGTGCTGGTGTAAACCTCAACGTGTAACCACCGCCTTTTTCAAAAGAACAAATTTTTATCAATTTTGGTTTCTCAGTCAAGGTACTTATAGTTGGAACCTCTTGTTCCAGGGATTTAGAGGCAGAGAGTACTGTGGTCTATTAGAGTCTTGGAGCTAAATAGAGAATTAAAGTATTCTGTTCACCACTCTAGATCTAACTAACAACTAACTCCATTTATTACTTTACAGCTTCAAAGAAAACACTGCCTATCTTTGGACTGTCACTGTAGCCATTTCTGTCATTCCTTTTGTTCTCTGGTCTTACTACACGTACACATTGGATGTGTCCTCTTTACAGAGCCACTGCAAAGATATCATGTCAAGATATCTGTTTAGACAATCTGAGATGTAGATTTTTAGTGTCAAATTATAGATATATGTAGTTTTTAGCTTTCCTCTGGGCATGATCAAATGCGCTTTATAACAGCTAGGTTAAAAAGACTAAAAATGACTTAAATTTACAAGCAGGTAAAAACTCAGGTCAGGCAGTATACTGGCAACAATTTAGAGTTTAATGAAAAACCAGCTGAGGCTAACTGACCATATTTTTTGAGACGGAATACTTTAATTTTGCAGAAATTAATCTATATTCAATCAATAGGTATTTTAATGCCAATATTAATTTATTAGTGACAGATTCAAGTTCCGCCTGAGATAGCACCTTATATCAGCATGCAACAATTGCAAATTAAATAAAGTTTGAAATAATAAAACTATTTATCTATCAATATTCTCCAAAAAAACAATGTTATTCTGAAATAAAAAATGATAACTGAGCTGTGCCCTTTCCATCTCTTTATAAACCTTTTTGCTTACTAATAGGTAAGATAGAGCTGGGTCACCTTAGGTACTTGAAAGTCTTGCCAGCTTCCTACATAATTGAAACATTTGACAGGCACCAACTACCAGTCTAATTGTTCTGGAGCTGACATTATATGCTCCTACAAGTACTTCTTTAAGTAACAAGTACTTCGTGTACCCGGCGGGGATTACATTGCTACTTTTTTTATCTGACAGATATCTTAAAAATAGCTTACAGGTCCTTGTTTAAATTAACTGAAGTAAAGCTGACTCGGCCCTTAAGATTTCTTCATCCAAGTCATCCTGGGCTACCGTTGAAGATTTAAAGCATAAAGTGCTCATATCAAATGACTCCCCAGCCTCTGTATATTCCTCCTCTGTCATCCATTCCCAAATTTCTCCCTTTTCTCTTTCTAGAGAAATGAAGGAGGTCCACCATTCTGCTTGTACCACAGTTAATCCAGCCTTTTAGTGCCCTAGCACTGACTCTCCATCACTGTGTAGCGTTCTTTAATAGTGTTGTGTCTGGCGTGAGCAACCACTGAATTCCCAAAGGCATTTTGGACATGATAACATGGTGTTCTTCTTATAACCACTCCTAATTTTCCCCACCAACCAGAGGATGGTATACCATTTTGACCTCACCTTTTCCATTCTTTGTTAAACAGAAAAGTATTGGGTCCCATGATTTTGAAAACATTGAGAGGAATGGCCAAATACATGCCTTAACATAGTAGATGTTGTCCGTTTAAATTGTTGGTGGGTTTGGCTTGTAACTGGACAAGATGAACTGTTGCAGGGCATCCAGTGTGGTTGCATTCACTTTCCTCAGTCCTTCTGATATTCTACCGAAAATCTGTTGAAAAAAAGAATATGGCATCTTTTAGATTATCCTTACTTTAAACAGCTTTCTCTGAGAAGAAATGTAAATATGGCAGCACTAGCGGGTTTCAAAAATTGTTTTGCTTTGCACACTTTCTCGTTCAATGTCCTCATATGTGCGTCCAATGAGAAGATAGAGAAGATAGGATAGTTTTGCCCACAAACACAGGAGAGGTACATGTAAAGAACAATAAGGAAGAAAGTGACATAGGTAATACAAGGCTAATGTCTATCTGATCAGTCTATCCCATCGCATAAAAAATTGTTTTTTTTTTCAATCTTTTTTGTTTACTATGCTCAGATGTGCGGCCAAGAAAAAAAAAGAGAAAAAAAGAAAATTTTTCCCACCAAACAAGGAGAGGTAAAAATAAAAAAAAAAAAAAAAAAAAAGGAAAAAGGGAAAAAAAAGGTTATTACTTTCTTATCATCCTTTCCCCCCCCATTTTTCCCCCCCCCCCCCCCCCCCCCCCAATGGCAGGCCTTGATTCAGTAAGGCTGCATTCACACAAAACTGAAGCTAAAAATTTCACCATGCACACCTTTCACTCGGTATAGACTGTTCAATATTTTCACTCCGGTCCACATGAGAGGCACGTTTTATGAGCCATGTGTAGAATAGCTGCTATGTGCTATCTGTCAGTAACTTCTTAGCGCTACCCCGCCCCCTGCCCCCACTTAAGGGGTGAATAAAGCTCTTAGACCACACCCAATTTCCTGGTTGAAACCCCCCCCCTCCCCCTTATACTTAAGGGCTGAATTTTGCCTTATGGTCTGTGTCTGCTGGGAAACTTCCCAGTTAGTCAGGTTGCAGGTTGAAGGTGCACCTTGCTGGCTTTTTCCCAGCAATCTCCCAAAATGCTTAAAATGGCTTCAGAAATCTTTATTCATGCTTTGTTGTTGTTTTTAGGTCTTTTTCTCAAAATTTTCCGTTGGGTGCCCCGGCATTTAGACTTTCCCTGGACTCCTTCATTGAATTACATGAAAACTTCCAGAGAGCTTAGAAAGAGCAACCTTATAAAACCGATAATACCGTAAAAACCCGAAAATAAATTGGCCAATATACCCCCACAATACTGCATTTTTTTTTCAATGTACTTAACTTTAAAAAAGAAAAAAGCGTCGTTCACGAGATACCCCAAAATATACTTTTTAAGTTTATTAAAGCTTATTGAGTACCCCCTATGTATCAAACATCAAAGACCCCCTATATATCAACAAACCTCTTGACGTTATATATCGACAAACCTCTTAATGTTATTTTACTTATTACAGAGGTTACCTCATAAATTTCGAGAATGCAACACTTCATTGCAGGTGATAAACACGTTAAAGATATGAAATCCTCAACAACTCTTGCACTTCTTGCACCATGTCCGCGATCGTCCGCGATCGTCCGCGATATCATTCGGCGGCTTCAGGTACGATCATGCGCACTGAATAGAATTATCCACGAAGTTTAGAGGGGTACGGAGCCGTTATAGTGGAGTTGTGTTTTGCCTGGTATTTCTCTGTCTGCAAAGGATGCAACGAGTATTTACCAAAAGGGTAAGTTTTCTTGAGTTGAGTACTTTAAACTGTAGCCTCAGTTTTTTAAATCACCTATTCTGGGCATTGTTCTCCCCAGTTTCTCGATCCGCACCACCGGTGGATCGTGATCGGAACCGGTCTCTCTATCGTTTTTCATTTAAACTTTGACCGGGGAAACTATTTTAAAGTTGTACGTTTCATTAATTTCCTTTCCTTTCCTTGCTACAGTAGTTTTCTAGTCAAATATAACTGCTCTCGTAGGATTTTTCACGACGAGAAATCATCTTTCTCATTTAAGACTTTGATCAACTTATATCCGAATATTAACCTTGTGAGCTTATATTTAATACAAGCTTATTGCTACGTAAGATTTCTTTTATGCACACTTATATTGGTCAAGGTTGCCACCAGGCAACGTGAAATTTGTTTTTAGACGTAAGCTGGAGGTTGTGTTAAAGCAAGTTTCCCTTTCCTCACCCCTACCCACCTCCACTTCTCTTTATGAACAAAACTGAGTAAATTTGGGATCTTTCCAAGAGGTATGGGTTTTGATTTCTTTGCTTTGTAAATGGGTAAATTTAGGGCTTTGTATTTAAAGCTTGTATCAAATCAAATTTGCCTTACTGTGTGCGGTCAAAACTTTTTCAAGCAACTGCCCTGAAGGAATGAACAGTGGTCACTTTCAGAGAGACAACCTATGAGAGGCTGTGTTTATGGTGCAAGGAAGGTGCAAGAAATGACAAATTCATTTGATCTGGGATATGCTAATTTCTAAATGCACAGACTCACTATTGTTCCCCTGACGTTTTGTAAGATGCTAACAAGACCAGCAATCTTTGGTTAGAAGACCTTCATATTATTTTGTGCAAGAAATCATATTATTGCAGGCTTGTTGGAGGGAGCAGTAAAAGGGGTGCATATATACCCTCCAAATGGCCTGCTGAGGTTCACAGATTAGTCACCTGCAGGAGTTTAAGTTGCATGAGTTGACAAACGTGACCACCACAGAGTTAGCAATTTTGACAAACTATTTTTTCTGAAGGCAACCAACCTATCTACATTGTATCATTAACAATTTCCTAAGGACAAAACGTTTCTGTTCCAGGCTTTGTTTTCTGTGAGGGCAGCAGTTTATCATGGACGACTATTTCCGACGTCATATGCACTTGCTCAAAAGGTAAAGCATAATTCTGTTAGCTTTTAAGAATTTGTTATTTTTTGTATACTGTAGACTTGTACTGTTGCCATAAAATCCTTCTGTTTTATTATTACAAATGAAAGTGAAGGTGTGGTTGCAAAGCAGCTTGAACTTCAGATCTGGCCCCATTTGTTCAAAAGGTGGATGATGCTATCCATCGGATAAATCACTATCCACTGGGTAGTGATTTATCCAGTGGTCAGCGCTATCTATCTTTTGAACAACCGGGACCTGTAGGTTAAGGCCTTTACATTGCATTGTTTCCATCCTTCCTTGATCTCTTTTATCCAGGTGTGTAAGACCCCATTTATAGGTACAGTAAAATTTTTGAACGGATGAAAACCTGCACAGATCTGCATTTTGTTTACACAGGACCCGTAGAACTGTGCAAGTTTTTGAACAGCTAACAGTACTGATATTAATTGTAACATAATTTGTTCAGTTCCATGAAAATGGGTTGCACAGGTAAAAATTTGTCCAGACCTGTCTAAATGGGGTCTAAATGAGTGATAGCAACATAGTGCTTGGGGTAGCACTGTGATAGACTAGCATCCTTTCCAGGCTGGAACACTCCTAGTACTCCCACTCGAAATGTTTTACAACTTAGGTAGGATAACGAGAGTCACAGGTGGCAAAGCCTTAATTAGCAAATGGTAAATGGCTCAGCATTTACCACTGAGTTATAGTTGCATGCAGGAGGTTGTTGAACATACTCTAGCTTTTTGAGGAAATTTCTCTAACTTCTTAGGATATCAAATTAATAATGAGGCCCGAGTGATGCATAGGGCTTTAAGCGCACGCTAGCTTTTGTCACCATTCACCCATGGGCAAGTAATAAGTGGATAATTGACCAATTAGGGCACATGCTTTTCTTTTGTTATGTCAAAACTTGTGTGGTTGTTGTTTAATATTATTACACCTAAAATGTCAAGAAAAGTCGCAAATATTCCGCTTGAATTGGAAAAAAATGCTGGCTTCTGGATCATGTTGACTGGGTTGTGATTTCTGCCTCATGCTTTAGAAACTAGGTTTAAAGCTCTGGCCATTTTGGCCTCCTTGGCTGGAGTGTGGCTTGTGGTTATGCCTGAATGATGAAAAATGTATGTTAAAAAGTTATTATTTTTCTGTAGGTGCCCCTGAGTAAATTTGAATCAGACAAGTATCTGAACTATCAGCACTTGGAAGACAATTTGAAAGTAGTGCGAGACAGGTGAGAAGTTGAGAAACTTAGGCCCGTTTCAAACGTCGTGCTACTGCCGTGCCAAACTCAATTGATCGAATTAAATTCAACTTTAGCACAGCAGTAGCACGATGTTTGAAACCAAGTCGTGCTACTGCCGTGTAGCATGGCAAGCCTTGCCGTGCTAGCGCCATGCCGAACTCAATTCATGAATAATTATTATAAATACATTAGAATATATTTAAAAGTTTGCTAAACCGTTTCTTTATTTTTGTGGTTTGTTTTTGGCAACAGCCGTTCCATTCGACTGTCATTGTGTGAATTAAATTCGACGTTTGAAACCAAGTCATGCTAATGTCGTGCTGCAGTCGAGCTAAAGTCGAGCCAGCTTAGCACGGCAGTAGCATGACGTCTGAAACAGGCCTTAGTACAGAACACACTGCACAAGTAAGACCAAAACAAAAACATCTTAAAATGTAAGTGGAGAATCCCATGTGCATCATTTGTTAAACTTGTGTGCATACAGCAATATTGTATAAAACAGTGGATAACAATGTAGCAATAACCATTTTCTTGCAGGCTAAACAGGCCATTAACGCTTTCTGAGAAAATTCTGTACTCTCATTTGGATGACCCAGTAAATCAGGTACATTTAACTTCTGCATAGTCATTGCCAATGCACACTGTCACTAAATATTGGCAATCTGATGGTGGCCTCATATCAAATAATATAGCTAGGCATAAAAAAATTGTCTTTTTGACAGTGCCTTTACAGGGATGGTAAAACACTGTTGCTGATAGATGATTTTAACCTAGGTTGATTCTAAATTTCCTCTGTCAGACTCCCTAGTCCTAATTGGTGATGATCATGAATAATGAGGGCTAGGAAATGAAGTAAATTCAGAATCAGCCTAGGTTAAAACTGGTTTAACCTGGGTTCCATTTGGATTTACAAAACATGTTTGACAGGTGAAATTATTTTAAGCTACAATCTTGGACAAAACTGTTGAGAAAATTGTATACTTGGATAGCATTTTTCTAAACATCGTAGCTGTACCGGTTCTTCCCTCTCCCCCTTCCCCTGAAAGCAATGTTGTTGTGTATTCAAACAAAAGCCTGATCCCTGGGCGTTTGTGGGAAGCGACATTGAATTGGGTGAAGGGGTTTTCTTTTCGCAAAGGCGTCGTTTTGGAAATAGTTTTGTTGCGTAGGAAAGTGGACATGATGGGGAAAACTTTCTCAAGTAGTTTTGTCCGGGATTGTAGGTGCATGGTTATTTGTTAATGTAAAACTGTTAACCCATTGTAACTGTGCACACATTCTTGAGAGCCTTTTCTTCTTTTGTACAGGATATAGAGCGAGGTGTGTCATACTTAAAGCTCAGACCAGATCGAGTGGCAATGCAAGATGCTACTGCCCAGGTGCATTATATTTAGCAATAATTCCTCTGTTTGGTGTCTTACATGTCATGGTCTCCCTATGTGTTTACCATATATAATAATTACATGCGAACACATAGATTCAATAAAACGTGTTTGTAGTGAACCGCCATGTTGTCCGGGTGTGTTCTCGGATCTCTCGTCAGTACATGACATTACACATATGAGAAAATCAGCCCCTGGTCAAAATGTTTTTAAGAGTACATGTAGATTGAAAGGCGGCCTGCAAAGAAAGGTGTGTCCGATAGCCTGGGCTAGTGATATTGCGATCTTAACTTACACTGCAGGCAAGTGAAGTTTTGTCGGGAATTTAAGTTACAGAAGAACTGTAAGCAATCCTGGTAATGAATTTTTGTTTTTTTTGGCAGGGTGGGGGGGGGGAGGGGGAGGGGAAGGGGGAGCTAGTTGAAATGAATTTTGGGCTTAAACATACTAGCTACAGCTTGCCGGTGTGGGAAGCTATTAAACTGACTGTCTTTGCACCCAGTTGAAAGGGTCGAGGAACTAACCAGGGTGTCAATGGCACTTTCCTCAAGGACCCAGCTCAGTGGTTAGAGCATCCCACCAGTATATAGAGCAGGGCTCTAGAGGGACAGGCCTGTCTGGGAAATGTTTCAAATTTTCATGCTGGAAGGTCTGATGGGGTGTTGTTTCTAATGTTACAGCACATTTTGATTGACAATTAAAGTCGATTTAGAAACTTATCAGTACATCTATTACTAAATCATGTTATTATTCTAAGTTTTATTCAAAATATAACAAAATAGAAATAGACATAAATTTCTTTTGTAAATGAAGGAGGTGGTCAAGATTTAGGAAGAGTTGACTCATTCAACCACCAAACAGCTGGTTTTGAAAAGGATGATGAGTTAAAAGCAAACAAGATCTATTCTTGTGATATACATGTACAACTGAACCTCTTTTTGAAAATAATTTTTAGTGTGCTGTAAACTTAACTAATGTAGTGCATTATTTTTGTTGCAGATGGCAATGCTTCAGTTCATTTCTAGTGGCCTTCCAAAGGTGAGAGTTACTGATTTAAGTTTCATTAATGGATACAGGATCTATTTATTTATCTCCCTTTATATTTTACCTACAACTGCATTATTATTCTATTGCTGCATTGGATTTTTCTTCAGCAAGTCCTATTATTATAATAATTCAGACATTCTAATTAGAATGTCTGAATGGTCCATGAGGTCCTTCATTAAGTCAAGTTTCTTGTTTCTTGTTTTCTATAATGCACATGCAGTTCTATGCCCACTTGTTTTTCTTTGCTCAGTAACATAATTAAAAGACTGAGTTGTGGAATGTGATGCCAAGTTTTAGCTAGTTATATGCTGGTGTAGCTTCTGATTGATTCAGTTTCAGTGGAGTAGAGAGGCCCTTTTTCATACTACAAAATCAGTATGGGCCACCTGTAACTTATTGATGAGTGGACTTCCTGTGCCATTTATGTACATATAGGTTATTTGAGTTGTGTTGGTTTTCTCTGATCTGACAGTCCTTTAAGGGTAGGTGATTTATGAGTAACGGGTGGGCTACCTACACTATGTGGAAGCCCTGTGACATCACCAGCTTGCAAAGAAAGTGGTGTCCGATAGCCTGGGGCCTATTGGATTTTGCTATCGGGCTAGTGAATTCCGTGCTTAACTTGCCCGATCGACAAGTGATTTTTTTGGGGGAATTCAAATTACAGCAGAAATGTAGTCAATCCTGCTCATCAAGTCTTTTTCGGGCTAGTTGGAATGACTTTCAGGCTAGTACATGCTAGCTACAGCTTGTCAAAATGGCAAGCTGGAAAACTGACTTTCTTTGCACCCTGATCACTGCATCTTAATCATTGATTACACAGGTTGCAGTCCCCACAACCATCCACTGCGATCACTTAATAGAAGCCCAGATTGGAGGAGAGCAGGATTTAAAGAGGGCTAAAGACATCAATGAAGAAGTATACAACTTCTTAGCAACTGCATCTTCTAAGTATGGTGTTGGCTTTTGGAAACCTGGTAGTGGAATCATTCATCAAATAGTGCTGGAGAACTATGGGTTTCCCGGTGTCCTGTTGATTGGCACTGACAGCCATACACCGAATGGAGGTAAGTATTTTTGTTATCTATGATGAATATATGAATTTCATATATTGGAACAGCAGAATGAAGAAATGAATGCAAAGAAGATCATCACAGTTTCAAAATAAATGTAACTTTATACAGTTGTGAAAAGAAAGCCAGAAAAAAAATTGGGCTTGCTGGGATTGAACTCTGACGTCTTAAACTGCCTTGATCTTCTTTGCATTTAAAAGTACTGAAATTATCTTACCAGTGAAAATGTTTTCAAATTGTAAAAAAAATTTCTCATGGTAAACTGTTCTTCAATTTTTTGCTACGGTTCTTAGTCACCCCAGTGTATTTTTTAAATACAGTAAATCTTGCTCATGACATGGCATATGACTAAATCATTAACATTTTATTAAATCTTTATTGACTGTAGGTGATAAATTTGTCATCAAACTATTGTGTGACACTGATTGGCATAACTAATAATAAAATTATCCTGTCATTGATTGTTAATTATTATTATTATTATTATTATTATTAATTAATCTTTAATTATTAATGCTCGTTATATATACTCTACCTGCCTTACTTTAGGTGGTCTTGGTGGACTTTGTATTGGTGTAGGTGGAGCAGATGCTGTGGACGTCATGGCTGATATTCCCTGGGAGCTCAAATGTCCAAAGGTGAGTGTTAAAATGTACTTAAAGTAGTAACAGGGTTACAGGGGATTTACAGAAGACTCCAAGGATGTCCAGCATGTAAACATTTGCTAGAAAATGATGTATGTGAATAAAGGTGGGTGAAATGACCCCCTCCTACCCCTATTGTGAAGAGAGGCCCACTAGCCTGTGCAGATAAAATTGTCAAAATTACTGACAGTACACCGGACCTCTATTAACAGGCTAATATTGTCTCTTTACGGCTGCAATTTCCTTCCTTGAGGGTGTTTGTCTAAGAGGTTGGATAACATTAGATAACATCAGGTGAAGCCAGATTGGACACCTTAACAAAAGGAGACTGGAACAGAACCCCAATAACCTTGCTGAATACAGTTAAAAAAAAAAAAAACTGTAGAGTGGCAGTTATGGAGAGAACATACTAGAGAGTTAGGCACTGATCTGGAGTGACTAGGGTTGAGCACTGAACTGAAAATGGTTAGCTTTCAAAATCTGTAATGGATACCAGTACATTTATATTTTAAAAATTACTGGATTTGGCAGCTAATCCTTGGTGGTGTAGTGGATATGAATGTAGGTTGTGAAGCAAATGACTCATGTTCAAAACTTTCCAGTGGTGTTTATCTATCTTATCTTATGTTACACAGTAAAGTTGGACTTAAGTTGTTCTTCATTTAATTTTACTGAGAGAAACAATCTAGTTTCAGCTAATGTTACCTAATGCTAACTGTTTGACTTTGTGTACTGAACGAGGAGGGGAAACCTATTGGGAACCCCCTAGGATACTAGGCAGACATTCCTAGTCAATTAAAAATCTAATTTGGATCTGTAAATCCTAGTCCTGATAGCTTTGGTTTTGTAGGAATTCAGTCAATGTATGTATTTTACATAATATTAATTCACTTATAATTTTGCCTAGAATAATTTTTTATTATTGTCCTTTGTTTATGTGAACAGGTTATAGGTGTCAAACTTACTGGAGATTTGAAGGGTTGGACATCACCGAAAGGTATTTGTATTTTGAACTTTTTCTTGTCTTTCTACGTGTTCCTGAATTTGTGTTGTGGCGAAGTTAGCTCATATCGTTGTCCTTTCATTTACAGATGTTATCCTTAAAGTTGCTGATATTTTAACAGTGAAAGGAGGAACTGGTGCTATTGTGGAATATTTTGGACCTGGAGTAGATTCCATTTCTTGCACAGGTAGATGTTCTAGGTGCTAATCAAAGCTTGGACACTTAAAAGGGAGTTAAAGCAACAACAGTTTTGAGCAACACACGTCAACAGGAAATGGACCTTTTGCACTCTTGGGCCATGATTGTGATCAAATTATCAGGCAAATCATCTTCATGAGAGTAACGACACTAAGCAATACAAATTTGGTAGCATCAAGGGATATTCAAAAGTAGGTTGAGTTTGATTGTCTGGGTGAACATTGTCTTGAATAGTGACTGACTTTTCGACAACCTGTGCGGTAGTCATCTTCAGAGTCAACTGAAGTCAACATCATCAGTCACTGTCAACAACAACAGTCCTATTCAGGACTACGTTCACCAGGACGATCAAACTCAACCTACTTTTGAAATGACTTCTGGGTTCAAACCTTTCACAGCATCAAGGGATATTGAAAGGGAAATGGACTAACTTGTGGTTGATGTGCATTGCTCAAAAACACTTTGCTTATTAAGCTACCTAATGTAACATTGCTTGCCCTGCTGAACTTTTAGTATTTTTTAGGAATGGGAACCATTTGTAACATGGGTGCAGAAATTGGTGCCACCACCTCAGTCTTCCCTTACAATTACAGAATGGAAAAGTACCTCAATGCAACTGGACGTGCACAGATTGCAGAGCTTGCTAACAAGCATGCTGATTTCCTACAATCTGATAATGGTGCAGGCTATGATCAGGTTATTGAAATCAATCTCAGTGAGGTAAGCTTTCTACACTAAATGTACATTTTACTGTGTTAACATCATTGTTGTGTTGAAGAAAAACACAGTAAACTGTATACCCAAGCATAAAACATAATGCACTGTGAGGGAATACTCAAGATTAAGGAGAAAGGAAACATCTTTGCAATTCAGGAGGTCTTTATCTTGTAGACACTTAAAGTTTTGTCTACCTTAAAATATCTCTGCTATTACCAGTAAAATTGTCAGGCAATTACAAGATCAAAATAATGCTAAAAAATAATAAAATTTATTTTATCATTACAAGGTAAACAATTTTTGTAATGTCCATTACAGTGTCCATCGCCAAAACTCAATAATAAATTCTATGATAAAGAAAATGTTCATGCATTATGAAGTATGCTGTCAGATATGAATAATACCCATCAAATGCAGTTATATTTCTGAAAGATGTTCTAATGAGGATGATACGGGACGGTTATCACTGTTTTCCTAATATTATTGCTTTCTTTTTTAGCTTGAGCCTCATGTAAATGGACCATTTACCCCAGACTTGGCTCATCCCATCTCTAAACTAGGTTCAACAGCAAAAGAGAAAGGCTGGCCAATGGATATTAGAGTGGGTGGGTACAACTACTTCTTTAGTTTGCTGACCCTCTCATCTGTTCCTCTGGTCAGTATTAAAATGCTTTTAGTTCTTAAACTCTGTCATCTCCTAGAGTGTTAGAAATTAAACTCTTATTTTTATTTTGTAAAATAATTTAACCCCATTCAATTGAAATGAATACATCTGGCACAAAAATCAAAAACCTTGTGCTCATGATTCAGTCATAATAATATTATTTACTGGTGGTCAACAGATATTTTCAAAACTAATTTATGTGACCTTGGAGCTGGAGGGTGCTCATACACCTCAGCCCTGGTTAAAAAAATTAAATGCTGGACAAGGTCAGTGAATGCCTATTTTGAAAGAAGTAAATGATGTGTACAGGCAAAGGCTGTCCACTAATGGCTTAGTAGCCCCTGCAAGTTGTAGTTTCAACATATAACACAGGTGTAGAGCTTATGACAGGGTTACAAGGATGTAGCAAAGAAAATGATAAGCAGGCTGTTTTACTCATCTGCATCTCTAAAATTCCCACACATCTATGTTTTCCTGTCAATTTGAGCTGGTGATAAGCTCTTTCTTTTTCAACCAGAGAAATTAGCCGGCAGTTGGGTCTTAGCGACATGCCTGGGGCTAGTTTGTAGAGTGCTGGTCTGTTGAACAGGAAGTTTATCCCCAGGTACCACACCATTTCTATGGTTTTTAAATTAATGGAAGCAGAAGGTAAATGTACCGTCCTTGTTCCCAAATGGCTCGACCCACTTCCTTCAATTTTATTGCCAAATATATTGACACTTAAATAAAGTGTTTTTACAGGTCTGATTGGCAGCTGTACCAACAGTAGTTATGAAGACATGACCAGGGCAGCAAGTATCGCTAAACAAGCTCTAAAACATGGACTTAAATCCAGGTACTGTGAACAAAGTGAACAGGTAGATCACTGTCTCCCAAATTAATTCTGAAAGATTACATGCCGTTCCTTAGCTCACTTTTGTTAAAGTCTGTACAATAAAAACTGTATTGTTAACTGGACTTTGTATCAAGAAGACAAGAGCACCAGTAAGTCCCAAACTGTTCTTCCCATATAATTATTCTATACCAAGTGGACACCTCTGGTATTGGTTTATCTCCTAATAGTGGTCAAAGGAAACAAAATGCCCAAAATAATCAATTAAAAAAAGATCCTGCAAGATAAATAGTACCATGCAAAATTTTTGCCAAGGAGTTTTCAGTTGAATCGTAAGATTAAGGGAGATGGAAGACGTGAGTGTCTACATTTAGCATCATATTCCTCGATGGGTTGAGCAGTGTTTAAATACTCACCCCATCCATCGTCACGATCCTTTGCTGGAAAATTTATTATTGGGCTGTGCTCAAGCAGTACAGTGCTATGTAGCACCTTGTTAGAAGGAATCATATCTGAACTTCATACCAGTTAAATGCTTGTCACTGTAGATTTCATAAGTTCAGAGCTCCTAAACTCCCTGCAATATTTTTTTTCGAGTACACAGACAAGGCAAGGGAGTGGCAAGGAAAAAGGTTTTGGGAAGAAGTATAGAATATGGAAAGCCCATTCAACTATCTCTCTGCACCTGTATAATGTACTCTTGTTAACTGAAGTATGTACCTTTCTTCTTAGGTCAATGTATACAGTTACTCCTGGATCAGAGCAAATTCGTGCTACTATTGAAAGAGATGGAATTGTAAGTTATTATAATGCTGATATCCTTTATTTCCAGTTAATTAATTCCTGTTGTAAGACCTTACAACATGATAACAGTCTGTATAATAGTGGGTCTCTCAAAACTCATGTTTTACAAACTTAGTTCACTACAGATTTGCTTGTAGCTGCTTTGATAACAAAAGAATTACACTGACAACATCAGAAACTTGTATATTTTTCTTGGCTGTAATTTTTACTTCCTTGTTTTTTTATTTATGTAGTTACATTACACAGATCAATTCTGTGTAAATCACAGTGTTTATTACTGACTGTGTCTATTTTCATGTTTTCATTAGGCAGAAACCTTGAGAGAATTTGGAGGAACAGTTTTGGCAAATGCCTGTGGACCTTGCATTGGTCAGTGGGACAGGTCAGGAGAAATTTCCCTTTCTTCTTTTTTCTTTTCCATCAGTGGACATAACGTTTGAACACATCAACTAATCCAAAAGCAAACAGTAGAGGAAAGGGTCTAATAATCTTTTGTGTTCACTTTTATCGTAATTTTGCTATGCACTTACATGTTTTAGACTAAAGCCCAGTGCAAACATCAATCTTTTCATGTACCAAACTTAATACCTATTTAGGTTGACCCAAATGATATAAGTTTGACGGTTGATTCAGATGCCACACTTAATATTATTTATTAGTCGGACTCAATTCATTTTCACAATGTTCAGTGGTCTAAAATGCTCACAAGTGAAAATAAGTTTAAGTGATTTATATAATTGTAGTGATTTATGCATTAGGTTTGGCACATGAAAAGTTCGATGTTTGTAACGAAGTTAGTTGCTCCACAGTCGAAATTCCCATGTGGCCACTCCCTCTTAATTCATGGGTCCACCCAGATTAGATATGTTGAACTTAATTGAATCAAATGTCGATCTTTTTATGTCTTTACTTGAAGGGATTAGGTTTGGTACATAAAAAGATCAACATTTGAACTGGGCCTAAAGAACATTAATTTTGTCTTGGAGCTGTTGTTCAGCAAATAATACTGCAGGTGTAATGCTGCAGTGTTGAACACTTTCTGGGAAACTTTACCTTAGTCCTGTATTTTTTATTCTTTGCTCTGCTGTGTAATTAGGTATCAGTAAAATGGATAGTACTGGGATTTATACCCCACCAATAGGGGAATGGCAAAACACCTGTAGTATAAAAAACCTACCACAAAGGCTTTAAAAGAACACAATTTATTCATGGCTGCCATAACACTTAGTAACAACACTCTTTGCACACTCTCTCATTTTAATACATCCTGAATGCAAGTCCAGGATGTGAGTAATGGAAAACTGCTGTACACACAACGCCTTGTAATGCTTCATGTTTAGATAAACATCTTTGCTTTAGGTCTCGTGAGTAACTTTACTAATGTATGCTAAAAATTGTATTTGTAGACAAGACGTCAAGAAAGGAGAAGCAAACACAATTGTGACATCATACAACAGAAATTTCACAGGCCGAAATGATGCCAATCCTGCAACTCATGCCTTTGTAACTTCACCAGAGGTACGTGAAAGAACTTGCTGCATGCAGGGTGGCAAAGACGTCTAGATTTATAATCCCATGCATTTTTGTCACTTAAATCGAGGTGATAGATTGATGGTTTGACAACCTGTGTGAAAAGCAATCATCACACAAGTTGAGTTGTGTAGTATTGCATCAAACACTGGTTATTGACCTGACTGGTCATTCAAGTTATGATATTTTTGTTTGTTTGTCAGTGTTATTTACAAGTGTCACAGCCATTGTGTTAGAGTCTAAAACAATAGTTACAATTGTAAATTACACTTGTAGATGTTTAATTAAATATTATTGATCCCAGGACAGCCATATAAATTCAACCTACTAATGCTATGTAACTCTTGTGGTCGACCCATTTTATAGTAGTGTAAAAGAAAGCTCTGGTGAACACTTGAATTGTTAATGTTTCGATAATTTTTGTCACTTTTCAGAGAAATATTAGTTATTTGATTGAAATTTTTTGTCAGTAAGCAGTTAACATATTCTCTGGAATTAGCCCTCTCTGATGTGTTATATTGTATGCTGTAATCTTTTACCAGTTTGTTTGACAATGTATTGATGTTGAAAGGAGAATCTGTACATTGGCTAGCCTGCAAGTAGGCTCACTTGGGCAAATTAGGAGAAAAGTTTGGCGGCAGAGCCACCATCCAGTAAGGAAAACCCGAATTCACACATGTGAGCCTGTTTGCAAGCTATACATTGATCATTCTCTGATTATCTTGATAGATGGTTACAGCACTGTCCATTGCTGGTGAACTGGACTTTAACCCTCAGACAGATTCTTTAACTGGCACAGATGGTAAGAACAGATTAAATTATATGTTGCAGATACTTTTTTAATTTATTTGTAGAATGATCAAATCACCATTTTTTTTTGGCTAAATTCAAAGTTGAAATAATGGTGTATTGTTTTCAAATTTATTTTATAGGTACAGAATTTAAACTGGAGAGTCCTTATGGAGATGAACTACCTGATAAGGTAATGAGTTGTATCTTTTCATACATTAATATTGACCAAGGAAGCCCGTTTAACTGTGGTAAGTTTCAAAGGAGGCCATAGCAAAGTGTATAGACTAAGACTGATCTCCAATAGGTCCTCTATTTAAATTCATTTTAAAAAAGTCTTGGAGAAAGTTGATCAGACAGAATAAGGTTGATAATGTAACTAATTCTCTACACAGTGCACATGTGCTTTTGCTAATGATTTTGTTTAAAAGAAACTGGTAAATTAGGTGAATTTTTGACTTGTTACTTGTGTTGATCACTTTGTTGTGAATCAGGCTCAAATATTCCTTAAAATTGTTGCAGGGCTTTGATCCTGGCGAGGACACGTACCAGGTTAGTGATAAATCTTATTTAATACTGTAAAATCTTGAAATCAAATAGCCTAATGCAACAGTAATGATGAAGAGGTTTTATTGACAAAATTCAGACGGTAGGGTTTTGTATGTGGACTCAAAAGTTACCATGGTACAACAAACATCTTGCAAAATTTTCTTTAGAGGTCATGAATGGTTTTAACCATATTTGAGAAGTACAATATTCTCACCTGCAATGAGGCAAAATTTTAGATGCATTCACTGTTACTTTTGCTTTTTATTTGCCATGCCCACATGGTATTTATTTTACAAAAAAAGTAAAAACAGAGCCTGACTGTTGCTAAAATGTTGTTTTCAACATCTTTGGGATTACAGTACCTTTACATGGTTGGTTTTTTCTTCCTTTTATTCCACCACAGGGTTAAAAATTATTTTATTCATTATTTTCAACAAGAAATTATCCTCTGTTGTTTTCAACTTATGTATCTGTGGAATAAATGGCCTGGTCTTGTTGATGAATGTTCTTTTATGACTGAACTTTTTTTTCAACTTTACAGGCCCCACCAGCTGATGGCTCATCAGTATCTGTAGATGTAAATCCTCAAAGGTAAGTCTTTCTTGATCTTGGATGATGACTGCATACTGAGGATGAGTTCAACCAACATAATTAACCTAGCCATTAACTAAACACCGAGGAGATGTCTTTCGTTTTAGTTTGTAGAGTGAGATGTGCGAGAGTTGTAAATGGTCAGATGTGCGAGTGAGTTAAGTGTGATGGGAGAGGCCCCCCAAAAAGTCTTTCTTTTTCTTGCTTCATGTGACTTCTCCACTCATTGCACCCCTTTAACTTTGATGAAAAGTAAGAGACTGTTCGTAGTCTATATAACTATGACAGTGGTGTTATGAATAACTGTCACTCTCCTCAACTTTGTGTGTCTTGCCCTGTTAGACACACTAGTTTTTCCACCCCATAACATCCCTTACCATTCTGGGTCTAAATACCAACTTCTTGGACAGAAATCAAGGTACTGAATTACCTACTGAAGGGTTTTTCCGTGTTTTAGGTATTAATAATATTGTAGTTTATAAGTTGTTTCTCCCAGTAGAAAATAATAGGACTTGGGATTTGTGAATTTCACCAAAATTATATTTTTCAATCGGAATTTGGTTTGCAAAGAGCTCCTCAAACTTTTATTCAGTGTTTTCAAGAGAGAATTCAATAGTCGCCCTTGTGATATTTTGCATGGCTTGCTTTGAGTCAGTCACCCATGGACTTGATAACAGTTCATGCGGACGTCTCTGGAATCAGACTTCCCTTTAATTACAACCTCTAAATAACTTGAGTGAAATTAACATCTTCTGACCAACGCCCGAAAATTCCACCTCCGTCCCATTATTGTCTCTTTTCTCTCTGTTCCTGTAGCAACCGGCTTCAACTTCTGTCTCCCTTTGATAAATGGGATGGGAAAGACCTTCAGGATATGACCGTCTTGCTCAAGGTAATTATTGCAAATTGTTACAATTGGTCTGACAAGGATAATAAATCGCAGGGATATAAGTGAGCGAGACTTAAACCAGCAAGTGTTGCCCTTTAATTTTTCACAAACGTGCCATCAGAAAAAGATAGAAAAGTTGTAGTGTATTCAATCCTGCAAATAGGTAAATGTAGCTCAGCCTTTTACAGTTTGTCATCATGAAAGGTAGTCCTTGCTTTTATCAAATTGGTAGAAGTGTGCACTGATTAGTTGTTTGTTAGTTTGGTTGTTATTAATAGTGGAGCCAATTGCAAAGTTTTACTGTAAGGATCCAAAGAGTTCTGAACAACCGGGGCGTCCTGTGTGTACATTTTAAGATTTCCTTGTCGCAGACACCTAAAGGGAGAAGTTAGCCGACCTGGGCCACTAAAGCACAGCCTAGTGATGTCTTAATACATTCACATTTTATTTACTTATTTCTTTACCAGGTAAAAGGAAAGTGTACCACAGATCACATCAGGTAGGAACACACTCTTACCATAGTATCGGTATCTCCTTTTGTGTCACGCATTCATGTCACACAACCGGGATTGCATGACACAGGAAGATTGTCTGACAGAAAGGGAAAAATAAAACAAAGATCAGGGGAGTGCCTTGAGAGGAAATTTAACATTATTTTTTCCTCAAGTGTCTCAAGCTAAAATCCTTTCTTACGCTGTTCAGGAAAAGAAACATTTGTTCAACTACAGTGTTTAAGACAAACAAAAAAGTAGTGTGAACTACTTGAATAGGAGAAAAGGAAAAATATTCGATGTTTACCATCCAGAATGTCTGAGTTCTGTTAACTTAGAATGTGTTTGTGTTGTATAGTGCTGCAGGTCCATGGCTCAAATACAGAGGACATCTGGATAATATTTCCAATAACATGTTTATTGGGTAAGTATAGATGGTAACCAGCCTGCTAATGGCAGTAGTATAGGACAATTTTACACTCTTTGATGACTTTGTTATCGTTATTGTTATCGTTCAACTCTGTTTACCAGACATCAGCCCCAGTGTCTTGCTTATAATGTAAGGGATTTGAATGATTAAAGTGATTAGAGACTGTTTCTCCGACAGAGCTATCAACAGCGAGAATGACAAGGCAAACCATGTCAAGAATCAGGTGACAGGGGAGTACGGGGCAGTTCCTGACACTGCAAGATACTACAAGGTATGCGGTCAAACTTGAACTAAGCTCTTGTCAATTGTATTCAATCGAAGAGTCAGCCAATCGTAGTTACTAAATGGAAAAGCAAGACATTTATTGACCTGGAAATAACTAGAAAACGTAAAAATAGTACATGACCTTATCTTAATGAGATTCCCACGCATTTTATTCGTGAGATAAAGAAAAAACGCAACTTTATGGGACTCCCCTGCGAAATAAAGGAACAACCCACGCTCCTTATACCTGGTAACATAGGTGGTAACGCTGTTTGTTTCACAAAATTAATGCTAACAGTAATGACGATATTATAGAAGTACCCTTGTGGCTTTATCATTTGTATAAAATGCATTTAATGTTGAATACTATGAAGTGGTTGTTTTTTCTTTACTGCTATCAAGGCCAATGGTATCAACTGGGTTGTAGTTGGAGATGAGAATTATGGCGAAGGCAGCAGTAGAGAACATGCTGCTCTTGAACCGAGACATCTAGGAGGAAGGGCGATCATCGTCAAGAGTTTTGCACGTATTCACGGTATGTTTATTCACGCAGGGTTCTGGTATCGTTTTTCTTTTTTTTAACTAAGCATTTTTCAGGGTGAGTACCCTGCGTTCCTCTCCTCCCAGTTTTCCGTGTGATATTCGAAGTCGATCGCCGAATTCGCAGAGGTCATGCTACTGCGGTTAACTGCCCCTAAGCCGGACTTGCTTTGTAACCGGCACTCTGTGTCCATCTTAGAGAGATGGAGAGTGAACTAAAAGGAGTGGAGAAATGCAGGGACCAACTCTAGGTGACCATCTTAGAGAGATGTCCATCCTAAATAGTGTGAACTAAAGGGAGTAAAGTAAGGCAGGGACCAACTCCAGGCATCCGTCCGTCCTAGCGACAACTGAAAGGAGAAATGAAAGGCAGTGACCAACTCTAGACTTCGTATTAACGAGGTGCCAGTCTAATAGAGGATGGACTGTATCTTGATTTCTTATGAGAAGAGTACAGTGTCCATTGAGACAAGGATGGGAAGTAACGTGGTTGACCCCCGTACACTCGAGCATTGTTTTTTTTGTCACCCGGCAGTCAAAGTCGGAACAATTACACAGAAAGTAAAGGACTTTGAACCGTTTTTTATCGTTCTCTTTCCAAGCGTTTATATTTTGTTCCATTGTTGTCTCCAGTTTTGTCCTATAAAGCCAAGTTGAAGAGGCGTTTAGCGTCCCAAAATTTTGGTTGTAAGCAAAAACTCCTGGACAAGCATAACTGGTTTCATTCGGCAGCAGTAATTGTTGCGTCTTTGAAACTGGGTTATACTTGGTTAGGTCTGCACTTCACAATATGATTTGAACTATTTCTTATTGTTTCCTTACAGAAACAAATTTGAAGAAGCAAGGTAAGATTTGTGCCTCTTTTGGTAAAAACTTGATTTACTCTTTGACAAATGTGAGCTTCCAGTAATTAATCATGAATGAAGCGAACACAAAGGAATTTACCACTGTGTAGGAAGAGTGGATTACAGATACTAAGTGCCATAATATATTTAGACTTCTAGCTTTGAACAGCGTCAGAATTGTTTTTGTTTTAAGGAGCAAACACTTGATCTTAGAATAAGAAACACTTGGTCTTAAAAGAACCCAGCTGCGCCTTTTTTGGCGACCCCGAACTTTAGCTTCTTGTGATTGGATAGCGGTTGAAACATGTGTCTCGTGTGATACATTACCGGTACTTTACTATCCAGTGGATAACACATTTGGGTTTATATGAATGAAGATCATTGCAGTTATATTCGCGGAGGTCAAGGGTTCGAATCCCGTACAAACCTGAATTTTTTTCAGGATTTTTGTCGCAACTGCAAAAGTTGCGTATATAACTGCGATGATCTTCATTCATATAATTCCTCACTCCGCAGTTCACATGTATGATTTTCATATATTCATAACTTCAACATTTGGGTTTGTTACCGGAGACTGGGTAGTGATTTCATAAGTGTGGAACGTTTTCCATAGACTACAAGCAGTCTTTTTTATTATTAGTCCGTCTAGCGAAACGCGTGGAAGACGAAAAATGCAACCCGTCGGGCAGCAAATCGCACACGCGTGAACTGCCGCCCTCGCGTTTTACACGCGCGTGCGCTTCCCTCACTAAATCTGTACAAAAAGAGAGACTGCTTGGGGTCTACTTTTTTCGCCTTTGCACCGACTGCTCTGATCTAGTGTGTTTTTCTTTGGCAGGTCTGCTACCTTTGACATTTGCTAACTCGTCTGACTATGACAAGATTCTACCTGATGACAAGCTCTCACTTCTGGGGCTAACAGACCTTGCTCCTGCAAAGGTATTTTGGCTAACACTATCTTTTAAAGGCAGAAACGTACATTACAGTCGCTATTTATGAGTCTGGAGGAAAGGCTTAGTCTCACTGAAGCATGCTGGGAGTCATGGGAACGCTCTGCGCGCCTCAATACAAATCCAACCCTCTCTCATCCCGAAAACTCACAAAAAGTGACTGGGTGTGCGTCTATCGTAATTGGGCAGTTTGGGCAAGATTTATTTCCTTTTAAAGGAGCATTAAATGCAGCAAAAGTGTTGATACGAATGGAGTTTAAACAGGTGGCTACACGTGAAGTTACTATGCTGAAAATAAAAGTGATCTATTAACTACCCGTAGGAAAGAAGTGAACTCAAAACTTGAAACGCGGGGCCGATATTCCCTCTGTTATATTTGGCTTAAGTCGTTCAAGGTAAAAACTATTGAGTTTTAGTCACTTTTGCAGTGGTTTTATCTTTATTAGATTTATTTTGATTTCAAATCGAACTCGCGTTGCGCACTCTACCGAGTTTAAAGTAACGCGTATGATTTCAGACCAAATTGCACTCCACTCAGTTCAAATTACCATTATAACCTTCAGGGTATCTTGTGTATGCAGACGTGTATGCATCTGCGTGTGCAGCCTTTGACTTAGAATAATTTTCTCCGTTGTTTTAACGCGTCTTTACCATCTTCTCAGGACTATTGTTTTTTCTTTTCTTTTGTCTTTCAGCCTGTTAAGTGTGTAGTGAAACACGCAAATGGAAGTCAAGATGAAATGCAGTTGAATCACACTATGAACGAGACGCAAATTGAGTGGTTCAGAGCCGGCTCTGCCCTCAACAGAATGGCAGAAATGTCTTCAAAGTAGAACGAGCTCCTCCTCGTCTTCATCCCAGTTTTTGGTACCCTTTGTTCCGCGTCATCTCCGCTTCATAGAGCAATAAAAGAAAATCAGTGATAAAGTAACGAGGCTTTCATGAACATTTTCTTAGACGCCAGTGCAATATTTGCGTATAATATTGACGTTTTATTGTGATACGATGAACAGTTATCCCCGTGTCCCCTTCTTTCCAATGAATTTACAATAAAGGACAATTTTGTTGCAATTTCTTTTGTCCAAAATTATTTTCAGAAAGAGACTCTTTTAGAGGCGTGTCTTTTTACAGAAGTCTGCAACGGTTTGCTTTGTTAATAAACAGCTTAAAGAGAAAGGATAGTTGAATATGATTGATATTGTTCATCTTCAATAAACAAGGACACTCTTTATGGTTGTGCACTTTCTTCTTCCCTCCGATACCGTTAAATGCCGCCTTATAAGCCACGGACGTATACATCTTCTTAGAAGTAAGAAAAAATGTTTCAAAGAAAAAGCGTTAGAAAAAGTAAGATTCGAAAAAGTGTTTCAAAACAAGTTAGCAGTGCTGATCAAAATACGTTTTGTATTTAGTTTTTTTAAATTAAGCTTCAACAAGTCAATTTCAATACAGTTGGAGCAGAAGCTAGAGGGGCGGGACAGGGCTTGGGGGGAGGGGGGCTTATATCCTCTTAGGGTAATAAATTCTGTAACAGTAAATGAAATAACAAAAGATTGGTTTCGATTTCGACTGCGAGCAGCATTTAAACCCACCAAGTCGGTACGCCGCGGGAATCGCTTCTCGTTTTTAAATGCGGGTGTACATCATAAATTCGTGGTAAATCGGCTAATTGATATTAGAGGAAAAGAATGACAAAGGGAAAACACCCGCGTGTGACAACCTAGTGGATTAAGAACCCCCTGGCGGAAATGTGCCTCTTGAATACCCCAAAGTACTAATCTACATGGCAAATGTTTCCAATGGAGTTATTGCGCGAAAGTTTCTTTCGTCCCAACTTTCTCGACGAACTCGCGTGGAAACGCGTTAAGCCTAACAAGCTCAAGCAGGTTCTTATATGTGGGTTACAAACATTTTAACCGAGGAGTTTGACTTTTAGATGGCAAATTTATATTACAAGAAAAAACTGTACCAAAGTGTAATGACAAATAAAAGTATTACTGTAATTCGTACAACAAAAACAGGTTTATATAAAGTACAGGCTGTAATTGTCTGCATGAAACATGCATAAAGGAGGTTTACAATGTGCAGTTGTGAACATATACTGTACATTAAGGGATCAACCTCAAATTTATTTTTCTGGTAGTTAACAACTGTATCTCCTTCATAGAAATAAATAACCTACTTAGCCTAAATTGCCAATACGCACCCCAAAATACAAGAACCTATTTTGCCAGACTTCAGAATGTAGGATCTAATACTCGGATGTTTACTGTACTCACAATTTAGTTTTCTTGGACGTGGGGATATATTTTGCTGTCACAGTTTGTTATTTGTTACTAATTGTTTTTGAAGGCAAAATCATGTAACTTTCATTTTCATAAAAACGATGTCACATGACCTCTTAGTGCAAATAGCCTATTTTAAAGACAAAGCAAACCTATGACAGCCAGGGCAGTCAAAAACTCAAACAGAACTGCTCCTCATTCAACAGTGGTGGGCGAGAAGAACAACACCTGGACATAATTTAGATTACTTTATTTTGGTCTACTAAAATTTATACACACAACATTGTTTTATACAAAATACTTCATTTGATATCCTCCTCACAAATAAAATTCATGCCGACTGGTGTACATACAAAAATATATTAAAATATTCAATTCTTGTTGCACACAACTTATTTTGCCAATATTATACGAGTATATATTACACAGGCCTTGTGCCTTTAAAATAACCCAATGCCGTGACTTTAAAAGTTGACTGTCCCAGATGGCAAGCTGCTGTTGCACAGTCTATAATACCGTAAATCGCCTACAAATCGGTGAATGCTCTGCGTAAACGATGGTAAGTCCTAAAGAAAAAAATTCAAAGTCAGTATCGTGGTTCGGTTTTCATCGTCCTGGCAAAAGCTCAAGAGGGTCAGTGAACGGGGAGAAGGCATGCCATACGGGCATTTTCGGCCTCTCTTGCTAATATTTTAAATCACATTACAACTTTGCTATGACACTGGCAAATAAGTGTTTTGAAAATTACAATGTGAGTCAAAGTACAGTTTTGTAAATCAAAAACTTTGTTTCTAACGTATGTGGTGGACACGAGAAATAGGTACTCAGAAATTGTCTAAGGAGCATCGTAAAATGCTCAGGGCCGGGTTGTTCAAAGCAGGGTTAAGATAACCCAGGGGTAGTTCGGAATTTGAATTCAGGTATGAAAGCTTAAAAACTAAATTCAGTTTAATTCTTTTTGTTAAAAAGTTGATGATTGGATGCTCTTAAAATAACAGAGAAAATTATCCAAGAAAATGCTTTTGAACAAGAGAACAAAAAACCCGGTTAAATTTAACCCTGGGTTAAGCACTAATCAGCCTTCGACCAACTGGGCCCTAAAGTCAAGGAAGCACAACTGTACTGACTACCGAACTGTAGCTGGCTTTGGTCCTTAATACACCGATATAACAATGCACAAATCATGAGCCAACAGACCATTTCTGAGTTCCCCCCGGGCCTCTGTATCAAAACGAGTTCAAGTGCTCAGCCTTTGATCGGACACCCTCGCGACGGCAAGTGAGAGTCACCTAAATCTGGAGTTTATTTCAGTCAAACGGCTGTTATTTGTTTTGCCTGGGAGTCAGGGTTAGAGAACTGAGTGTATAAGGAAAGGCAAAGGAAGAGAGATACCTTCATTGTGAGTACCTCACAGCAGGGGAAAGTAAAAAAAAATGAATAGACACATGTCTTGCATTTTCTGAGTGGATTTTAAAGGCCTGTATCACTAATTTTGTTCATTATGATACCGTTCACTGCAATTACCTTGTCCGGAGTAAAATTATTCCCTAGTTCAGTCTTCTGCGAGTCTGTAAGGCCCTCGCAGCCGCCAAGAAAACGAGGTAAAAACGCAGAGTAGAAAGAGTCAAAGTCCACGGCCGCCATGTTGTAAAGAGTGATGGTTATCTCTTCCTGTAACAAGTCATGTGATCTGTACACCAGAGCTTGAAGGAGAACGTTTAAGAACTGGAGAAGCATGAGGTCTTTGAAGATTGTCTGAAGAAGGCGAAAAAATTAAGGCTATCAGGTTTGGGTTAGCAAAAGATGGATGGAGAAGGACAAAACAACAAAAAATCAAATCACTTTCAGTCGAATGAACGGACCAGTCAAGGAATTGAGAAGTTTACTTTCGTATTATCCTTTGATAAGGGCCATGCTCACTAAAAGTCACCATCACTTATCAAGGTTTTATCCCAATAAGATAAGGTCCTTTAAAACTATATACTCAAGCAACCCCCAATATCCCTTATAATAATTATAAGGGCATGTACTATACCTACCTTCTGATAAAGTTTCAACTTGGAGTTAAGGTTTTCTAATGCTTCTAGGTTTTGTTTGAATATTGTGATATCAGGTTGCAGAAAAGACTGTCCAAATGCCTGCAATGTAATAAAGATAAGAAAACGAAAATAAAGGTATAGCAAGACTTTTTTGGTTTTAACGTATTACAAAATGTTTGAGGTCAAGAAAGGGATTTTTAGAAATGAAATTCTCTTTACTCTATAAAACCCAGTAAACTGATATAATCATTCGGGAAGGCGAGAGAGCACGCTGGGTGGGAAAGACAGGAAAAATAAGGCTTCCAATTTTTCAGTGCATATCTTCTTTCGTTTTTTCTCCCTCCAGTCAATGCCATTTTCACATCGTTCGGGTTCCCGTTACTCTCCCTCACTGATGCAATTCACGACCTCAATCATTCACAAATTGCTCCTGTCTGGCCCTGTAGCTCAGTCGACAGAGCTTTCTTCTTTGGTAAATCTAATTCAGAGGTTGTGGGGTCCCATCTCTACCAAGAATTAACGATTGTTTCTTTTCCTCATATATCCTTTACTCGGGTTTACGCTCAGTGGGGCTTATGGATCATCTCTATCACACCAATTTATACGACGGTATTAAAGCCTTTTGTTCCATTCTGTGTCACATTGCTATGTGGCACAACATTTGTATGCCGGCTCATTACCAGATTTCTTTTAAGTCACTGTCGACTACACGAACTGTGGAGGAGGCAGCGTCTAAATGATCATAATGTGACAGTTATTTGTCAAAGTCATAACCAATTCTTCACTACTACAAACTCTTGTCACTCCATGTTCTGCGATATGTGACGGGGAACAACAAGGGGAAAACGTCATGGTCAATGAAGATCATTTCTTGGCCCATTTTATCGATTTGTCACATAAAACAGCAAACCAACATTTATACACTAAAATGCTAAAAGCGGCTCAAAGAGAATTACTAGTACTTAATTGGACATGACCTACCTGCATAATGGCGGTGAACTGAGGCTGGTTCTCTACTGTATCTTCACCTGTAGACATCTTGGCCAGCAGTGATGTACGAAAGAAGTAACGCCAGTTATGAAGCAACAGTTGATGGAGCAGCTCATAAAATTCACACTTTATATCAGGGCAGGGTTGCTGAGGGGAAAAAAGAGCAGCTTAAAATCACACCAAGACGATTTTAGAACATGAGTGAACCACACACTTGAAGTACTGAACAAAATGAAAAATTCCGAACCAAAACCATGCTAATATTGCTTTGCGAAGACATGTAAGAAAAGTGATTGTTTTAGTAAACGAAGACGGAATCTACTACAAAACAACAGACGATTAAGGTTGGACGGACAGCTGTCTAGTTCAGTTTGTTAATATTACCACTTACGCTTCCTCATGCACTATGAAACCTAACGTAAGGTAAGAAATTACTCGTAAATGACAAAATCACAGCTTCTTGGCCAACAAATATACCTACCAAGTATTATATCAAAGGTTACAAACAAGAAAAATGAAGTTTACAACACTGTTCCTGTTAGGTCAGCAAGTTTCAAAAAACCCACAATTGCACTCTTTTCTTCTTCAAGCTTCTCCACCCGTGCCTTACTTTGTATTTGCTGTATTATTTATAGTATACCATCTTTTAATATCTTGAGTGGACATTTTTTGTTTCACTCGATTTTGTGGCAGTTCCTACTGTTAGAATTTTGACAAATTTCATGACACAGCTCCTTTAATATTTACTCGTTTTAAATCAAAATGTACCTTTAAAGATTACTTATTACAAGAAAAGCAGGATTCAGGAAATGAAAAAACATAACGACTAAACCTTTTTAGTTTTTGTTTATAATGGAATATATTAAAATTGAGAAGACGTTAATGAGTGGCACCAGCAACTGGTGCCAAGAAAAAAAGGACATTGGAGTTCGTTTCCACCTCATAAGGCTTTTAAAACTTGCACTCACAAGAATATTATGGCGTTTTTAGGAAAGCCTTATAACTCCAGCGACCATCGTTTCTTACCTCGATTATAATTGGGCAAAGCTGATCCATACAAAGTCCAATGATATTGGGAAGGAATGTCTTGAATGAAGAAGCAGGTTCCTGGACCAACAGCTGAAGAATCTTGAGGAACTTGTTGATGACACGTGAGCCCGCAGTGCCCTCATGCAGTAGTGTCTCTGCAAGCTGCTGTCGGGTGAAGGAATGAAGCAGTTGTTGTACTATCTGTTCTGTCACTGCTGGGCCTATCTGCACCTTCAGACTCTCAAAAAGTGTCAACAGGAAACCCAGGATTGAATCAGTGGTAGCTATAACAAAAAGCAAAACAACCAACCTGTTAACAGGGAGTGATTGGTAATTTACTCTCAGATTGCACTCCCTTAAAGTATAATTTAGTCTTTAACAGGGTTCAACGATTTTAACAATTTCACAATTATTATTTTTAGCAATTTTTCAGTTAAAAAATCTAACGTCTTGAACAGGGTGTCTCTTTAACTGGAAGCCATGAACAGGGTCTAAATGCTGGTCAACTTCTAATGTAACCAGTCAACTTCTATAATGTCAGCTACCAGTACATCAAAGATTATCCTTAATTTGGTGTGTAACATGAAATGAATCAGGATCACGAAAAACTGTCTCTTATCTTAAACAGGATAGCGAAAATAAAAGATTTTGTCATCTGGATCAGCATTTAAAGGCTTCAGCCTCAAGAAGGAAAGTTTGACTGTAGCTAGTTTCAATTGAATTGAATTTTTTGAATGGAATTAGTTCGGTTACAGGGAACAAAAGGATATAGTGATACGCTAATAAGCAACATTTTGCTGTATGGACATACCTGGATTGTGTATAAACAAGGGGAAGATTGTAAGAGTAAGTTGAACTACATCTGCGATAGACTGGTACAGAATGAGTTTTGTCTTGGTAACTTGGTCTTCTGCTGCTGAAGCCATTAAATCTGCCAACACATGGAGTGTGAAATCTATGTGGGCCTTTGCTGTAATAAAGAAAAAGAAACAAGAGAATCATCAGCCCATCAGAATGCTGTGGCTGGATGTAGGCAAAAGTTAGTTTCTCGTGATTACAGAAAACTATCAAGAAAATGAAACTTGTTGGCACAGGCAGTGTCTGACTTAAAGTGAGTCATAAAAATCACTGGGAAACACAAGGGACAATCTCTAGATGACTGTCTTGTAGAGGTCCCTCTAGAATGGTGTAGAGGACTTGACTGTGTGACAAAAATTCAGGTAACAGCCCATCACACAAACTGCTTTTTAAGAGTGCAGATGTGGTTTTCGATCCCTAACAAATTTTCCCAAGGCTTGGCAGTAAAAAAAGCAACGTTGTCTGGGCTAAAAATGACTCAGGCATGGCAAAAACTTGTGAAATAAAGTTGTCGTTTCTAGATGCAGACACCTTTACCAATTTTAATATTTGGTTATGGTATATTCAATAAAGATTTTTAGTAGAGACATATACATTTTGCCATTTTAGAGAAAAGGGCCATGAGAAAAGTTCCTCTTTTTATGATAGGTAGACATCTATACTACGTTATCATACCCAGTGTTTGGCAAGTAACATAGGATAGCAGAAGGTGAAGGAGTTTTGAACTTTGTCAAAGCAACTAGCAAATTTAAAAAGTGGCCCACAAGCAAACTAACGTTCAAGTCGATGGTGTTTTAGATCTTGCTTCCTCTACTACAATCACTAGATAGGAATCATGGTATTCCAAGAACTCACCACTTTCCTGCAGTTGTTTGTTTTCTGAGATTCCTGGAGTTTCCACTAAATTCTTGAATGTTTGTTTGATGCTCTGTATGAACCTTTGATGACTTTGGGACCGGATCTCCCACTCCTATTGTCCAAACAACATGAATTAGTTCCTTTTTTGACACTAACATTAACTTAAAGAACGCCGGTTCCAAGTTTAATCTATCATCACAGAAAAGGCAGCACAAGTTTTGCAACTAAGGTTCTTGTTCAGTCATCAGTAGTGCCTCTGGGGACTGAATAAGAAACAAGGGGAGGATAAACAGAGGACTGGAAAAGCTTCAACACCCTTGGCATTGGGCATGAAATGAGCTGCTATTCTGTTGATCTGCTGACTGCTGTCTATTTTCTTGTATTCTATTTGATAAACATGAACACTGGTTGGCACCCCAAAGCATGCAGAACACAAGGGGGTTGAAAGCCCCTCTCTAGTCACAAGCCCAGGCCTAACCACTAGCTGTATTTGTTCTCGGCATACCAAAGTTTAATTCCTCAGCCACTCCTGTAAATAGCCAACTGCTTTGCTCTTCGACTTGGCTAGTTGGGATTCTTACTTGTTATGTTTATTTCCGGGGTTTGTTACCGTCTTTATTAATTTGCATTTGTCTGCCATAATGAAATGACTGGATAATGAGTGCAGTTGAATCCCATTAATAGACAATGAGGAGGTCAGAAGCCAGTGTCCATAATAAGTGGATCACGTTAGCTAAAATATTAACATCCGTTTCCAATGAAACAAAACAGCTAAGGAATAAAACATGACGTTAACATCGCTGCACTAAACATCTCTAACTTACACAATGCCAATTTGCTAAAGCCAATGCCTGCACAAACACTAAAAGTCACTCATTTATACATCAAAAGCAGAACTCAGCCAGCATGACTCATTTGCTGCAAAAATTACTTCAAACTTCACATCTAGACTTAATTTTATTTCACCTACTGTGGAATTGTAGACATCACTACTGTGCTTTAACAAAGAGAACCAAATCGTGTTAACCTCTCTTACCTGTTCATTATCAGCTTTACTTGGCCATGGTAGTACAAGAGCATTCGACAAAGACCTGATAACCAATGTCTGCACCTGTTAAATACAAAATAGTTATCAGTGACCTTACCCAATACAAGCTGCAATTAGACTGCAAAACAGTTCGTATTTTTGCATATTCAAGTACGTGCGAACAGTCAAACTACAGGTCTGGATTTTGAGAAACTGATTTTCAGCAAAAAAGTGACTGTTTTCAGTCCAAGTTGCAATCTACTGTTGCACTGAGCTCTAAAAGAAGCATAAAGCTGTCCAAGTTATTTTAAATTTACTACCTTTCAAACTGGTGGCCACAAATTACCAGCAGACAAAAGAGTCAGTCTCAAAAACTATTTGAAATATCCGGGTAGTAAATGGCCCTTTGCATGGTTATATCAGAAGAGTTGGTCTGTCTGCTCTTCTGTTTCAAAATTACTTGAGCTTGCCAGTGTAAAGCAAAAAGGCTACAAGATAAAAAGTACCTCCAATGGCATTTCAGACAATGCTCCACTACTGACATCATGGAAGAGTTTCTGTACGTTATCTAGTACTGTCATGAATGAAGGACGCACAGTAGACGCTAAAGAATTCAGCAGGTGTGAGGCAGGTAGAGAAATCCTTTGGGGAACCTGAAAGAAATATATTTTCAAAATAACTAAATGATTTTTTGAAATGCTGATTGGTTGAGAGATACAAAGTCTATGACAGTTTGGCTCCAAAATGATGTAATCATGGTGCAATTTGTTTTTCTCAGTTTTTCATGTGAAACTTTCCAAACAACCTTGCCAGAAATGCATGTTTAACATGTTAAATGCTATTGAACAATTGTAAAAAACAATGAAACCAATTTTCCATTCTTCAAGCTATTAATAGACAATGTAAAATTGCTGTTTATTATTTTTGCTACGCTGTAAGTCTTAAACCTCATAATCTTTCTAATTTGTAACTGTGCAATATGAATATGAGAGAATCCTCAGGGTATTTGAATAGCTTACTCCCAAGAAAACCACGCTGGTATTAGAATGTCAAAGGTAAGGCTTAAAATCTTGTATACGCACTGCAGTCTCAAAAGTGCCACCTGGTTATGATATACGGACACACATCAGAGACAAACTTTGTCACACAAATCAAACTTACTTCTTTATTCAATAAAGGTATTAATGCATCAACAGCATTGGAGATGAGCTTGACAAACTTTTCCTGGTGTTGTTGTTGCCTGTGAGTTTCCAAGTAATACTGAGCCATCCAGTGACAGTAAGCTTGCAAGGCAGCCAGTCCTTGAGCATGGCTATTACAATAAAGAACCCAAATATCAAAATTCAGATTCACATTTTTGTCCCTATACATTTCCTATAATAGTGGGGAGAATTTGAAGTATCTGTTAGATTCATCTTGTAGGATCATGTCCTAACTTCTCATCTCCAATGTGTTTTTTTAAAGCATTGACATTACAAGGAGAAATTTGATACTAATCACTGATACAGTACGTTTCTCTTAAAGAGTAAAGAGAAGTGATGACATCACAGAAATGACATTGTGAAATTATGGGATTGGTTGGCATAGTGATTTTAGAAAGAACAAGAGGGAAAAAAAACCCTTGCCAAAAATCAGCTTGTTAGTGTAAATTGGTGGGGAGATAAAAGCACTGCTATGCTTTGATGAGTCCATACAAATCCTTCTAAAATTTTCTGTGTATTTTCGAATGATTTCGAAACCAGTAGGAAAGGTCCCTTACCTCCTGAGCTAAAATTTAGGGAGAACATTGACTATGTTCTCTATGGGAAAGATTATCATTTCTCAATTTTCCTTTAAAGTCAAGATCCAATGTAACTTCAAGATTTGACTGATAGATAGATGGACTGCATTGTACATCGTAGAATGTATGAATTTCTTTCAATGCTACTTCCACTCAGTAAGGTTTGGGGAGTGCTTGATGCTTTGTGGCCCCATCTTATATAAAACAAACTGAATTGAACCAAGATCTTGCCATTTTGATGGGAGTACAAAGACATCTTAGACTGTAAGACCCATCTCCCCTGTGGCCATGATCACTAACCCATCTTTGCTAAATTCCTTCAGTAGCCACTATCGTTCACTTGGTATGTGTGCAGAGATGATAAAAAATAATCAAAAACAGATCAAATAAGGATTTAACAATGCATTTATATAATGCTAGCTTATTTGCGAGTTACTGTGCGTATAGTAAGACAAAACACATGGCAGTGGAAGGATACTGTTACTCACACTTCAGTAAAATCCTGTTGTAGTACATTAGGAACAGCCGTGTGGACTGCATACATTTGACTTTGTGTACCAAATAATGAGATTTGTCCAAGTCTCTCAACTATAGCCTCTCCATCATTGAATCTGTTGGCAAAATTCACTTCACCAATAAAATGTTCAGACAGACGTCCCAAAGCACGCTCCATAGTGGTCAAATCTCTGAGTGTGCAGTGTAAATGACGGCACTCACTCTCTGCAGTAATACTAAGGTGAAGACCTACATATAAGAACAGATCGAAGAATATTTTGCACTAATTCAAAATAAATCAATAACTGCACACAGCCACAGAGAATAATTATGGAGCATTTTTAATGAAGAATGTGGATCAATTTAGGTTTCTGGGAAACTGCCTACCTACCCCTCCTCTTACCCAACATTTTTCCCCAAGTGAGATGTAAATGTTAACATTGAGTTAAGGGAGGGGTAGGTGGGCAGTTTCCCAGAACCATAAATTTTTTCCTGCCCTTCGGGCCTCAGTTTGGTCTAAAAATAAGGGGGTGAGAGTGGAAAAAATTTACATTGTAAGCAAGCTCTAATAAAAATGACCAAAGGAGCCAAACTGTGTGTTTTCTTTAAATGAATACCTCTCGTCTGCACCAACACAGATTATTTCGAAAACTACACAGTCAAGACATTTTTCTCCCTTTGACTGGTAACAGTTTGCTGTTGCAAACTACAAGTTTTTAAAAAACCTATCAAAACAAACAACCAAAAAAAAAACACAAAAACATGAAAGTTTTTTCTGACACAAATCAATTTATGGTGACATTCATGATTATTTCAATATTGTTAGACTTGAAAATTGGCCATAAAATTTAACATTTATGGATGGTTCCTGTGTTATCAGAAATAGGGAACTGACAAAAACGAAACCTACCATGAGGAGATTTTGTGACATATTTTCCAAGGCCAACATAAACATCACAATATTCACTGAACAAGGGGAACTGAAAATAAAAAACAGCAATGCATAAAATAAAACCCTGAGAAATCAGGTTGCTCAAAGTACTGGTCCTTGTGGCATCTGTCTTTGAGAGAGATGAGAGTTGACAGTACTTTGTTTCATTAAAAAAAATGATTGGTCCTGCAGTCAAAACATAAGACTTCCCTTCCAGTTTTCATTGTTGGGTGGCTACATGTGTTACTTGTTTTATTGACTGCCAACAGCAGCGCTCACCACTGGACTGATTTGTGGGGTCTAATTTCAGTTTTAATGTGGCTATTAAATAAAATATAGGCTAAGTTAACTCGAGATAATGCTGACCAGCAGTCTCTCAAATGTGATTTTCAGGGGGCATGCCATGGGCCTTTGGGTTTTTACAGCTTTTTGGATGATGTCAGCCCCTTGTGCTCCCATTGCCTTTCATGGCTCATGCTCATTAGCACGTCGTTGCTTCCTACCCTTCCCTTCCTTTGATAAGTGTAATATGGTAAGTGTGCCAGGTTCCAGTGGTTAGCAGTGTGACAGTGCAATGCCATTCACATGGTTGTCAAGGTTTCACTCAGCTCACTTCCAGGCTCCAACAGCCTTTTGAGCACTTCCCCCCAGTTCATTTTAGTTGATGAATTTACATTAGGTTGATGGTTCCAGACACCACATTCTTATGCACCCAGCCACCAATTGTAATATAAATATTATTTGAACAACACAACATTATTATTGTTGAAAAATTGATTTCACTGATCAACCTCTGTGCAAGTACAAGAAAACCAACACACATAAAGTCAATCATTACCAATAAAGAGAAGGTTTCTCCAGGTAGCAGCTCAGCTAACTTGGCCACAATTTCCAAGCAATGCCTTTGAAACCCTTGCCACTCTGTCTCGGACTGAAACAGAACCAAACAGAAAATAATTTTACAATAACTAAGCGATCTCTGGTGTGCTGACTGATCAAGAGCTATGGTCTATGAGAGCACAGTGTATTGACCATGGAAATGGTGTGACGATGATGCAATTTTTTATAGACCACAGAAATTATGTAAAAATGTTGCAATGAAACACTTGGCTGCAGCTTGCAGTTCCACTTTGGTTTTGGACATTTTGACCTCTTTTGTATGGTCTAGACTATTGAAAACTGTTGAATTTTTGTTACATACATGTTAAGAGATGCTTGGGATAAAGCCACAAGAAATGTCTAATAAACTTCTCGACTCTTTGCAATTTTCTTTCATGCTTGTGGGTCAAAGTGAGCAAGGAGGAACCGGTAAATGGTTTACCAGTCTATGTAGCAGTCTATGCTACAATGGTACCAATTTTTAGGACATTTATCTACTGCAAAGAAAGTCAGCTCTCACTGCATGCATCACGTCTATCCTAATTATAATAATAAAATTTATTATCATTCAGACATAAGAAAATCCTAAATCCTGTTCTTTCTTCCAAACTTTGCTGCTGTATTAACCTATGGTCAACCTGCTGTAATTTTATAAGGCTTTCTTGCAATACTCGCAATTAAAGAGTTTACATACATCATCATCCACACTTTCGTCATCAAGTTCCTGTAGCTGGCTCTCATTATGTCTGAACTGCATCTTCTTTAGCAGCTCAGTTAACAGCATTAGTAGAACTTCCTTGTACCTGCCATGTGAGTATAATAAGGGAATACTGATACAAAAACTACTGTCTTCTTCTCGCAGTCTTCAACTGAAATGGTTACCCTGTACTTCAAACAAGTAATGAATTAGGTACTCTGATTTGTTACATACACAGCCAAACCCGAGTTTCTGAGCACAAGGATAATCTGCAGGGAGTCTAACCCTGGGGGGAACTCAGCATATGAAAGGGGTGGGGATGCTCGTCGAAAATTTTGAATTAAACCCCTAAAGGAGACCAATCTGGGCGTGGCCCAAGCCTTTTTTGACCCCTAAAAGAGACCATGTTGAAACACAGACAATATATTATATTTATATTTTTCGCATGCGACCCTAAATGAGACCTTCATGGCTAAATATGATGCCATTTTGCCCAGAACACCCTAAGTGAGACCAAAATCCGAAATTTACACCCCTAAGCAAGACGACAAGCATCCCCACCCCTTTGATATGCGGAGTCCCTCACCCGGAAGTCTAACCTTCTTGAACCTAATAAAATATGAAATTTCTGCCAAAACTATAACTTTTTGGCACAAAACAGTGGCTATAAATAATGTTGTTTTAATAACTGGACCTAAATATTCAGATGTTGTACCAATAACAAGACTTAAAGCTCAGAAGACTTCTTAATTTAACATTAATTTTTTATCAAAGTACATGCCAACTTTCACTACAAAAAAGCAATGTATTGTATGTAAGTACTGACCTGCTGACAGTAGCTTCAGCCTCAGCCAGTTTATCGCTTCTTGCATTTGCCACTTTCCCAATAAGGTAGTCTAGAAAAACAGTCCAAATATCCAAGCAGGCAAAGAAGCCCTCCAACTGGGGCTGAAAATACAAAAAATATAAACACTGATAACAAAGCCTTGTACAACACAATGAACGTTGCACATGCTGTTATCAATACTGTTGTTAGTCACCCATGATCCGTCAGAGTATACACTCATGGCTGACAACAACAAAAAATTACGCCCTTCATTTGCTCTACATGTGTACCATTTTGAAAAAGGTTGCACATTACACAACTTCATTCCAGATTATATGCACGGCTGTCATAAAGAGTTGGGGGCTGGGGATTTCCCCTGCTACTATGCATGTGATTCCCGGCTACTTTCATTGGAAAATAGAAGAACAATAGAATCAAAAGAAATCCCTAGCTGTTTGATTCCCCACGTACTTGTTGTATTTACCCACCAAATTGAAATCTTGGTGACTGCCCTGTTGAGTAAGTGAAAGCCTCTAAAACGGTTTAGCAAGGGTTAAGAAGATCCAGATAAAACGCTTCTCAACAACATAAAAAACACATGCACTAAACTTAAACAAATCTCAAACAGTTGAGTGCTGTGAGGCAAGTTTGAATTTTTTTCTCTTCATTATACAAAAAATAGATTCAATTTTCTCATGCATCTCTTCAGTAATAGATAACAGACGAAGATGTCACATTTACATGCAGCCTGTGTGCTACATGTACGTTTTTGTTCTTACCACAAAAATTGGTAACAGACACATAAAATCTACAACATGAAATCTACTTGTTTATTATTTAGTAATCACATATTAGCCTGCACCACAGACAGAACTAAACTTCTGGTTATTTCGTCTTAGAAATAACCAGAAATAACCAGTGCCAAAATCCTTGGTCTAGGCTCCCACCTGTGTAACAAGATTTGAGTACACATCATGATTGGCCTGTTAAAAAAGACATTGTCAATTTGCCAGTCAGGTTGTGGAGAAATTCTAAATGCATTTCCAGTAATTCTTTGAGTCCATTGGGGGCCCAGAACAAGGATATCAGCGCTGCTTTGCAGACATTACTAACCAGGGTTCCATTAAGTCTGTGGCACAGGCTATGACACATATTAAAGGCAGTATGCATTTACATTATCATTAGTAATAATATTACCTGTTTAAATGTGTATTTGAAAAGCAGAGTCAGTAATTCCAGTACAGGAAAGTGTGAGCTGTTTTCAAATCTTCGCAGGTGAATGCTTACAAACAGTCTTAAAAACTCTGTGAACTTACTTAAATAACTGTAAAACAAAATACACATTGTGTTACAGTCAATGTTAATAATTTTTTATTTATAATTTTTGAATCAACATTATTTTACACATGAACAAGTGCACTCCCTTAGATTCTAAAAATGGACTCTTTCAATACTCAAACCACAACTCATTGTTGCTACCAGATTCATTTCTTTATTCCTGCATATGGAAAGAGCAGTGAATTCACACACAATTTAAGTTAAAAGAAATATCTGCCAGCCCAGTTTTTTGGAAATCAAGTGCAAATGTATTCAAAGAAATCTTACAATTAATGCAAAAGTCTGAGAGATTTTTGAAACTGACTGAAAACTGTGAAGTTGTAAGTAGTCTAAAATTCAATGCTTTCATTATGAATGCAGGAATGCAGATTGGATTCAATAGTAGTGGGGCAATAGCTAGCAGATTTGATAAAATGTTCAAACAGTCAATTCATGAATTGATTCTAAGGGGATATGCTTCACTAGGTTTGACAGTATAAAAACAGCCCTTTCTTGCTGTAGTAAGTAAATTGTGCTCTTTATTCAGAGCCATAAAATAAGGTCTGTGTTTGAAATTTTAACGCAGATCACGCTTGAAGACGAACAATGAACTGGCAAAAATTGGAGAGGTTTTCCCAAAAAAATTAATGAGCGAATCCTTCGACAATTATCACAAACTTACCTTGAAAAGCTTCTTTGCCTTTTGCAGTGTTTTTTTTTTACAAGGACCAACGGAGGAAAGATGGAAACGACTTCGAGAAAGACACAGTGCCCAGTTTCCAAAATACTCCAGCGTTACATTAAAGAGCTAAAACTTTCAGAGCTCTTAGTTTTGACCAAATAAACTTTTTCAACATGGCGAATTTGTTTTCACTTTCTCGGAAACCCTTTGTTGTGTGCTATTGTTTTCGTGAGCCAATAAAAACTTTCTTTCTTGACGCCTGTCAAATGATTGTCAAATCGCGCGTCCTGCACTTGTTTCCAGTCCCCCAAACTGGAAGAAGCCAGCCTCGTTTTTTTCCTTCGATTTATTGCCCGCGTGCTTCACGCTTGGGCCATAAATCCATAATTTACAGTACAGGCTGAAAACTCGGCTAATAAGAGGTATGTATTTGCAATACACATAGATATAATTTATAGACAACTAGCAAATGGGATGGTATCCCAAATTGTAAACCTTACCCTTCATCTTGTTCTGTGAGCATGTTTTCCACAGCCTGAGCACCAGTGTCTTTTGTAATTCTTTGTAACAATTGAAATGTCTGTTGAAATAACTTCAGTAAAAACTCTTCAAATTCCACTGGTACACAATTCTTGGAGAGTAACTCATTTATACATGACATTGCTAAGATACCTGCAAAAAACAAAGGAAAATTATATTTCTGTTTTTTTTTTTTGGACAACCTCACATTTATATGTATTACTGTAAGTTTTAGCTTATTCATGTCCTTGGAGGAACGTACAACCCAACATTTTCTCTGGGTAAAGTATACTATAAGCAAAAGTAACAACAACAACAACTTTATTTCAGTATTCCCACGTTATTATAAATCCTAAACCAAAACAAAGGCTATAATATAATAAAGGACAAGTTTTTGTCTGTATTCCATACATGAATGTATGTAAGCAGCGGTAAGTCTGTAGATATGAGGATCGACATTGTTAAAAATGAAAAAGTGAAAGCTAGAGGTTGGACTTCAACCAGATTTTCTGAAACACCTTTACAAAAATTTTTTGATAATATAATGTTATCCTTTTCATCTTCTAGGTACTTCTAGAGTACCAAGGAAAATCCTTGAATCCTCAAGTCACTGGTTGTGACTTGACTTAACTTCAAGAAAGAACCCAGCAATTTATTTTTACAAGTGGTAGCACAATGAAGAGGATAATTCTTTTTTTATACCAATAATAGTAAAAACAGTAACAATAATAAACCTGTAGTCAATATCATCACTATCATCATCACTATTAGTCTAAGCGGATTTGGGGGCATGCTCCCCCGCAAAATTTTCAAATCCCAAAACCTTAAAAATAAATGTGATTTCTATTGTTCTGAGTACAAAAGAGCATGTTTTTCATTCAATTCAGCTTCAAGTTTTGGTTTATCGGCCACACAATCAACTCCTACAAGCAATGAACAAGTGACGATAATCAAAATTATGTATATTTGCACATAGGCACATTCTACGTAAACCTATAAAGAAACGTGTGAACAAATGACTGAAAGATTGTGTTTGCATAACTGAGATCTAACATAAACCGACTGGGCCTCTATGAAAACACATCACAAATAAAGTTTTTATTTAGATATTGATATATTTTTTGCTTCATTTTTTTTGGGGGAAAAAAAGTAACCGACGCATATTTTCAGTCCTCAGTGCTTGTTGAAACCCCTTACTTACCTAATTCTGCATTTCCCACAACACTACTGCTGGAATTTGACGTCACCACATTGCAACCAAACTCCGCAAGGTAAAACACCGTAGAGACAAGGGATGGTGTAATAGTTGTGGAGAGGGGTATCCAACTAAAAAGATGTCCTAAACACTTTAATGCCATAGAACTAATTTCCTCAGATTCAGAGTCTAACGGTGGCAGTGGATGCCCTAAATTCTGTCTTGATTTCATGGGTGAATTACTCAATAACCTTCCCACAAGACTACTACTTCCAGGCTGTTGAAGTGTCTGGTCTTTGGATGAAGATGAAAACATGGTTAATGACTCTGCTCCTGCCATTGAAGGACTAGCACTTCGAACTGGAGACATCCCTTGAGTAGGAGAAGGAGGTGGGGTAACAGTCGTTGCAAGTCGGCGATGTTTTTCCAATACTCTGTCCAATAAATGTGTTAATAAAGAGAGGATTCCTGGAACTTCATTGAGTAAAAGTCTATGTACTTCTGTTTTCCTTGCAATACTCAAATCCTCCCTAGGGGATGCCATTTCTTCTGATGTTGTTTGAAGCATGATCAAGCCTAGAGTTGTTGTTGAGGGTTGCTGAAGCATCTGTAATAATAAAAGAATGGTTGATTACAGGTAGATGTCACATGACAACTTATACATGTACTCTTGAAATTCACGTCCTAAAAGGAAATTAAACCAATGATTCTGAATTGACGTGAATGAAATAAATCTGATATGAATTGCAGATCGATAAGAAACTGGGTCAAGAATGTTCCTCCCAGTTGTGAATGTTTATTTACTAATAAGTGATTGCAAAGTGAAACCTTTAAAAAAAGGACTTAAACAGGACTTGAACCACTGAGCAATGAGGCTATTGACCTTGGAAGCAGCTTAAGGTGGCTGAACATAGTTTTGCAGGCAGTCAGCGGTAACTAGCATGACTGCGCGTGGTTAATTAGACAAACAAACATGGCGTCGAAAAAGCAATGGTACACAGAAGGCGATTTCTCAAGATCTACTCATTAAAATTTTGTGATATTTAGCAGAGTTTTTACTTTTATTGTATTTTAAATAATGAGAACTTTAAAATGGAAGTTGAACAGATGAAATTTGTGATACATTTAATAATTACAGTACCATTCTATTATTGATTATCTAAAATCCCTTCTGTTAAAATTTGGTAAAATAAGCTCCAAATGATAATGATTAATTATTATAGTAAGCTGTGTGCAAGTTTATAGGAAAATCTAATGAGCGAATTTTATGTAAACTGAGCAAAAGTGAAATTTTAAGGCTGTATTCAATCGCTCATGTTGCCATGGAAACTAGGAAAAGGTCAAATTTTACCTGTCAATCAAAATTTTTCATCAGTGTATTTTTCACTTGCCAAGTTTCAGCTTGTGAGCTGCAACCTTTCTCTTGCCATGATACTCATAAACTGCCAAAACTGTGTTCAGACACCTTAATTGAGGAATTATATGTTCTATAAGTATGACTCATGCAACAAAAAATAATTATTATTGTCTTCGCAATTTTTTTGCAATATTATTGCATAAGGTGCATTCATAAATGCAAGAATAATTTTTCATCTAATTATGATTCCATTCTTAGTTTATGTCTGCTTACCTCAACGATGTTTGACAAAAAATTAGGGTAGAAGTGAGGCCAGTCAACCCGTCCGATGTCCACAATCACTTTTACAAGCTTGTTTCTAATGTACCCTGGTAGCTTCTTGTGGTGTGACAGAAGATACTCATTGAGAAATCGTCGGACTTCAGTCTTGTCCTCTGGTAGTGCTCCTATCCACTGTTTATTTATTAAGTTCTGTAAGAAGTGAACAGTAAATAAAATGACACTTGGTATATCCATGAGGTTGTCAGTAAATAAGTTGAAATTATTGCTCATTCATAACCATGATGCTTCATGAACCAGCGTGCAAAGAAAGTAGTGTCCAATAGCCCGGGGCTAGTGGATTTTGCTATCGGGCTAGTGAAATCTGTTTTTAACTTGCAAGTGATGTTCTTTGAGGAATTCTAATAACAGGAGAAGTGTGAAATCAATTCTGCTCGACGAAAAGCTTTTGGGGCTAGTTGAAATGACGTCTGGGCTAGTAAATGCCAGCTTCAGCTTCCCTGAATGGCAAGCTGTAAAAATGATTTTCTTTGCACCCTGATGAACACTCCATGAGGCAGGTGCAGGAATGACAAAAGAGAGGAGAAGTGTGATGTCAGATCACCATGGCAGCAATAATTCTGTATCTCAACAATTTTTCTTGACAGAGATGGCTATTTTATTTAAATTGTCAAATGATAGATGAGGTTTAGGCTACCGCTTTGTCCATGAGACTGCAATCATATACAGACAAGTCATCCATGTCAATCTTTTCATTTTTTTCTGCTATATTTTGCAGGACCATGGTCTGTTAGGACAAAAACATTTTGATACCATGGCAATGTGATGTAATGACTTCTCCTCTCTTTAGTATTTCAGTACATGGTTGGGCCAGTCTGCAGGTGCCCAAACATTCAAATGTGAGTTGTGTTTTTGGTAGGTTCTGAAATCCATGTTATGGAGATTTTCTCCAAATTCTCCTGTTTTCTCTTCGGACAAAAGAGAGAATAATTTATTATTGCCAAATTGCTATTCAGATATACACCGAATGCAAATATGGCGGACCTCTCGGCCGGCCCGGGTCTAGTTGCGCGAAAGCAAGGCTAGTGAGGCCCCAAGAGTTTTGTTTTGACTGCGAGTCTTAGCGATTGAGTCGATCGATATGGTTTGCTTCAAGTTATTGCGTGCCTGAGAGCCACCAAAAAGAAAATTTTACTCTAGCTGGAACAGCCTCTACTTTCCCGAGATCTTTTCACAAAGAAAGTAAAGGATTCATGCGATCCGGCGCGGCGATGGAAACAGTTTACAGCGAAAGTGTGCTCGCTTCACTTACTTTAGAAGAGAGGACTTACGAAAGTATTTGAATGAAATAATTTTCGCAAGAGATGGTGCTGTTCCAAGATGTTTGCATGGTCTGTTATTTATCCAACAAAAGGTAAACATTCTCGAGAATGGGAACATCCGCTGTTGACTGTAAAATCTTTTAGATTTCACGCTGAAAACAGCTGCATTAAAATATAATAATAGTGACAAGTGTGAATGCGACACAAGAATAAGAATCACCTGTTAATCCTACAAGCGTGGCCTGTGAAACTATGTAAGAACCAGAAGAAAGCGGCATATTTCAAGAACAGTCCTTGATCAAAGTGCACTGAAAAAACTAACAGAGGAAACGATGGGAACTAAGAAAGTAAGAAGAAGGAGAAACGTTCTGGCAGAGAGAGAGCGTGCAAGTATTCAAGCATTGTATTTGACCTTGCGCGTGATCTATTTTAGCAACTTGTCAATTGGTTTCGAGATAAACTAACAGCAATATTCCAAAAAATGTTTCTTTGATGGCACTGCTCAAACTCGTGAACACAGGAGCGTGAAGACTGTGAAAACATTCGGCCTCGTTGTCTGTCGTTGTGTCTCTGAGAACTAAAGATTGGTAAGTCGCGACGGCGGATTCACTTGTTCTCGAAGACGTTTACCTTTCCTTGGTAAGAGAACGGACAAAGCAAACTTGAAACAGAACTATGAATCTCTCAGTTATTCGCCCATTCTAATAGTTTTGTGAGTCTTCCCTTCTGAAGTGAAGCAGGCACACTTTTGTTCTTTTAACTCTGTGATAGTAAAGTGCCTCCATTCGCCATGCCGAATCGCTTGAATCCGTTTCTTTCTTCGTAAAGAACCTTGGCAAAGCACAGATAATCAACTTTCGTTCCTGCTGGAGTTAAATCTACTCTTTGATGGCTCTTAAGCACGTAACAACTCGAAGGAAACCGTATTGATCGACTCAATCACCATGACGCGCAGTCAAAACATAACTCTCGAGGCCTCACTAGCCTCGCTTTCGCGCAGCTAGACCCGGGCCGAACGAGAGATCCACCATATTTGCATTCGGTGTATAAGGTACTTTTTTATTACAATAAATTCAGTCAAACTATTTTGGGGTACGCAATGGGGGCATGGGTGCCTAGGAGAGCGTTTGCCTTCCATCAGTGTGGCTTGGGTTCATAATCATGAACCAATTCCTCTGATTTAGCAACACAAGTACTAGCCCAATGGAAAATTGCAAATAATGAAAATTTACATACTTAAGGATACCCTTTTCAGTAAAAATCTCACCTGCTTAATTAATGTTTTTTTTTTTTTGAGTTGTTACAACTAGTCTGTTACAATGTATGTAGCTTCCTGTTTAGCCTTTTGTTTTTATTTATTTACTTACTTTTATTTTAGTTACTGGTTACTGTAAAGTATGTAACTGATGTGTGTGTGAACGTACAATAAAGATTTATAAAATTAAGAAAAAAAAACATGTGTAGGCTGAGTTTGGGTTAGGTTCCCATCATTGCTCCAATAGTTCTCCTCAAAATACTTTTGTTTGTCCCTCTCTTTAAAAATCAACATTTCTAAACTCCAGTTTGGTTAGGAATAGGTAGATTAGGTTAAGAGACACTTAGTAGATGTTCTACAATTAAATTAATTTATTATTTTATTCATTATATTCTAGTATGTTCCTTACCTCAAACACTGAAATTGCATACATCAGAACATACTGGTTTGAACAGTTGTTCAAAAAATACACACAGTGGTGCCATGCTCCTGACTGCTGACTGAAATTTTGTAGTACTTGTTCTGAAATAAAGAAGTAATTGCTGACAGTTTTAGATGGCACCAATAATTTCACTTAGAATAAACACAATAAGCTTTCATAGGCAGCAGAGCAGGGGGGCAGGGGGGGGGGGGGGGGGGCCCCCCAATATTTTTGTTTTTTTTTTATAAAAAAAAAAGGAAATGGGGAAATGTTATATAGGAAAAAAAAATTTCCCCTTAAGAAAAAAAAAAATGGTTTTCGAGGGGGGAGAGGGGGGGGGGGGGGGGGGGGGGGGGTAGCCCCCCATCAAAAATTTTGGGGGGCAGAGCCCACCCATGTTTTGGTGCCGAAAAAAGACTTTTACAGATGTATTTGGCATTACCTGTGAAATCGGCGACTTAAGAGCACACATTTTCTGCCCTTAGACAACTCAAGAACTACCTAAGAAGCATCATGAGGCAGGACCGCCTGAACAAGCTTGATACGGATGCATTGTCACAAATCGATTATGGACACAGTAGACACTGTGAAGACTGGAAAGAGGTTTGCTTGTGCCAACTAAAAATGCCAAGGGTATTTTGGAAAATTTGATTAAGGGTATCATATGGCTGATTGGAAGATTAGCCCTGTGGAACAAGTAGAAACCTGCCTTGTTTAAGTGTTTTTAAAACTCCATTTCATGGGAAAGATTATCTTAATACACCATGACTCATTGTAACTCTTATTATAATACGTTTTTGCATTTTTAACTTTATAGTCAAGTAGTTCGTTAGAGTATTTTAGTCTAATTTTACACACAATTCCTAGGAAGTCCATTTAAAAATTTATATGATTTCGTGTATAAATAAAGATTGATGATGATGATGATGATGATGATGATGGTGATGATAGTCTCAAAGAAATAAGGAAGATCAGTTGGTTATTCCTCACAACAGACCTGTTCGGCTAACTCAATGTTGTATCCAATTCAAACCCTTTGGGAATAAAAGGTTTTGTTTCAGGAATTTCCATATGATTTAAATGAGAATGCCACATTACAATGCAAATACAATACACAAAGAATCTTAAAACTGGGAGATTTGAATTGGGTACAACACTGAGTTAGCTGAATAGGTCTATGTTCAGTACATGAAAATCAACAATCTTTCTTTTCAACAAAATACAAATTAACACACCTATTTCTCTTTTCCGATGGTTATTGGTAGAAGCATCAAAGAATTCATTCATAAGAAGCTCCAAGGCATGAAGTGACGCTGCATCTGAAGACTGAGAATTTATGTACATTTCAGTTAATATGACTTTATGACTAGAACTGGTTAGAATCCACATTTTTTAATTAATTTGTCCAAATTTCTGGATGGGAATGGACAGTTGTCAGCAGAGGACACTTTTCACTCACCAGTAAATTGGTGGAAAAGTAGCCTCTGCTTGAAGGGTACATCTAGACTGGCCTAAACTTCTCAAAATGGAGATGACTACATCCTCATTGGTCAGTGTCTGAGCCTGTGTGGCACACCTCAAAAGGGGATGGGGAGAAAGGGAGGGAAAAAGTCAAAGGGGAGAGGAGGGAATGGATGCCTGTAATAAGAGCCCCCTTTTGTTCATTTTTTGTTGCTGCTGGCATCTGCAATCTTCTGATTGGCTGGGCCACACTAAGTAACTTATTGACATGTGTTAAAATATTATGAAACAACCATGATGCAGGTATCAAAAGAACTGTGGTTTATTGGCACAAGCTTTGGAAGATCAAAATTTATGCCGATGAGGCAGTGACTTCACATTCAAACCTTTTGCACTTTTCTCTCCCCTTCCTCTTTTTTGTGCCAGCTACGCAGGCTATCAGTGTCCATAATAGGCACTTTGGCCCTATAAGTCTCTCCCAAGTGTCCTGATTTTGTTGAAACATTCCAAGACACTACAAGCAAAACAACCCATTAATAGGCCACAAGCCAGTGAATATTTTTTGATTAGGGGTGACATATATGCTGAAATGGGACTGACTTTTAGGATCTCATCATCATTTAATACGGCACAGCAAGCATCTTGATCACCCACGCACAACTTTAGAACGTAGATGAAAATAAGCTTTAAATCAACTAAAGCCTAAATACACTTTTAGCAATATGTCCGAAGAAGGATTCTCCAGTTCATAAAATCACCCATTTCACTTACCATCTTAAAGGCTCACGTCATCCACGTTTTTTCTTTAGTAGTTTACGTTGGTAACTGTCATTTGTCACCAAAGTCTTTTACAATGAAAAGAAACCATACTCTTGGAAGAGCTTTGGTACATAAACCATGCAGAGTAGACTTTTCGCCAACAAATGTCGGGGATGAAAGCAATGAGCAGATGAATTGACCTACGGCGTCTCTACGGCGACATTTTGTCGATTGTAAAATTCTCCCAGGCTTTCTTCGTCTTGTTGACCAAGTGTTGGAGTTCAGACCTCAAGTTTCGCCGTGAACAAACTCTTGCCTCGCGTGAGCGAAAGAAAAATAAATCTAACTTCTACTATGAAAGGAAAGGCGAGTAATTTCAAGAACGTAAAACGACTAAAGCGACCCAAACCGGTAGAATGTGCGCTAGCTGTGCCCCTTTCCTTTTGCCCGGCCCACATACATCAGGACGAGGCTTATGCAAAGCAAAATGGAATGGGAAGGGTAGGTAGGGTGGGTTGGCGCGAGGCCCCGGGTGGGGGACATTTGGGTATTTTGGGGGTGGTATGTGCCGTCCTGGACTCCAAATTGGCACCCCGTTCTAAAAAAATTTCCCCTAATAGGTAATAGCATGATTAGTAGTGATATTTAGCATAAATACCACGAGTGATATATGTAATTTCACGAGCCGGTAGGCGAATGAAATTTGATACAATTTTGAAATATCACGAGTGATATTTATGCCAAATATCACGTACAAATTATGCTATTATTTTTTTATACTACTACCTGCAGAAGGTTTGTAATTTTCACATGTAGGTATTTCAAATTAAGCTGAAATACCACTGCTCTAAGCCAATCAAATTGCAGAAATTTCTCATGTAGTGGTATAGTCGCAGCCTTTACGCGCTATAGTTTTTAACACACAAACTTTATTCTAGAACTTCTACAACTGGTGCAGGGAAACAAGTGAACCGATGTGAAGTATAACGAAGTATAGCGAAGTATACTGAAGTACAGCGGTAAAGACGATAGCGAGATAAGGACGAAAAACTAGGACGAGCAAAACCCAAACATTAAACTGTAAACCGGACCAAGCGCAGCTAAACGAAGAACTGACGCGAAAAATTACAATAAAAGCTAAATATACGATATGCAGAAAAATCCTAACACGAAGGATAAAGCTACGCGAACAATGAAAAACTAATTAACCAAACAACAGCACTAAAGGCGCGAACACGAAAATAACTAAGAACGCGGCGAACATAAAAATACTATAAAGGTAACGGAAAACATTCCTGGCGCTTACAAGTGGTATACAAATTGATACCCCGTTCTAGAAATGGGCCAATTTTTTATACTCCGTTCTAGAATGTCTGTAAATTGAAGTAGCCCTGTTTTTTAAAAAAAGATATTTCTTTATTTGTTCGACTTATACATCAAATAAATGCTTCTCCATAATCAGCAACAATTTTAAGCAGAAGATAAAGCCGTGATCCACAATTTTTTATACCCCGTTCTAGAAAACGCCTCTGAAATGGATACCCGTTCTAAATCAGGAGCTTCAAAATCACGACCCCTTTGGGCGGCACATACCCGTACAGGTAATGTATGGGAGTACCCCCCCCCCCCTCCCGTGCGCGAGGCAAAGGAAAAAAAACGAAGAATTGGCCGAAGTGGGTTTTCTCACGACTCTTGCAATTCGTAAAGAATTCTCTTTTGACCCACATTCCCTCTTTCTCACTAAAAGGTCTTTGATTTTGTTGATTCTGAGTAAGGTACAATTTCGCCATTATTATTTTCTTTAGGTTATAGGTAGAGTCGGGCGGATTTGTGCAAAAAACAATCTTCTTCCCCCAGATTTTTTCGCGTGATAGGGCTATTACTTGCATGTTCTGTCGTGATCTTTACTCAACATTTCTGTTTTCTGGTCTTTTACAAAAATATCTGTTTAAAGGAAGCTGAAGTTTGAGGCAAGTTTTTTCAAACAAAATTATTGTCACCCTTGTCTCACAAGGTTCGCCGTCTTCTTTTCTCTCGTTCTGTTGCGTAAGTTCACTATTGTTTATTAGTGAACTTACGCAACAGGAAGGGAGAGGAAAGAAGACGCCAAACCTTGTGTGACAAGTGTGACAATAATTTTCTTTCAAACAACTTTTCGCCAAACTTCATTTTCCTTTAAACAGATCTTCTTGTAAAGGACCAGAAAAGCCAGAAAACATACATGACAAAACATACAAGTAATAGCCCTGTCACGTTTGTCACACTAAGATGTTTTGCAAACAGCCGTCCTCTTCTTCCCGCCGTCGGGTTGCTTTAACTCACTATTTATTGGATGAGGTTTTTGTGATGTCCGGAATAATCAACTGAAGGTCGAGGTAAGTGTTATTAGCCGAGCCGAAGGCCGAGGCTGATAAACACTTAATTGACGAGACCTTCATTATTTAGGATATCACAAAAACCGAATATAATTATCGTTTTATTTATATACATTATTTTGAAGAAAATAACGACAAACAACTGTCGCAAGGAACCTGAATAGATACAATTGTTATTGGAAATCATGCATTGCGCGCGCAAGCTACAGATTAGTCAGTTATTTGCTAGCACGTAATTAACTAATCTTTAGGCTGCGCTGATTTCCAAAATTAGCTGTAGGCTATGAAGAGTGAGAAGACAGATAATGAGCACAATGTATTATAATATTAGTTATCAGTGTTGAGGGCAGACTGTCGACTGAAAAAATAATGGCAGGAATATCTGAACAAGAATAGCAACGCAGTCACGTGACCTTCTGTCCCAAAACTGTGGGATACAACTTAAATATTATCAAGAGCAAAAAGAAGATTGAAAGAACATGACGTCAATTTTGAGGTGATTAGCACATAATACAGAGATTTTCTGGGTGTTCCAATGTTAGCATGTGTGTATATTTTCATAAATTTTTTATATTGTGGTAAAAGGCAACACTATGCCTTTGGCAGTAACCTGCAATCAGACACACCTTATTCCCTTTTTCTTTGGGAGGCAAAAGGAAGAGGACTTTTTCCCTTTGCGCGTCGCTCCCCCCACCCCCCCCCCCCCCCCCCCCCCCCACAACAAACCCACCCCCCTCCCCCCACCCACCCCCCCCGCTCGCAACCGCGCGCGCCAACAACCCACACCAACCCCGACCCACCACGCAAACACAAACACGTAAAAGAGCANTCACGTGACCTTCTGTCCCAAAACTGTGGGATACAACTTAAATATTATCAAGAGCAAAAAGAAGATTGAAAGAACATGACGTCAATTTTGAGGTGATTAGCACATAATACAGAGATTTTCTGGGTGTTCCAATGTTATCATTTGTGTATATTTTCATAAATTTTTTATATTGTGGGAAAAGGCCAAACTATTCCTTTTGCAGTAACCTGCAATCAGACACACCTTTTTCCCTTTTTCTTTGGGGGGCAAAAGGAAGAGGACTTTTTCCCCTTGCGCGTCGCCCCCCCCCCCCCCCTCCGCCCCCCCCAAAAAAGCATGCCTTATCCATAGTAGCCTGATTCCCAGGTATCCGAGGTCGCAAAGGGCCACAAAAAACCTCAGACGTCTGAGAATCAAGCTAGATCGCAAGTTACTTTGGCAGTAATTTTACATGGTAAGATAATATTATTATTTTTATTCTTTTAATTTAACAAATTAAATTTGGAACTTTTTCCAATATTAATAGCTGATTTACCATTAAGCACTTAAGCAATGAGAATGCTGTCATCCTGGACATCAAAAATAACAGAAAGTTGTTGATCTTAGCAATCTCTCAGTGGTCTACGGTAATTCAATAACTTTATACTTCAAGTGTTAAAAAAGCTTTGAAATCTGTTGTGTTAGACGAAAGTGTTCTTTAAGGGAAACACGTAACTTACAGTACTGTTGTTTTTCCTGATTTCAAGAATGTTTCAAGTGTTCTCATTGCTCAAGAAAGTAATACCACTAAAAAATATATTAAACTTTATCGGTGTTTTAAAAGGTTTTATTGCATCTATGGTAATGTATAAAAGACAAAATCTGTTTGCACAGCCATTTTGTCCAGCTGAAAGGCATGTAGGATGTAGGATCTTTTGATATAAAGAAAATACTACTAACGTAAATCCCATAGACACATCACAAATGTTTATGTCTTTTTAAAAATATAGAACGTTATGATTTCATATGGAACAATAAGTTCCTTGGCTGTTCTTTTTTTTTTCCTGTTTACACAGCTTGCGCATCTCTGAATGCAAGAGCCACCACAGCCTTCTGATGTCCGGCATATTCACGTACAACCTCAGCCTGATCAAGATTCCATAAACGTGCCATGTTGTCGGAAGATGCTAATGATAAAATGAAAATTATAAAATATCAGTTAATTATCTAAAGGATCATAAAACCAGCTTCCTTATATTAATAATACTGTTTTTCCTTTGGAATGTCTGTTTGTGTACCTTATGTACAACTGTTTTATAGTGTTCATCAATTTCCACCCTTAGTGACTAACATTATTTAGTTAACATTAACTCTAAAAAGGTAAAGAATATCACACCAATGGCAGGGGTATTTTGCAGAATGCCGAACAGCTGCTGAATGACTATGAAGTTTATTGATAAGGGTTAGGAATCTGAGTGAATCAAGTTTCCTGTCAGTTTTCCCAGTGTAATGCCCCTAAGTGGAACCTGATTCACTCAGTTTTCTAACCCTAATTACTAAACATCAGAGTCAATTGGATGTTTGGCAGCCATTCAGCATTCTGCAAAATATCCCTGGCGCCACATCAAACAATTTTAAACCAGGACTGTTCACTCTACACCTACTTTTATACCAAAATGGTCAAAGACATCATGTCTGATAGATGCTTTGAGGTAAAAAAAAGTATGAAAATCACTTATAATGTTTTATCGGAATAAGAGTTGGAAATCGGTGGGAAAGTGGTAAGTCTGGCTTCCCTAGCTATGAGCTTAACTGTTGAGGCAAATTTTTCCCTTTTGTTTTCGTTTTCTTACACTTACTTGTTATCGTGTATTCTTTTTCTTTTGGCTCTCCGGTATTTTATTAATTACACTCCTTTGTTTTGTTCTGTATGTAAATTTAGTTATATAGTTTGTTATCTCACCCTTTTTTTACCAGAGTTTTACATGTCTATCAGTGTAACAGTGTTCGTGGCAGTAGATTTTTTTTCTCGGTTTCCCCAACCACCAACCCTTGTTATCCTCAGCATTTGGTGAGCAGCTTCATTTTCATCGTTTTCTTCAATTTCGTTTTGCAGTGGCCTTCAGCTAGGTTTGTCTGAATTGTAACAGTTATAATACAGACAAACCTACCCAGTTTTTCGCTCTTTGTGGTAATGTACTTTTTTGGTACGTTAATAGTAAAACATTTGCTGAGACATCATGATCGTGTTGTGTTTCCTGGAAATGGCCCTTACCTGTTCAATAACTATCCAATTTTACTATACAATCCATGTAGCTCATAGATAGGGAAGCCAGACTCACCAAAATCCCACCCAAACAACTCTTATTTCTAAACAACATTCTCTACAAAGAAATGGCATATTAATTTTTATTATTACCGGTAATAAGATACTGTGAGTCTTCTGAAAAGGCACAGTCCCAAACCCATCTTTGACTGGTTTCCTTTAGGGTTTTGCTAAGAGAGAAGTCAGCTGTTTGCCATATGTTCACTGTTGTGTCAGCAGAGGTTGTGGCTAGAAAACTTATAAAAGATAATGACAAAATAAGACAGGTGGTAAAAATAAACAATAATAAAATTTACAGAAAACTTAGGGCTATTTAATGCTAGCTAATGTTTCCAGTGTTTAATATCATCACATAGGGTGAAAGGGAAGTTGCTTTAGACAATACATGTACTTTTGTCTCTATTAATAAATGACCATCACCACACAGGAATTAGATCAACAGATTCCTAAGAATGAGAAAGTATGCTTCACCCAGAGTAAAAGAGTAAGACTGTGCTGTACCAGTGCCCAATGACCCCTCCCTGGCACCTAACTTTTTCTCATGAGCAAGTGGAGAATTTTTTCATAAGATCATATGCTGGACTCCTATCATTTTTCTAAGAACACAGCCTTGGAATGCAGGGATGTCGCTAAGAGCCAGCTGCTGGCTAATTTACCTGGCTGGAAAAAAACTTTCCACCAGTTCAATTACCCTGCTAACAGAGTCTCCTTTGATCTTCCTAGATAAGTCAGGAAGAGGAATAAGTCGCTTCCTCTTTCTTGATGTATCTAGGAAAGTTTAAAGCAACTCTGCTAGCAGGGTACAGTTCAAATTACTCTAGAGAACGAACAGTGCCAGATCCAGACCTTCAGATAAGGGGAGGACCCGGTCTCCAAAATAAATTTTTTTGGCCCTTCAGGCCTCAGGTTAGTCTAAAAATAAGGGGGGGGGGGGGGGGGGAAGGGGCCCCCCCCCTGGATCCACCCCTGACAAAGAAAAACGGTAAGGGGCGGTTAAGGGGGGGGGGGGGGGGGGGGGGGTGGGGGTGATTTTTTTTTAGCCCCTTAGGGGGATTGTTGGTGCCTTTCCCCAAGGGGGGAATTTAATGCTTCACTAAATAAATTACAAAAACCAAAGTGTGTTTCTATTTTTATAAAGAAAAAGGAGGGAGAAAGAAGAAGGTCGTTCTCTTTGTTTGGATTATAAAAAAAATGAAAAAACCCACTCGTAGGGGAGAAGAAATAAAAAATCCCAAGAAAAAAAAACACGCGCAAAACCCGCACAAGGAGAGGGGGGGGCCACCCGGAAAAAAAAATGTTTTTTTGGGCCCCGGGGCGTGGGAGTTAAAAAAAAAAAGGGGGGGGGGGGGGGGGGGCAAGGGGCCCCTCCCCTGGATCCACCACTGACAAAGACAAACGGTAAGGTGCAGTTAAGTGGAGGGCGCAGGGTGGAGGTGTTGGGCTGATATTTTGTTAGCACCTTATGTGTAATGTTGATGCACTGCTCCAACTGGGGAATATAATGCTTCACTGAATAAATTACCAATATCAAGTAACAGTGTTACCAACAAGGTAATTTGTAGCCTGAGAAAACAGCCAACATTTCGCGACAGATCAGGCGTGAGAAAAGAGCAGAGAAATTCCATACTGATGACGCGTCACCATCCAGATCTGGCTTGTGCTTCTGATTGGTTGAACATTTGCTTCATTTAATCAGAAGCACTACCCAGATCTGGGTGGTGATGTGTCATCAGTATGGAATTTCTTCACTCGTTTCTCAGACGCCATTTTGTGGGGAAACCAGTGGTGGCATCATGAAATGTTACCTGTTCTCTCAGGTTAGGTAATTTTATGATGGTGTCCAGGCTCTGAGTCAATTCTGCACAATAGATATGTACTGGCTCATTTTTTTTTCAGCAGACAGGCCAAATGATGGATGAAATGACTATCATCAACTTAAACTGAATACTTACCAAGAATCAGGACTAAAGAGGCATTTCAAGGCTGCTCTTTTATGAGCTCGGGGGATTTTTGTTCTTGGATGTAGGACAGTTGGATCATCTTTAGTACCTCCTGATAAGCTCCAAACATAGCAATTACCCTAACAACAAAAAATGAAAATGTAAGCTTTCTGTGATGTGTTAAACACAAACAACCAATACTGAATGATAGACTGAATGACGTGATAGTGTATATTTCTTAATCTGCATAACTTTAGTCAGAAAACGGGTAACTAAACAGATGTACCGGAAAAATGGACAAATTGATTGTCAAGTTATCCTAAAGGGGAAAAGGATTCTTGACTTAACTGCCTTTTTTCTGTTCACTGACAGCTTTAACATTGTGACACAACAGGTTTCACACAAACTTTGAGTCACTAGAAGAATACACAAACTTCAAATACTAAGCTGTCAAGACAAAGACTAACAGTTTAAGGTGACATTGTCTAAAAGGTTATTGATAATAAGTCAGTGACACCTGTCACAGGTGCAACAATAGGGTACAGGTTCTTTGGAATTTAAAGTTGCTAATCCAGTCCTCTCTCACCAAGGTGGAAACCTTTGGGACTACTGGTACTAAGTTTCAATCTAAAGGTGATGTCCATCTTATGGAAAGTCAAAAAAAGGGGGTGGAAAGGCAGGATCAACTCAAGGTGTCCATTTTCAGTGCACAAAGAAAGTAGTGTCCGATTGCCCGGGGCTAGTGGATTTTGCTATCAGGTTAGTGAATTCTGTTCTTAACATGCCCGATGGGAAAGTGACGTTTTTTGGGGGAATTCAAATTACAGAAGAAGTGTAATCAATCTTGCTCATTAAAAAAATTTTTTCAGGCAGGTTGAAATGACTTTTGGGCTAAACGTGTAGTACATGTTAGCTGCATCTTGCCCAAATGGCAAGCTGTAAAACTGACTTTCTTTGCACCCTGATTTTACTGAGGTATCCATCTTATGAGGTGTCCATTAAGAGACAGTTGACTCCGCATGTTTTTTCTTGCTGTTGTTGTTGTTCTGGTTGTTGTTGAAAAGCAAGGAGATAAAAAAGACAACAAGGAAACTTAAGGGGAACAACAGAACTTTTTAAAACACAAAAAAATAACCTGATTATTGACAGCTGCCATGTACGATGCCTCTCTGTCAATACTTATTGACAGAATGGAAGCATCTGACTCTGGAATCTACAGTAAAGAAAAAGACATGTGCAATTAAAATAGCAATAGTAGAAATCACTTTGGTTGAATAAAATATTGCTAATATACCATATACATACATAGGCATTAACTGGTTGGCTCAAATTGGGCAAATGGTAAACAAAAATTGTCATTCTAAAGACCCATTTACCATTTGCACAAATCAGTCCCTCTTACTGAAATTGTCACAAAAGCCGGAAATGACTGTCAATGATAGATTTCAAGAAATTAAACATGAATTTCCTTTCGAAACATTCCTACCAGAATATTAAAGCAGGACCACCTTTTCAGAAGTTTCCTTGTTTCCAGATATTTTTCACTGGAAATGCATAGCCGTCCTTTGTGATCTAAAATCAGATTCAAGTTCACTGATAAATAAACTATTTTAAAATTTAAAAAAAATTCCTGTGACTTACTAACTGTTCATTGTGATCAGTCTTCAGATCCCACATGTGAATTGCACCACTTTGATCCCCAACAATCAACTCACCCTACAGCAAAATATAACACATATTTTGATATGGCCAACTCGGCGCTATGCACTTCATTAGCTATTTACCACCTAATATCCAATGCACGCTCACGTAATATAATTGTTAACTAATATTTTAAAATAACTTATATTACAAATAACCATTCAACTTGCAATCTGCTGGTAAATATCTAAACAAAAATAAATATTGTTGATGATAACAATAGGTTATAAGAACATCAAGAGACTTAGGATTAAACTGCATGACCCGACAAAGCAGAAATCAACCACGCTTGACACAGTTAATATCCTGTGCAATGTGCTTTCTGTCTGAGGTCATTGACCTGATAAAGAGCACATAAATTGCAAAAAATACAGTACAGCATGTCAATGTTTCTTGTGCAAAAAAGGGATATATAAATAAACAAAAATATTATCACCTGATTAGGGTGAAGACACACACAATTCACAGGAGCATTGACTTGGAAGACACGTTGACATTGCAAGTTACGAGACCTGCCAAAAAAAATCTTGCTTACCTACTACAATCTACCCTGCATTTGATGCAGATAGAGGGTATAAGGTACATGTATTCATTAATAATATTATTACTTTTTGCTGATTGGATGGGAGTCACTCATATCCATGAAGAGTTTGTTTGTGATTGACTTGTATGAATATTATTTAAGACTTTATTCTGGGATAAAAGAGTCAATTTATTGTAAGAGTCTGGTGTGTTGTGTCCATGGTGGAGTACAACAGAAAAATTTGGTATTATCAATCACATTAAGGTCAGTTGGTCACTGCTCAAAGATTTAAGGGTTGAAAGTTTAGCAAAATTGAAGAACAGCTGACCACCAACATCTGTCAGCTGTCTATTGGTAGAATGCAGGCAACTGTCTGTCATTAGACTCTAATAGACCAAAATATAAAAGTCAGCGGGAAAAGACAACTGACAGTCAGCCAACAAAGAGCCAACTGTTGAACCTTCAGCTCAAATTAGACCACAAAAAATATCAGATCTTTGTCATCAAATAGCAGTATTTTTTCAAATTGCACACAGCTTTTATTCAGCTACAAAATAATTTCTTCCTTGCCATTGTCATTATGCACAAAAACAGACCTCTACCTGAAGAAAACAGTGACTATGAATATTAAGAAAAAAAAAGACCAAGTTACCTTAAGTCCCATATTCTAGCTGAACAGTCCTCACCACCAGTGTACATCCATTTGCCATCTTCATGAAATCCCACAGCAGTTACATTTTTGGAGACACCATCATAATTAACAACCTTGAAATAAAGTATTTTATAAAACAAATGACAACACTATACAATACAATGAAAAGCAAAGATGAGACATTGTTGACTAGACCTGGTTTTTTAACTGTAAGTTTACAAGATTAAAGAAACTGTCAGTAGAAGGAAAACACAACTTGAAGCATACCACTGAAATTATAAACAAGTGTTGGCAACTTACTGGACTGGGAGTACTTGAATTTATGTCATACATGCGTATGTGCTGATACCCTGAGATAATGAATAAATATTAAGAATATTAAAAATACATGTATATTGATATACCAGTATGATAACACATATAGATCAACATTATTTTGTTTGCTTCAAAATTTCTTTCAAACTAACTGCATGCATCTATACAAATAAAATCTGGGTAAATTCAAATGCGATACAAATACACAAATCAGTGGCAGCTCCAGTGGGGAGGGGTCCGAAGCTTATAAAAAAAAAAACCTGACCTTCGTCAGGCAAGCAAAGCAAACACACTATGGTGCTTGACCACTAACAAAACCATGGCATTATGACCATTAAAGGAGAAACGAGATTTGACCATCCCCAAGAAATGAACTGTTTACAACAACAACAACAACAACAACAACAAGTTTATTTCAAATTAAATATAGCTTATAAAGCTTGCAATTTGTGCCCCCAATTAGCAGTGCTTTTCAAAAACACACGAATTCTGAAATTCATAAGCCAACTGACATTTATGTTTAATTTTGCTGCTGTCAATCATCCTAGTGGACCTCTTAGGGAACAGAAGTTTACTTATAATTGACGGCAGGAAAAAACACATTTGTGAAGGCTGCTTTTGAACTCCAGAGTTTGTGTGTTTTTTAAAAGCCCAGTAAATACCTGCAGCAGCTAGTAATTGTCTATCAGGGGTGATCTGCATGGCATTGACTTGCTGCAAATCTGGTTAAAGAAATCAACTAGCAAACAAACTGAAATAATTAATTTCAAAAGTAACCTTAGAAAACAGCTGACATTTTGCAACGCCACTACTGGTTACCTGACGAAGTGATGTCTGAGGAATGAGCACAGAACTCCATACTCATGATGGGTCACTACCACGATCTGGCTAGTGCTCCTAATAATTGGTTGACACAACTTGTTCTCATGGAACAAACAATCAGAGCCACTTAAATCCAGATCTGGGTAGCAACAATCATCGGTATCAGTGATTTTGTTGCAAATAATTATGGTGAGTCCTGGGACTCATCTTGTGAAAAATCAGGAGTCCCAGTCCAGAACCAATGATTCCCAGATCAAAAAAAGACAGGTCCTAAACTGAAAATGCTTGGGTCTTTATGTAACCAGTCAATTAAAAATAATATAGTCTTTCTATTATTTAAAGCACAAAAAAGACTGAAATGAATATGCATCGTTAAACAACAGCCACAGAAATCACACAAACAGGATATTATATATTCCATAATTAAAACATCTTCAGAGCAATCCATCGATCTTTGCATCCTAAGGGATGCATGCAATGAATTATTTTGCATGTTTGGGGACCTTTATGCGTCGGGGCTGCAGGACTCAAGGGTGACAAAATCACTGCAGTATGGAATTTCTACCCTCGTTCTTCAGACATCATTTTACAGAGAAACCAGTGGTGGCCTCATGAAATGTTGACTGTTCTAAGGCCAAACATTCTGTTCTCAGGCTAATCGAAAAACTGTTGTTCTAAGCACAGTGCTGCCGCTCAAAACATTCCTCACCTATGCAACTACCTGACTAAAAAAGAAACTTAACAATACATTAACTAGGTAACAAACCAGTCAGTAAACTAAGCTATGATTAGTTTAATAGTTTCAGAATACGATCAAACCTTCTTGATATGGACTACCCAAAGAAACAGAACCAAGTGTCCTCATTCGCTAAGAGCATATTTCCCATAATATACCTTGTTTGCCCCCCAAAGTTTTGCATAACCTTTGTTTTTAATTTCTCCTGAGTATTGTAGTTGTCCAAGGAGAAATTAAAGACAATGCCTATGCAAAATTTATTTAGGGGGGAAGGGGGGCAAGGTGTACAGTCGACTCTCTCTTAAAAGACACCTCTATTAACGCCTGTGGTGCAGACGGACAGTCGGACGGGCGTACAGTCATGTGATTACCGAAATTTCTTGGATGGATGGATGACCAAATTTTGTTAGGTGTGGGGCTCCACTCGCGCGCGTGCGCTCGCATGGAGCTCTGCTATAAGATGGACACTCAGTCCCAAAGGTGACTGTCTTAGAAAGAGTGGACTGTATTATGGGAAATGTACAAATGGCGAATTTAATACAGAGGAGTCTGCTTTATACAAGAGGTTCAGTGTCTGAGACCAACACAGCTTTCGACCACAATAGAGGGGAAAGGGGTTTCCGTATTCTAGAGAACCTCATAAAAGTAAAATGCAGCAAAAATACAGCAAACACTGCATTTTAAAAGGATACAGAGTCTGGATGCTGAACTGTACGATGACATATTCCGCTGTGAGCTTGCCAGAACTTGATCGCATGATCGTAGCCCGCAGTTGCTAAAATGACTTGCTCGTTTGAACCGTCTGTTTCAGACATCTTGTTTTTTCATCTATACCCATCCATGTCTCTCAATCCGATGATTTCCGTGCAAAAAAACAACCGAAACTACTCGTCTGGCATAAGTCGGCGACAAACCCCGGTTGCACGAGTTACTCTTACTTGAAGGTAACTTAAACCGCTGGCTAGCTGGAAGAGCTTCTCCAGACAGCCGGAGATAGCGGCTTCTTTAGTAAGGGAAGGGTGGGCTGAGTTTTGAAAGGCTAGAAATATAATATAAATTCTAGCAATCTAATGGATACATTACAAAAGTCCTGGTAAAGTATCAAATTTTCACTCACCATTTAAAACATTGTCAACGAATGCTCATCAGCCATTAATTTAAAATCCTGATTATGTAGCCTCTGCAAAACAGCACCTCACCCTAGTCAAGAACATTTTATCAGCGCCTGGCACATCTGGCTGTGACGATTTTCACCTTCTAAAAAAACATGGGTATCCACGGACTCACAAGTTACGTTAATTCGATCCCAAATCTTTGGGAAGAGATCATTCTTCGAGATACCAAACTAGTCATAGATGGGTCTTGTTTGTGCTACTATCTTTATGTCAGTAATGGATTTGACTTCCGGTGCGGTGGGCAATACGGCGAGTTTTACCACGCGGTTGATTCGTTTTTTACTGCTTTGAGTTCTAAACGAGTCGAGTGCTTTGTGATCTTCGATGGCGCGGACGATCCAAGCGACAAAAAACTGGAAACACTCCAGAAGCGAGCAATCCAGAATATTCAAAGGGCGAATGCTTTGGCAAAATCAGCTGATGACCGCGAGTTCTTACTTCCGCTTTTGACCAAAGTTGTTTTCCTACAAGCGCTAAGGAATCGTGGCATTCAATTTGCAGTTTGCGACAGGTAAATAATATTAAGCTTTGATAAACACACTGTTTCGAAAATTTTGAAAGCGGGAATTCCCCCATGGTGAGATAGCCGGAAAAGGCGGAGGTTGAGGGAGGGGCAGTCGTCTTACGGGCAATGGTAAGAAGTGAGCCGTTCGCGGGAAGCGAAAGGGACAGCGAACGACCTCGGACGTCTGAGAATCAGGCTATGAGTACCGATGCGACAAAGTTGTTCACAGCCCTCAATTTTTTCCGTATTTTTATTCGATAACCATACAAACTGGAAGCAAACTGCGTCGGAGCGTGAGGGGATAGAGGGCTTGTTCGCCCCTTGCCTGCGGACACGGCAGGTACAAAACGCAGGTCGCAGGTCACAGGTCACTGTGCTACAGTAAATGTTAGGGAGCTTTAGTATTGACGACGGCAACGGCTGCGAAAACGTCAGTTTTAAAATGAATTCACGTTTTTTCAATCTTTGTCGCGTTTATTCCAATTTGCTGAATATGGCAAGTGTAGGCGAATTTCTCAGGAGTTGATTTCTTGAGGACCGTACTCAAGTTTAGAGAGAGAAAAAGAGATTCGTCGTCGATTGTTTACGTCCTCCATAACACTTGCAATTAGGCATTTTCATGTCGTTGTCGTGCAAGGACGGTAAAGAAATGTACAAAAAGCGTGATGCACGTGCAAAGTTGTTGTTTTGCGTAATAAACCTATTGCTTTTTTGACGTCCTGGTTGCCGTCGCTGTCGTCTTTGCTAAAGCTCCCTATTAAACAACCAAACCCGAATCACAATTTAAAACTGAGTTTTAGCTTAAGGCGAAACTGCCTATCTCAGTTATTTTTCAATAGAGCTCTGACCTGCACCTGTGGCCTGTGATCTGTAATCTTTTTTTTTTTGTACCTGCCACTGCCGACAGGCTCCCAGGGAAACGTTGTTTAAAGAGAAGGGGAGAGACTTTATCTCCTCGCACGGTAACCGGTCATTTCGACCCCAACTCATTTCGCCCCGGTTACTTAGCCCCCCTCGAACTATAAGCCATGAAGCAAAACAAGCACGCTTCAAAAGTAACATCCTCGTTCTAAAATAGGGGGCTAAGTAACCGGAGCGAAATGACCGTAAAGCCCTCGCACTGTCCCCCACTAACGAGCCTTTCCATAGGCAAGCACATCCACATAGTACGCTGCAATATGAAGAAATTGTTTGATTTAGCTTAAGCAAGTGTATTTTCTTCTGCGGCAAGCAGTGTAGTGTTTGATGTTGTATTTGGCCTAAGATGTAATCCTCTCTCTTTTCCTCAACAGTGAAGCTGATGCAGAAATTGCTTCTTTGGCTCGATCATGGAACTGCCCAGTTCTAGGCAACGACAGTGACTTCTTCATATTTGATGTAAAAGCAGGCTACATACCACTGTCTTTTTTCGACTGGACAGCAGGTCAATTAAGAGCCAGTATTTTCTACCGTAGTAAACTGGCATCACACTTTGGAATTCGCGCAGAACTGATTCCTTTGTTAGCTTCTTTGGCGGGCAATGATTACGTGAGTTCGGACGCACTGGCAGCTTTTAACCTTGCACTGATTCGCATTCAAACCACGAATCGTTTTAGCCGAAGAGAAGCAAGGTTTGCAAGCATTGCTAACATGCTGTCCGAGCTACCTGACTCGTGTAACCAACAGAAAGCACTGGAGTCCGTCCTTCAAATGATATCATCACCGCAAAACAGATGTGAACTGAGACAAGTTGTAGAACTTTCTCTTCAGGAATATAACATTAAGGAATCGAATTTATTGGATTATTTTAAAACTGGTGCGGTGTGCAGCTCTCTTAGGACACGTAATGGCCACGAAATTGAGCAGTGGGTTTTGCGTCGGTTTCGTTCTGGGCTGTTTTCAACCAAATTTATGAACAGTTTAACCTCAGGTAAATGCTTGCTTCGAGTGCAGGTTGAAAACTGTGGGGAAATTTCCGCAAACCGCTCTTCTCTCTGGCTTAGACAGTTTGTTTACGGTATTCTAAACGATGTAGAAGAAGGCACAAAAGAGACGGGAAATTTACCAGCTGTGCGAGAATGGGATAGAGAGGGCATGACGGTGAAGCCGTCAAATGTTGCACCCTATCAAGAGGGTGTGGTACCAGGTATAAGTCTCATGCCATATCTCGAGACCACAGAGACGCTAAACTTTTTGTTATTTGCGCTTGATAGTGCAGACACACCTGAAATAGGGGCCTTACCGCAGGATATGAAGTTATTTGTTGCATCACTTCGTTATCTTCTCAACAATGCGCAGCCAGAGCTAAAGATGAATCATCTCTTGGCTTTATTGTGCTGTTGTGTTAACTTACAAGACAATTTGAAGGAAGAGAACGTGAAAACTACAAACCTAAAATACTCCCCTCAATCGTTTGATCTGCGAGCAGCGCACAGTTTTTGTCAGTGGCAGTCTGTTTTGAGAGACGCTATCAACCTTAACTGTACTTTACTCGAGCCTGTGCTTACGCCGTACATTCATAAGATATACAATGGACAAATGGCGCACAATCTGGCGGAGAAACTAAATCAAGGTAAGTTATTTATCGACAAAACACTGAGTAAACTATGCCAGCACTTTCCCGTGCACAAGCAATACTCAAAACTATGAAAATTAGAACAAAAAATTGAAAAACTTAAAAGACTTTTACAACAGATGGACTTACAGTTAGATGGTTTGCATTTGGCACTGACTGATTATTGCGGTCGAATCTTTCAACTTCTATCGAGCTCAGCTACTTGATTGGATTGTGAGACAAAGTCACTGCCTTTTAGTCAAGCCCTTTTTGCAGGCGGACATTTCCACCTCAAGTTGACATTTCTTTTCATGTTGAATTTCTTTTCACGTTAGCTTGTGCTACTTTAATAACCTACGTGAAAAGTCGAGTCACCGCAGAATACTAGTTGACTCGACGCTGGTTGCAAATAAAAATATAGGTTATGAATACTCTCTTATGTTACAGTTGCAAGCTAACCGTTACCTTTTCAGTTTAATTTTTCAATGACAGCCGACAGTCCAACACTTCTACACTACAACGTGAACCTTGTTACACCTTGTAATGTTACAATCAAGAAAAAACGTACGAATTTAGTAGTTATTTATTATGTACTTTCTTTTTGCAGGACTTACCCCAGAGGAACTAATTCCGTCTTTAAAACAATTCCAGTTGTTCAACAAACTTAAAACAGCAGTAACAAAGGATCTGCTACACAAAATCGCTCCAGAAAAGAGACCACGTGAAAGGAACAATGGAAGGAAGGCCAAAGGTTCTCATGTCAAGGCTGCAACGAACACATCTGATGACGACGAAATGTTGGAAAATCGATTTGCATATTTGTTTAATTTGGAAGAACAAGATAGTCAGGATGACGACAAGTGAATCACTCAAATAATGTCTGTTGTTTGTGTTGTTTCACAACACTTTTGACTATGAATTTAACTGGGATGATCTTAATTGCGTTTGAAAAGTAAGATGCGCTGAATTAATTTGTAGAATGTAGCAAACTAACTAACTAGTGTGGCGAAATTTTTTTTATAGCGAAACGACTGGTGACACGGAGAGACGGAGATATGGAGATTTTTCGCACGCTCGCTTTTTTTTCGCTTTTTTGTCCCTCATCGAGACACACAAGGCTGGAGACTGAGCCTAGCGTTTTCCTGGCTCGCCCCGTTTATCTCGTTTGCACTGACCGGGGGCCTGGTACGGGCTAGCCAAGGTTAAGAAGACTATAGCTGTAACGTACTGTCCCAGTGTTTCGGTACTGGTATATTATGCGTTTTTGTGTTTAGTATAACCGCGAATTACAACTTCCCTTAAGACTAATGTATTTGATATAAACTCAGGACATGCACCCTGAATCTTCCCTTGATCCTTTAAACCCCAATATCCCCATTCAAGTTCTCCAGACGAATTTCCACACATTTCCTTAAAGAATTACAGAGAATTTGAAAAAGATCAAAGCATTTACTAACTGATTTTCGTAAGCTTTTCTCTTGATTATGTATTGATAGAGCGATTTTCGTATGACCTTGAAATGAAAACGCGCAAACAAAACAGAAACAACAAACAACAACGCAAATGGAGCGATTTAATTGGTTTATCGAACGGATACAAACGCGCGTGGCTTTTGTTTGGTTAAGCGAACGCTCGGGTGCATTACTTCGCTTTGACGTCATACTGCAACACGATTGGCCAGTCGAACAATACCTTCTCCATATTAGGGTTTTCTTTGGCGGGAAAACGAAGAGTCCATATTTGATCTTTTCGTCCATTGACTGAGAAAACAAAAAACAAACACTTACCGAAACCATTTTTCAAGGTCATAAGAAAATCGCTCCAATCACTAAGCGCAGTGAATTCGTAGTAGTACCACCTCATTGGTGAATAAAAGAAACTGTTTGACCAGGATGGACTTCGAACATATTAGCCCCAAGAAAGGCCACCCAATACCATTATTCTATTGTAGATTACTACACAAAAAATTAATTGAAGAATTTTTAAAAGGTTAAATCCAACATCAACCTCCTCTCTCCCCCCTTGAGTGAGAGAGTGCAGGACAGTAGAGACCCTGGTGACATGAGTGAAAACTCTTAAAGTAATGAAGTTTCGTGCCTGTAACTTGAGATCGACAATGGATTATCTTTTCCGTGAGATGATAATTTAAGTGCTTGCAGAAGAGTGGAGTTTCCATAAATCTAATTCTTTCACTGCATGAAAACCGTTCAGGGCGAAAAAATAAATATAGGTAATTCAATATGAAACTAAAACACGCTTCAACTAGGCTGATAATTAAAGCTTCATGCGGGTTGGTATATCATAAACTTTAAACAAGGGCCAGTAAAATCAGGAAAGTAAAATGTATTGTTGCCCCTAGTCTGCTACACAGCCGTTTTTGGAGTCGTCATGCAACGCTCCTCCTGGGGAGTGTACTTGGTGTAGTAGCTCTAGTTGCTGTAGTTGCTGTAGTTGGTGTAGTTGCTGTAGTTGCTGTAGTTGGTGTAGTTAATGTAGCTGGTGTAGTTGGTGTAGTAGCTGTAGTTGGTGTAGTTAGTGTAGTAGCTGTAGTTGGTGTAGTTGCTGTAGTTAGTGTAGTTGCTGTAGTTAGTGTAGTTGGTGTAGTTAGTGTAGTAGCTGTAGTTGGTGCAGTAGCTGTAGTTGATGTAATTGCTGTAGTTACTATAGTTGGTGTAGTAGCTGTAGTTGGTGTAGTTAGTGTAGTTGCTGTAGTTAGTGTGCTTGCTGTAGTTGCTGTAGTTGCTGTAGTTAATGTAGTTGGTGTAGTAGCTGTAGTTGCTGTAGTTGCTGTAGTTGCTGTAGTTGGTGTAGTTGCTGTAGTTGGTGTAGTTGGTGTAGTTGGTGTAGTTGGTGTAGTTGGTGTAGTTGGTGTAGTTGGTGTAGTTGGTGTAGTTGGTGTAGTTGGTGTAGTTGGTGTAGTTGGTGTAGTTGGTGTAGTTGGTGTAGTTGGTGTAGTTGGTGTAGTTGGTGTAGTTGGTGTAGTTGGTGTAGTTGGTGTAGTTGGTGTAGTTGGTGTAGTTGGTGTAGTTGGTGTAGTTGGTGTAGTTGGTGTAGTTGGTGTAGTTGGTGTAGTTGGTGTAGTTGGTGTAGTTGGTGTAGTTGGTGTAGTTGGTGTAGTTGGTGTAGTTGGTGTAGTTGGTGTAGTTGGTGTAGTTGGTGTAGTTGGTGTAGTTGGTGTAGTTGGTGTAGTTGGTGTAGTTGGTGTAGTTGGTGTAGTTGGTGTAGTTGGTGTAGTTGGTGTAGTTGGTGTAGTTGGTGTAGTTGGTGTAGTTGGTGTAGTTGGTGTAGTTGGTGTAGTTGGTGTAGTTGGTGTAGTTGGTGTAGTTGGTGTAGTTGGTGTAGTTGGTGTAGTTGGTGTAGTTGGTGTAGTTGGTGTAGTTGGTGTAGTTGGTGTAGTTGGTGTAGTTGGTGTAGTTGGTGTAGTTGGTGTAGTTGGTGTAGTTGGTGTAGTTGGTGTAGTTGGTGTAGTTGGTGTAGTTGGTGTAGTTGGTGTAGTTGGTGTAGTTGGTGTAGTTGGTGTAGTTGGTGTAGTTGGTGTAGTTGCTGTAGTTGGTGTAGTTGGTGTAGTAGCTGTAGTTAGTGTAGTAGCTGTAGTTGGTGTAGTTAGTGTAGTTGGTGTAGTAGCTGTAGTTGCTGTAGTTGCTGTAGTTGGTGTAGTAGCTGTAGTTGGTGTAGTTGCTGTAGTTGGTGTAGTTGCTGTAGTTGCTGTAGTTGCTGTAGTTAATGTAGTTGGTGTAGTTGGTGTAGTTGTTTTAGTAGCTGTAGTTGGTGTAGCTAGTGTAGTTGCTGTAGTTGGTGTAGTTGGTGTAGTAGCTGTAGTTGCTGTAGTTGGTGTAGCTGCTGTAGTTGGTGTACTTACTGTAGTTGGTGTAGTTGGTGTAGTTGTTTTAGTAGCTGTAGTTGGTGTAGTTAGTGTAGTTGCTGTAGTTGGTGTAGTTGGTGTAGTAGCTGTAGTTGCTGTAGTTGCTGTAGTTAGTGTAGTTGGTGTAGTTAGTGTAGTTGGTGTAGTTAGTAAGGTAGCTGTAGTTGGTGTAGTAGCTGTAGTTGATGTAATTGCTGTAGTTACTGTAGTTTGTGTAGTAGCTGTAGTTGGTGTAGTTAGTGTAGTTGGTGTAGTTGGTGTAGTTGGTGTAGTTGGTGTAGTTGCTGTAATTGGTGTAGTTGCTGTAATTGCTGTAGTTGCTGTAGTTAAGGTAGTTGGTGTAGTTGGTGTAGTTGATGTAGTTACTGTAGTTGCTGTAGTTGGGGTAGTAGCTGTAGTAGGTGTAGTTAGTGTAGTAGCTGTAGTTGGTGTAGTAGCTGTAGTTGGTGTAGTTGCTGTAGTTGGTGTAGTTGCTGTAGTTGGTGTAGTTGGTGTAGTTACTGTAGTTGCTGTAGTTGGTGTAATTGATGTAGTTACTGTAGTTGCTGTAATTAGTGTAGAAGCTGTAGTTGGTGTAGTTAGTGTAGTTGGTGTAGTAGCTGTAGTTGCTGTAGTTGGTGTAGTTGCTGTAATTGGTGTAGTTGCTGTAGTTGGTGTAGTTACTGTAGTTGGTGTAGTTGGTGTAGTTAATGTAGTTACTGTAGATGCTGTAGTTGGTGTAGTAGCTGTAGCTGGTGTAGTAGCTGTAGTTGGTGTAGTAGCTGTAGCTGCTGTAGTTGGTGTAGTTGTTGTAGTTGGTGTAGTTGTTGTAGTTGGTGTAGTTACTGTAGTTGGTGTAGTAGCTCTAGTTGGTGTAGTAGCTGTAGTTGGTGTAGTAGCTGTAGTTGCTGTAGTTGCTGTAGTTGCTGTAGTTGCTGTAGTTGCTGTAATTTCTGTACTTAGTGTAGTTGCTGTAGTTGATGTAGTTACTGTAGTTGGTGTAGAAGCTGTAGTTGGTGTAGTAGCTGTAGTTGGTGTAGTTGATGTAGTTACTGTAGTTGCTGTAGTTGGTGTAGTAGCTGTAGTTGGTGTAGTTGGTGTAGTTAGTGTAGTTGCTGTAGTTGGTGTAGTTGGTGTAGTTAGTGTAGTAGATGTAGTTGGTGTAGTTAGTGTAGTTGGTATAGTAGCAGTAGTTGGTGTAGTTGCTGTAGTTGGTGTAGTAGCTGTAGTTGGTGTAGTAGCTGTAGTTGGTGTAGTTGGTGTAGTTACTGTAGTTGCTGTAGTTTCTGTAGTTGGTGTAGTTGGTGTAGTAGCTGTAGTTGGTGTAGTAGCTGTAGTTGCTGTAGTTGCTGTAGTTGGTGTAGTTGCTGTAGTTGCTGTAATTTCTGTACTTAGTGTAGTTGCTGTAGTTGATGTAGTTACTGTAGTTGGTGTAGAAGCTGTAGTTGGTGTAGTAGCTGTAGTTGGTGTAGTAGCTGTAGTTGGTGTAGTTGGTGTAGTTACTGTAGTTGCTGTAGTTTCTGTAGTTGGTGTAGTTGGTGTAGTAGCTGTAGTTGGTGTAGTAGCTGTAGTTGCTGTAGTTGCTATAGTTGGTGTAGTTAGTGTAGTTAGTGTAGTTGCTGTAGTTGGTGTAGTTGGTGTGGTTGGTGTAGTTGGTGTAGTAGGTGTAGTTAGTCTAGTTGGTGTAGTTGCTGTAGTTCGTGTAGTTCGTGTAGTTAGTGTAGTGCTGTAGTTGCTGTAGTTGCTGTAGTTGGTGTAGTAGCTGTAGTTGGTGTAGTTGGTGTAGTTGGTGTAGTAGCTGTAGTTGCTGTAGTTGGTGTAGTTGGTGTAGTTAGTGTAGTTGATGTAATAGCTGTAGTTGCTGCAGTTGGTTTAGTTGGTGTAGTTGCTATAGTTGCTGTAGTTGGTGTAGTTGGTGTAATTACTGTAGTTGGTGTAGTTGCTGTAGTTGATGTAGTTGGTGTAGTAGCTGTAGGTGCTGTAGTTGGTTTAGTTGCTGTAGTTGCTTTAGTTGGTGTAGTTACTGTAGTTGATGTAGTTACTGTAGTTGCCGTAGTTGGTGTAGTAGCTGTAGTTGGTGTAGTTAGTGTAGTTGGTGTAGTAGCTGTAGTTGCTGTAGTTGGTGTAGTTGCTGTAATTGGTGTAGTTGCTGTAGTTAGTGTAATTACTGTAGTTGGTGTAGTAGCCGTAGTTGGTGTAGTAACTGTAGTTGGTGTACTAGCTGTAGTTGCTGTAGTTGGTGTAGTTGTTGTAGTTGCTGTAGTTGCTGTAGTTGGTGCAGTTACTATAGTTGGTGTAGTTGCTGTAGTTGATGTAGTTACTGTAGTTGCTGTAGAAGCTGTAGTTGGTGTAGTTAGTGTAGTTGGTATAGAAGCTGTAGGTGCTGTAGTTGGTGTAGTTGCTGTAGTTGCTGTAGTTGCTGTAGTTGCTGTAGTTTCTGTAGTTGGTGTAGTTGCTGTAGTTGATGTAGTTGGTGTAGTAGCTGTATTTGCTGTAGTTGGTGTAGTTGGTGTAGTTGCTGTAGTTGCTGTAGTTACTGTAGTTGGTGTAGTTGCTGTAGTTGATGTATTTACTGTAGTTGCTGTAGTTGGTGTAGTAGCTGTAGTTGGTGTAGTACGTGTAGTTGCTGTAGTTGCTGTAGTTGCTGTAGTTGCTGTAGTTAGTGTAGTAGCTGTAGTTGGTGTAGTAGGGGGAATCTCTGACAAGCAACCCTCCTTGATGTGAATTTTGGTGTTCACGTAAGTTACGATTTAGGTTAATTTTTGGTTAATATCTGTCAGAATAAAATCTTGTATAACTACAAAAACTACAGCAACTTAACGACAAACTACACCGAACTGCACCAACTACACCAAAATACAGCAACTACACCGAACTACACCAACCACATCAACTAAAAAATGCCAACTACAGCAACTACCCAAACTACAGCAAGTACACTAACCACACGAACTACAGTAACTACACCAACTACAGCTACTACACCAACTACAGCAACTACAGTATCTACAGCAACTACAGCAACTACACCAACTACACTAACTACACCAACTACAGCTACTACACCAACTACAGCAACTATAGTAACTACATCAACTACAGCAACTACACCAACTACAGTAACTACACCAACTACACCAACTACAGCAACTACACCAACTACGCCAACTACAGCAACTACACCAACTACAGCAACTACAGCTACTACACCAACTACAGCTACTACACCAACTACAGCTACTACACCAACTACAGCAACTACAGCAACTACACCAACTACAGTAACTACACCAACTACAGCAACTACACCAATTACAGCAACTACACCAACTACAGCAACTACAGCTACTACACTAACTACACTAACTACACCAACTACAGCTACTACACCAACTACATCAACTACAGTAACTACGCCAACTACAGCAACTACAGTAACTACATCAATTACACCAACTACACCAACTACAGTAACTACACCAACTACACCAACTACAGCTATTACACCAACTACACTAACTACACCAACTACAGCAACTACAGCTACTACACCAACTACAGCTACTACACCAACTACAGCTACTACACCAACTACACCAACTACAGTTACTACACCAACTACTACAGCTACTACACCAACTACAGTGACTACAGCAATTACATCAACATTCTCATAGTGGGCTTAGTTGTCACTTAATGTCTCTATATCCGTGACGGTTATCATGAACCCATTACCAGGATCCTCGATCGACAGATTTTTGTTTAGATCGACTTCAAATTCGAATAAGCTTGACGAATGAATAAAATCCTGGGTAAGTAATCCCAGATATTAAACTGATTTAAAATATTTCCGAGTTATTCGATTATGGCGACTCGACTTCTTGGTGGCGATTTCGGTGGTGGCGAGATGACCCTAATAAAGTACTGGTCAAGGAAATAGATCACTGTGTCCGGTTATGGCCATTGCCATATTTGGTGCTCTAGCTATGCAGACGGTCTTGAACGTTTTTTCTACCATTTTAATCGAACATGGAGTCTAGCTCTGAAGAGAAGTCACTTAGCATGCTGTTGATATCTTTCATGAGTTCCTCCGCCGAACTACAAGTCAAGAGACCAAAAATACAAAAATTTTCAGCTCAAACATAACGGGCGCGTAAATAACGAATTTCAATCTACTCCGATCTACTTTTTTTCTTGTACTCATAAGCCCTTAAGTTTGACACTGACACGGTGATAAGGATTCGATACTAGTACGAGAGCAATCAAAAACAAGTCGTAAAAAGATTTATCATTTTTATCATAAAAATATAAAAACATGTGACAAGTATACAGCTTTAGTATAACTAAGATTTGAGATTACTCTTACAAACTGCAAGCTAATTAACAAGATCCATGATGTTTCCGCATGATCTCCAAATTTTCCTATAATAAAACGGAAAGGCCGTGTGTACCTCTCGTGACGGTGGCCAAGTCCTCTTTGGAACGCGCTCTCAGTATCTGATTTGTTTATCTAGTTCCCCTTCAGCTGAAATAAAATTCAGAATAAACTTAAAATGACATAACACGGAAAAGAACCGGCTCCATGCTCCGTTTGACAACGAGCCGAAGTAAAAGAAGAGCTAAGAACCAGGGGGGAGGGGGTACTACCTGTAATGGCCTATACGGGTAGCCTCCGTCCAAACGTGGTACCTTTTTCAGGCTTCAGGTGTATAAAAAGGGTACGGATTTCCCAAGTTGAAGTACATAAAAGGGTGGGGAAATTTGCCTTTCCGTCTGTAAATAGACCTAAAAGTGCTAATAGAAGAATTTATGGATGCGAAAAAAGTGTGTTTTGTTTTGTTTTCTTTTTCATATCTTAAAGACAAGAAGAAGACCTGTTGCTTGGATCCGATTCCTACAAAATTAGTTCTCGATTTCCTGGATATTCTTCTTCCTGTAATTACCAAGATCATCAACTACTCTCTCGAGCATGGTGTCTTTCCATCAGTGTGGAAAAATACCCTGGTTTCTCCTCTTCTTAAGAAAGATGGCTTAGAACCAATATTAAAAACCTATCGACCTGTCAGTAACTTACAATTCATCTCCAAACTGACTGAGAGTGCGGTAGCCAAACAACTTCAGCACCACATCAACATGAATAATTGATTTCCCTCGCTACAATCATCATATCGTAAGTTTCACAGCACGGAATCCGCTCTCTTGAAAGTAGAAAATGACATTTTATTAAACATGAACAGAGAGCATGTCACCTTGTTTGTTCCGTTGGATTTGAGCGCGGCTTTTGATACCATTGATCACGGTATCTTACTTGAGAGGCTTAGGTCTGCATTTGGAGTACGGGATACGGCACTGTCCTGGTTTGCATCATATTTAAGTGACAGAACTCAGCAAGCTTCAATCGACGGCACACTCTCAACGAAGTTTGATTTGGAATGCGGTGTACCTCAAGGTTCGTGCCTCGGGCCTTTATTGTTTATGCTAGCTAGATATTTGAAATTGTTGGCAAACATGAGAGATCCACTGCTATGCGGACGATAGCCAACTCTATTTATCCTTCTGTCCTAATGATAATGCTAATCAAGAGGCCGCCTTGGCTAGGGTCGAAAGGTGTATTGAAGACATTCGTAACTGGATGCTGAACGACAAATTGAAACTGAACGATGATAAAACTGAATTCATGATCATTGGCACATCGCAGCAACTAGCTAAAGTATCTATTAACAGCCTTCGTGTTGGGACTGCAACTATTACTCCTGTGTCGTCTACAAGGAACTTGGGCTCGTGGTTTGATTCCAAACTGACGATGGCAACCCATATTTCAAAAACATGTAACTCTGCCTTCTATTATTTGTATAATCTGAGACGCATAAGAAAACATCTATCTAAAGACAACACCAAGACTCTGATTCATGCCTTTATTTCAAGCAGAGTCGATTACTGTCAGTACTGTAACAGTCTTTTATATGGTCTGCCGGAGTATGAACTCAATAAGCTACAGCGTGTGCAGAACATGTGTGCTAGATTAATATGCAATGAAAGTAAATATGGTCACATTACTCCTTTATTAGTAGATTTACATTGGCTGTCTGTAAAGTTCAGAATTGAATTTAAAATCCTTTTGATTGTTTTTAAGATTTTTAAGGGCTTAGCGCCTTCGTACTTAAGTTTTCTAATTACTCCTAAGCCTGTATCTAAATATAATTTAAGAAGTTCTAGCGACAGTACCATACTTAGTTATCCGAATGTTATGCCCAAGGCAACTCTCGGTGAATGGGCCTTTCTGTTTGCTGCACCTAAGTTACGGAATGGTGTGCCAAGATTTATTAGGGAATCCATTTCAGTTGACACTTTTAAGAGAAAGTTGAAGACTCACCTTTTTAAAAAAGCGTTTTGTACCACTTAGATTATAAGATTGTATTTTTAGCTTACTAGATTATAAATAATTTTCAGATTATAATTTTTAAGATTTTGCTAACAGTTTTTATCTTTTTAACCTTTTCTATTCTATATCTATATTATCATTATTTTATCATTTTTATTATTATAATTGTTCATAATTTTCATTATTAGTAGTATTATTGTTTTTTTGTTTGTTTGTTTGTTTGTTTTTTTATTTTTTTTTCCCTATGGCGCATTTGAATATATTTATATAGATATTTGCGCCTTATAAGTTTTTGAAATTAAATTATTAAATTAATTAAATTACTTCGCTGACTTAATCTTTAATCTTTTCTATCAAATCTTGTTTTTTTGTATTTTTTTCAAACGTTCAACAAATTCCATTTATTTAATAAATTTATTTTTTAAGCTTTAATTATCATCTTCTTCTTTCAACTTATTAATTTTCAAAACTTTCTAATTTAATTTCTCAACACTTTCCACCAACTCAAATAACTCTTTATACATTTCAATGAGTTTGAACAGTATTCCTTTCTGTCACTGTCTATTTCAACCCAACTATAACCTCCAGTTCTAATTTTATCCCATAATTGACACTAACCAGCAAATAAAACTCTTTCAAGATTAAGATTAGTTTTTCTTTCAATTTCAAACTCATCAATAATTTTTTTCGTAGTTCTTTTTCAAAATCTTTTATTGTTTTTACACTCATTTTCTTTTGTATCTCTTTAATATTTATTATAAGATTAAATAACTTCCTTTTACAACTTGTCTCAAAACATTTACTTTATCATTTATGTCAAAAAGTAGTTCAAATATTTTCAAAAATCTTTTATCATTTTCAAATTGTGAATAAGGACAATACTCATAACTAACATTCAACTGTTGATAAATCTTTTCAAGTTCACCTTCATAAACTTTGTTCTTGAACTCATTTATTAAATAAATTATATAATCTAAGTATAAATGAAAGAAAGCTATTGCGTTGCGGATAAAAGAAAAACTCCTTGTGTTGAACCAAGCGGTTTTCAAAGAGATAAAAAAGGACGATTAGAATGTTATTGTAAATGTGCTGTGTGCGGTAGTAAAAAAGTTAAATATGTAAGTGAAAACGGACAAGTTGGAACTGGAAAAAAAAGTAAAAGGTGGTGATGTTTTTGACACTGTTGTTGGAACTGTAGCAGATGCTTTTGTTCATCATGGCATTTCTTGGATGGCAAAAAAGTCTGTTGAGATGGGGCGATATGGAGCAAGTGAATTGATGCAAAATAAAAATCTTCAAAAAAGCTGTAAATTATGGAATGAGTAAAATTACTCCACTCATTCAAGACTCTGTTGGGACAGCATTGGACCAATTATCAACAAAAGTGAGACCGGCCTGATATAAATATAAGATCGACAGACCAGAATTAGATGGAAGAGGACTTGATGTTCACAAATGGATTGGAAAACTCCCAAGACCAAAAGCAGGTTTTACTCCTTTAAAGTATGAATACATGGGGCAGTATAATCCGCTCGAACAACCATTGAGTTACAATCCAGACACTGGAGAAGTGACAGAGTGGAAACTTAAACCGTATAACAAAGTTGATGAGATAGCAGCTTATCACGTCATTTGTTACGACATGGGCAAAAACAAAGGCGGTGAAATGCGAAAGTGGGGACAAACTGCAAGATTCCTAATTAATACCAAGCAAAAACTTGGTCTTGGTCTGCCGTTGAGTACTTCTTGACAACTAGCCGACGAACTTCACAAACCAATCACAAGAAACTTTTCAAAGACAGCAGTAATCTCAAACGGGATTCATGAAATCTGGGCTGCTGATTTGGTTGAAATGCAAAAGTTAAGTAAGTGGAACAAATTGAAGGTGTGAAATATTTACTGTAAATTGATGTTTTTTAGCAAGTATGGTTGGATTAAACCACTGAAAGATAAAAAGACTGAGACCGTCAGTAAAGCATTTGATGAAATATTCAAGAGTAAACGTAAACCGCAAATGTTTTGGACGGATAAAGGTTCTGAGTTTATCAGTAAACATTTCAAAGAGTTTTTGTTAAAAGAAATAAAATCAAATTATATCACACTGAGAATGAAGAGAAAACAAGCGTTGTTGAAAGATGGAATAAAACAATGAAAAACAAAATGTGGAAGATGTTCTCTTCAAACAACAATACTGTTTATTGGGATAAGATAAATAAATTAGTTGATGATTACAACAACTCAAGACACTCTAGTATCAAAATGAAACCTGTTGAAGAGAGTAAAAAGGAAAATGAGGAAAAAGCTTTTGTAAATTTGTACGGCGATTTGATTTACTTAAAATCTAAAAAAACAAAGTTTGCAATTGGCGACAGAGTTCGTATTTCAAAGTACAAGAGGCGAGTATTTGATAAGGGTTACACCAAACTGGACAGAAGAAGTATTCGTGGTGAATGAGGTTCTGCCAACAAAACCTGTCACGTATAAAACTGTTGATTTAATGGGAGAAGAGATTGAAGGTTCTTTTTACGAGCAAGAGTTACAAAAAACAGAGCAAGAAATATTTAGAATTGAGAAAGTTTTCAGACGAGATAACAAGAAAAAGTTGGCACTGGTGAGGTCGAGCGGATATTCTGAGAAATTTAACTCATGGGTGATTTTTAAAACAAAATTTGTATTAAAAATTGAGTTTAATCTTCTTCAATATCTGAGATATTTAGTTCTTTAATATCAGATTCTTCATTTTCCTCCTCATCACTTTCTTTGATTGACAGTAATGCTTCTATTGGTTTTAGAGGCTTGATATAGGCCTCATGAACCTTTATCTGAAGCGAATCAATATTTTTTGAGAGATAAATACTCTCGATAATGAGTGCCATTTTAACCTTGCAATATTGATTCAAATAATCAAAAGGATTAACTTTATCATTTCCTTTTGTGCGAAATAGTGAAAGTATTTTCTTTGATTTATCAGAATAAATAAGTTTTGCATAAAGTACTGGTGCGGCTGATTAATCCTTCTTTTTCTTTGTTTTACCCTTCTTGTCAGTACATCAACCTGTTTCCAGTAAAGAGAATTTGTTAAATAACTCGCCATATCTGGACCAAATTCTTCCTCGAGATAATGCTGGCAGATTTCTGTGACTTTGTTTACTGGTTCAAAAAACGATTTTTCACTTTCATTTGGTTTTTCTTCTTTTCCCCACAGAGACACACTGGAATTGAATATCCCCTGAGTTGATTAGTCTCTTGATTTAATCGTTCTGTGACTCCAAAGGAAAACAAAAATGGAGTCTCGATTACAAGAGCTCCTTTTTTGCCATTTGGAAACTTGGTTTCAATTTTAATTCGTTGATACTTAAGTTTGGAATTCTTGACTTTGTACTCCTTGGCTTCATGGAATATAATTTTGTCACTGGTAAGATTTTCGTAACTATAGTAATTTGCATTTTATCATTTAATACTTATAGACAATTTTTAGGCTGAAATTAATTATTCACCGCCCCATAAAAGCTGAATCGACCAATCATTCGCCTACTCTGGATTCTCCCAGGTTAATACTTTCTCTTTATTGGTTATTTTTTTGGCTCTAGCAAGATACTTCTTTCTTCGCTCTTCATCATGATGAATCAAATAATCCTCGTACTTAGGATTTCCGAAATGTATTTTTTTTCCGTTGTTGAGTATAACAAAATACTTACAATGTTTGCGATTGGAATAATCAAAACTTGTAGCTCCAAGTTTCAAGGCTTTTTTGATCAGTTTTGCAAAATCTTTTCCAGTTACAACATTCTTTGTTGGTTGAGTTGTTTCACCCCTCTTTTGTGATTTATCTTCAACGGAAATCGTAAGGGGAAAATAGCGGGATGCGGGAATTTAGTTTTGCCTTGACTGAAAATTTATTAGCGTTGACTGAAAAAAATAGATCTTTAGTGTGTATACCGCCTTTGTAGTCAAGCTATGAGTGTCAAAGAAGTGAAGCCTGTCAAATTTTGCCCATTATCACTTTCGTATATTGTTCGTCTTTTCCGGTTTTGCTATTTTCGTCGTTTTTGTCACTTGATCTTCACTGATTCCTTTTCAATTGACGGATTTGATCTTTTCTGCTTTTGCCTGGACCGACCTGTCGGACTTGAGCGATCCTTTGGACTGCGCGTTTGTTAAGTAACAGGGGCACCCAACGTCAATTTTCGGCGGAAAATATGTGTTCGGAAGACGATTTGAGAACTAGAATTTTCCGAGCATTTATTGTAAAATTTATTGCTTGCCTGCCTCTCCTAGGATTTTCGAACATCTAAAAAATGGCGTAATTGCCAATTTTTAACGGATTATTACCCTAAACTGAGGTCAGCTAGAATTGTCGGGAGCCTTTTTTCTGGCTGAAATTTTCGAAAAGGTAAGTTTTGATCCCTATAATTTTCGGATCACTAGACTTTCAGCTAGGAAATCCGAACAGATGAAAAATTTTCAGGGGGTAAAAATATGCCTATATCTACCGTTTAAATACTAAAATACGTTTAATACGTAATGCTATGTTTAAGTGGTTTTGAACTATATTCTCGTTGGGTGCCCCGGAAGTAAGTCTAATCACGATATGCCACACAGAACTGATGGAAGTGCACAATGACGACGATGTGGTAGACATCATAAATTGTGTGGCTCTGTATTACGAAAAAGGCGCCAGTGGGAATGTATTTCTTCGGGAAGAAAAATTTAGAGCTGCCGTTTCAAGGCAAGTGAAGACCTTGAAAGTCTTAAAAGAAACAGTCAGGTGAGTCGATCTGAGTTTACTGCTATCTAGACTGCTTGCAGTCCGCTTTTTCTCTTAAAATCCGTCAAGTTCTTATCGCAGCCAGCGCGATTGCAAACCACGACGTTATGTTACAATAAGGGATTAGGACCAGACGTTTATCCCAGGGGGGGTACTTTAGGAATTTCTGGGTGGGGATGTTCCGCTGGGACCCTGGAACCCTTAACCTACACCAGAGATAGTTCAGCTAAATTTTGCTACCCTATACTAGAGTAAATTTCACAAATCCCCCCTATCCTAGAGTAGCTGTTTCCCTAGTCTAGATAAAATCTTCAACCAACTGATCAGTTTCCCGAAAAATGATACCCTATTCTAGACCCAAATGTACTGATTTATATACCCTATCCTAGAGTAAACTGCTTGAAAACCATACCCTTCACAGCGGCACATACCTATATAGCCCATATATGGCAGTACCCCCCGGGCGTTTATCGAGGCTCGCGTGCTTGGGTTTCTCGTGCAATAAATTTGCAAAGAAAAATAGGAGACTGCTCCCAGTCCAACCGCTGTCCATGGCTATTATTAATTGTTTTCAACGACCTCATTATCCCTGTATTAGATGTATTATAACCTGGAATATCAATGGCCTTTGTGCCCCGCGCTACGGTCGGCGACTTAAATGGTCTTGCTAACTTGCTAAAGTTGATTATTGCCACTTTGGATGGAGAAGCAAACTTCCTCCTTGGAAGGGTGCTCGCATTTGGTCGTGCTATTTGATTCAATAGCAGGCTTATGGAAGAATTGGCTTCATCACCGGAAACTAGCAGCAAAGCAGTTGAGTCATCGTGAGACATCAATCTACCTAACTCCAAAAATACAGGACTTTTAATTAAAAATAGAAAGTTAACATGTACCGATGCGCGGACGAAAAAATGACCATCAAAACTGACAATAAGTTTAGAAGGTAAGTCTTACATAACGTCTATTTCAATAATTAAGCAAAAAATCTCGTGAAAAAATGGGACGGGATCGGGATTCCGGCATAAAATAGGACGGGATGGCGGGATTGAGAAGAAAAAAAGGCGGGAAAGCGGGATTTGAGAACCCCTATTGTGGACCCTCATTGAACGGTTTTGATTTTTATTTTGATCTATTTTGAATGGCGTGACACTGAAAACCAGCAATTCTGTAACTGATTAAATATTAACAACTCTGTCAAAACCCGCAGGTGTTTTTACCTCATCATTTTACACAAGATGTTGAAGTTTCAGACAATCAGACATGATAGTGAATATTCACAACTCTGTCAAAACAAGATAGCTGGTGAACTATTATGTAAATTATCATATATTTATAAGGTAGTTATTACATGATACTTTCCGCTAAAACTCCAACCTACTTTTTCCCGAATATTTTAGTCATTTCCCCTGTTATCCTATAATCAATTCTCCTAGGCTAATATATCAGCAATTTCGTAGATTAATATTTTCAGTAGGATTTTTTCTAAGTAATTTCTGTCATCAATTTCGTAAATAGATTTTTTTGCTGATTAGTAGGGTATCATTTTTCTGACTAATTTCCGTTTTAATTTTTTTTTAGAATCAAGATTGGGATTTTAGTACGAAGTTGACGACAGAAATTAAACAGAGAAATTTGATATTATGTTGAGTTGGTGGGGAAAGCACCTTTTGATAACTACTAGAGACAGAGAGAGACGACTGGGGACCCTAGTTACTAGTTAGCGTAGTTACAATGTTTATCTGATTTTCTATTGGTTGGTTTTGTAATGGAATATTTTGGCGTCCACGAGGATACAAAAGGGAGCGTTAGCGTCTCTTTGGTCTGAAAAGTGAACTAGGATTCGCGTCGTGACATCGTTTTTTGGTTTGGTCTTAACCTTTAGTACAAGCGGGACAGATATGTATGTGATTTCTTTTTTTATATTATTTAGTTTCGTTCTTTAGTAGTAGGCAAAGGTACACGAATGTTACAACTGTCTCATGAGAGAAAAGGGGATTTGAACGCCTGTTAGAGTTACGCCCCCCTCAATTTTGCTTGATAGTAGAAGGATTAAGATCAGATTTATGGAATTATTGTCTAATTTAAGTTTATCCAGTTTTTTAAGTAGATTTTACCTTTTTGGTATCGACCAAATCGTCATATCATCGCTTTATTTAATACCGTTTTCAAGCAGCTGGTGTGCGTCACGAGACACAAGATTCGACCAATCAGAATACGTTATTTGTAGAGTGATTTTCACGCTTGGGAAGAGCCTTTTTCAGGGGTGTATATGATTAAATTTCGCTTTATTCCAAGCTTGTGTAGGTAATTTCGGCACTATAGCTCCGTGGAAAGTTGTTGGAACACTTTATATTGATAGTAATTACGTTGATTTTAAATATTTTGCTTTCTTGAGCGTTTGTGACAAGTTTGAATTGCACGGTGAAAGGCAGGCCGCCGTGACGATATGAGTGTTATTTTCGCCGTTCTTCTTGGATTCATTACTGGTTACTGTTGGCGGTTTTATCGGATTATTTTGGTCATCTTGTTACTTCAACCTTTCTTCTTTGTAAATGTCGGGGTCTACCCGGGTCTACCCCTGTTAGTTTTCCCGTTATGAGACGTTGTGGAATGAAGAGATCGTCTCAGCCAAGTAGCATAACTCGCGGGAAACGGGCTGAGAAAAAACATGCCGAAGTAGCCTGAGTATCAGGCCTTCCTAAGGGGCTGGGGGAGAGGAGATTTTAGATGGGGGAGGGGGGAGGGAAGAAGAGAAAGGAAGGCCTGACACAAAACCATCCTGGAAATCGTGTGGCACATCCAAAATCTGGATGTGGCAGTGATTGGATAACACACAGTACTCCCTGACGGCACCGACCGCAAGTAAATACGAGCAGAGCCATCGGCAAGGAGAAGCCATTGAAATTTGTCATCGATGTTTTGATATCATGTGGTACTTTTATGGACAAAGACGTAGAGAGGAATTCAAAAAGGCTCTAGAGGGCGCTCTCAAGTTCTTTCCGGGAATAAAAATAAAACCGCAAGAATTGTGTTTTCAAAGCCTCGTAGTTAAAAGGAAAGATGTTCTCGGAGTATGGAAAAGCCTCATATACTAGCTTCTGCCGAAACTATGTCCGAGTATTGGTTTCACAATACCAGAACAAAAAAGACGATATCAGTACTTCTAAATTCTGATTTACAACATCCTGCCGTTAAAAGGGTATTGTTAATGTAAATAAAATTAGAGCGAGGTAGCCATGTACTGAGAATAGCCGACAGGACCAAAGGCGTTAGCCTGACTTTGCTTGTGGCGGTTACGATAGCGTACGTGATTGGAATTCGTTCGC